GCAAACACTAGTTTTAAAGAAGGTTTACTTCCATGAGTAAAGCCATCACCTTCCACCCAACCCCTCCACCCCTCTTTAAACAAAACGCTGATACATATATATAGTCCAGGCTTTTATTTTGGAATAGGGTGCAGTTGTCCTTGGTGCTAGATCACACTGAAGAAGCAGTGGGTGGAGAGTTTGCTGATGCAAGTGACTGTGGGTAGATACAGCTTTCAGAGCACTGTGTTTATGTGTACCAGGGTCCCTGACAAACATGACTACTGGGAAAAGGTAGGCTCTGCCAATACAGTCTGAGATTTTACTGTTTAGGAAATAAATAAAATGTGTAAATATTTAAGATTTTATTTGCTTTGATAACTAAATATTGTGGCTGAAACTTGGGAAAGTAATTGCCATGAATATTTGCATTGATGCAGGGAAAACTGTGAGGCCTACAGATGCGTTCATGTTACCCTTTGAGAACCTGAGAGGAAGTAGGTACAGTAAAACGAGCTTGCGGTGTTTTCCTCAGCCTCTGGATTCCCTGTGCTTTTAATTTCTTTCTGCTCTTGTACTCATGGTGTGTGGATTAGGATCATAAGTTACTTTACAATTGCAATACATTTGTCAGTAAGAATAAGCTGTCCGGAAAGGAGTCTAGCGGCTCTAAATGCCAGGGTTTCAGCAGCGGGTGGAGGAAGATACAGGGAATTACAGCAGTGACAGGTGCTGCCTTCTGTCTTGAGAATCATTTTATACAATTTTCCTTCCCTTTTAAAGATTTGCATTTTAAAAATGCAAAAGTGGAACCGAAAAACTACGAAAGCAGTATTGTTTTCTAAAAACCTTGTTGATTAGTCTTTAGTGCTCACAGGGTGGTTGTACCTAGGCCTTGCCGTGCTGCAATGCTTTTAAAAGAGCTCCCTGCGCACCGGGTTTGTGATGGAGGAGCGTGGGGTGGTGTGATGGGACAGCCTGCGCCGCTCTCGCTTTCCCTTGGGATGGTCTTCCTGGCAGGCTGTGAGTTGTTGTCTCTGAAGGCTGTTTCCACTCCCTGCAACGGAAACAAGGTATAATAACAGAGACTCTGCCACTAAACAAGTACGACAGGGAGCAGATTGGCAGTGTGTGTGTTTTGTAGGGGATTGTGGAGGTGTGTGTATTTATCTCCTTAAACTAAATTTGGTTCAGTTTGCAGAAAATGTTCATACTGGATGATGAGCATTTCTGCTTGTGAGTTATATTTTCATATTAGGAATTTAAAGCATGGAGGGACTGTATTTCTTTTCATTTCCTCCCTCATGGCATTCTGTATTCAGGGGAAGCTGCTGTGGGAAATCAACTCCTGGCCAAGAGGGTTCAGTCACTCGTATCTGGAGTGGCCTCTTTCGGAGCCCTTCATTTGACAATTGAAAGTGCGCTGCTTATAGCATTTGTCTTAAGTTGTCGTATTTGTTGTTATTTTTTAAAGACATTTTTATTGATTATTTTACAGAGAGGAAGAGAGGGATAGAGAGTTAGAAACATCGATGAAAGAGAATCATCGATCAGCTGCCTCTTGCACCCCTCCCATTGGGGATGTGCCCGAAACCAAGGTACATGCCCTTAACCAGAATCGAACCCGGGACCTTTCAGTCCACAGGCAGATGCTCTATCCACTGAGCCGAAACGGTTTCGGCTGTTATTATTTTTTAAAACAGGGCAAAGTGATTATGGAAGTCAACCAATGTATTAAACACTATGGAGAGAGCCCATGGATCTGAATAAAAACTTTTTCACTTGATAATTCCTTTCAAATTGTCACTTTGAAATACAAGCTTAGAAGAAGCATTGGTAACTTTTACCTTCAGTAGCTGCAAATGCAGTAGGAAACAAGGTTTAAAAGCTGCTTTTTGCAGTCCTGGCATATTGAATTTTTCTCTATCAAGTCATGATTAACAAAGACCATTAACAATCTGCAAAATACAATGCCAAGGGTTCTACCACAGTTGAGTGTAGAGTATTTTAGGATTTCCAAAGCACTTTCTTGAATGCCTTTTGCTTGTCTTTGTTTTATGACCCTCACAGTCGCCCCTGAGGAGTGGACAGGGCAGCTTTCACATGTGGGCATGGAGCTTCAGGTTTCCTCTGGTTGCGCTGGTGCTGGACAGAGAGGGCCCTGGGCCTTGTTGTCTGATCCTTTCAGCAAGCCCGAGGGCAAGCTCCGTGCTTCCTCTCTGCTGCCGGGATGAAGCCTGGCTTTGTTTCTGACACTGTACCATTTTCAGTCGCTGCCTTAGGGAATAATTTAAAAAAATGAAGGCATTCAAAGAGATGTTATTAAAACAGGCACTAGTACTGCATAACCAAGTTTTAGACACTTTGAAATGTGATTTTCCATAATCAGTTGTTTGCCAGTTGGTAGGGGCTCCCAGGGAGGAGATCTGGGAGAGGAAATTGTGTTATGAACCTGGAGGGTTTGTTTTCAGAGTCAGTTTGGTGCAGTGCTGCAGGCCGGTGAACAGGGGCCGTGTGCGGTCTCAGAAACTGAGGTTTTTGTTGTAGGCCATTTACTTCTGAGTTACATTTTTAAAATAGGGTGGGGGTGGGGGGTAGAGAGATTGCTACAGGGTGACCAACTTTAATTTTACTAAATATTAACAAATAACAAAACAAAATCCCACCTATCTCTTGTTTTTTCATAGAACAAGGGCTATTAATACCAATAAAAATAAGAAAGATGTAACTTACAATAAAATGTAGTCCCTAAAGTGCACTGAATATAACTCTGATTAATTTATAAGTTTTCCTTACAATTCTCAGTTTGGTGCAGACAAAAAATGTCACCAGTACTTTTAAGCAGCTTTTGTGATTAGAGGGTTGGTGTAAGTGGACAAGTGACTCTGGGGCAGTGTAGACTTTGCAACCCTTAGACTGAGGCTGCAGGAGCAGTGTGTGACTGCGCCGACAGCTTGTCTCTCAGCTTTGATTTTCTCCCACACAAGTTTGGGTAATAATTCCTGCAGCACTGTGAGGAGTGAGTGAGGTGGTGCATGTAGCGAGCCTGGTAAGAACCTGCCCATAGATACAGAACACAGCCCACTGTGGCACTTTGGATGGTCTAATGGGAGGTGGAAAGTTGGGCTGGGTGTTTAACATGATGCCATTGATGTTTTGTGTAGACATGGAAAGCTCTCTAAAGAAGAACAAAAGCAGAATTATGTGTGTAATAAGCCCAGATCTGGGTTTCCGACATCAGCAGGACTTCATGGGGAAATGACAGATTTTAGGGTGGGAGCAGGGAACATACCAGTGAGCCTGTATGCCAGAAAGTAAGGACCTGCTCAAGACAAAACAGAAACAGTCATGGGGGTGTCAAAGGGACCCAGGCCTCCACAGAAAGATTCCCGATGGTCAAAGCTGGAACAGGTTGAGCAATAATACAGAATAGTGTTAGGTTATTACCCAAAGTATAAGCTCAGTATTGCTGAGTCCGTGCCAGTAAGCAAGGGAGACAGGAAACTCTCCCAGGCGGAATCACTCACTCAGCTTTGTAGCTGTTCCATCCAGAGGAGGAGAGCATCCCTCGCGCCGTTAGTGAGGTGCACTGGCTTCTTCCAGAGCAGTGCGGCCAGCCGGACAACACTACCTTAGCGGCCGAGGTCCATGTCAGGAACCTAGTGCATGGCATGTCCTCTTGATGCGATGCAATGCAAATGGCATTTTACCTTGTAGTCTTCCTTCCCCAAACTCATAAACTCTATCTCACCGTGGTGGAAAAATCAGTAAGTATTTGCAGATTGAAGGAACCTGTGAACTATCCAACCGGTACTCCTGGAATCTGTCAAGGAAGTCTGAGAACTCACAATCTGGAGGAGCCCAGGGAGGTGTGATGACCACGTGTCGCTTGGTATCCTCAGTGGGTCTGGAAGATAAAGGACAGTAGGAGGAAAGGAAGGAGCTCTGAATGAACTATGATTTTAGTTAATAACGTACCAAAAGCACTCTGCTAATGTTAGATGTTAATGGCAGGGAGACTGTGCATGGGGTAGATGGGAACTCTGTACCGCCTTCACAACCGTCCTGTCACTCCAACACTATTCCAAAATAGAAAATTAAAAAAAAAAATCTGGAAATTAGTGGAGTGGGAGAGAAGCCTTTTATTCTCATTTTATTTTCTTCTGGTAATATTTGAGTTATTTAATTATGTTTATACATGTATTAATTTTGTTCTTTGAGAAAGGTTCTGTAGTGGGATTATATGCTTTTATTTTTATGTGTTTTTTAATTGAAATTCTGTATGTTGAAAGTATTGCATATGTCTCCTTTTCCCCCCATTGACTTCTCTCCAGCCACTCCCACCCTCCCAGCACCTGCCCTTACCCCACTTCTGACTGTGTCCATTGCTTATGTTGCTCATATTCATAAATATCGATACAAGTCCTTTGGTTTATCTCTTATCCCTCACCCCTCTTCCCTCTGAGGTTTGATGGTCTGTTCAATGCTTCGTTTTTAAAAGTATATTTTTATTGATTTCGGAGAGGGAGAGAGAGATAGAAACATCAGTGATGAGAGAGAATCATCAATTAGCTGCCTCCTGCATGCCCCACACTGGGGATTGAGCCCACAACCTGGGCGTGTGTCTTGGGAATCCAGCCGTGACCTCCTGGTTCATAGGCCGACGCTCACCCTCTGAGTCCTGCCGGCTGGGTATGCCAGCTGTTATTTAAAACTGCGTGACAGGACGGTCAGAAACATGCCTGAATGTTCCTAGGTGGTGGCCTTATGAGAGATCGCTTTATTCTTTATGTGTTTTCTATTTTCCAAATGGGGCCGAGAGGGTTCCAGTATGTGCGAGTGAACTGGATGGTTGTGGCTGCATTCTGGACTTCCTGAGGCCCACAAAGACCCTGGACAGGCACCTCAGATTCCAAAAGAGGAGGCAAGCTGTGACCTCTAAGGCTAGCTGTTTGAAGTTCAGGTTAAAAAGTATTTAAAAAAAACAACAAAAACCAATGATTTCTGTGCTTACTCTTCAGATAAAAATTTTGATGATGAAGATTCTGTGGATGGTAACAGACCTTCCTCTGCCAGTTCTACATCTTCCAAAGCTCCACCAACCTCACGGAGAAACGCTGGAATGGGGACCACCCGGCGGCTTGGCTCATCCGCTCTTGGGTCTAAGTCTTCAGGTAATTCCAGGCCCTGGGGCGGTGTGCGGTCAGCCCGGCAAGCTTTTAAGCCAGAGGTGCTGGTACTTGCCTTCTGGGTCCTTCAGAAGTGAAGCAGTCTCACTCTCGGTGTCTCTGCTGGCCATTCTTTAATGTCCGTGCTGTCAGTGTGAAGAGTTGGAGGGACGGAATTTGAGATGCTGTAGGCGGAGAATATAGCCGAATGAAGCCCAAACCAAGGTGAGCGTAGCTGAGAGAGGAAGAGCAAGAGGGCGCTCCGGTGGCATTGGTTGGTTACTGAATGGGCTCTCGCGGTGTCTGAAAGTGTCATTGGGGCCTTCTTGGCCAGTTTTTATTTATCAAGACAGACTATCTTCTGTCTTTAAAATGTATTTGTTTCTCCAGGTAGCATTGTTCCTTGTGAGACCAGTACGGATATTAAATTAAGTAAATAGTAGGGATTAGTTCCTTGAGGCTTGAAAATTGATTTACAAAGATTTCCTCCCTAAATACTGCCTTTCACCCCCAAGTTCGTACAGTGTGAGTCCTTATTATTTACTTTCATTTTGGTGTCACATTGTGAATTTATATGCAAATTTCCTACTTTTTTACTTACAAAATATGTGGCCATTGCTTTTAGAGCGTGTTCCTGTTAGCTTTGGGCTTTTGAGCTTGCTGATGTGCTGAGTTAAAACTAAAGCCGGGTTAGCATCCACACGCTGCATACTGCTGGTCTTGCCAGCTCTCGGAACTGGCCCTGGAGTGCTGGAGTCCGGGCCTCTGCCAGCAGCTCTGTCTGCATGGAGAGCCTGATTCTCTAACGTTTTTTAGGGGAGTACATTTAAAAAATTTTGTTTTTGTTATTGAGCTTAAATTCACATAGCATAAAATTAGCTATTTTAAAGATCACAATTCATTGGCATTTAGTATATTCACAGTATTGTGCACCTACCACTCTAGTTCCAAACAGTGTCCTCACCCCAAAAGGAAACCTCACACTTTATACGTTGCTCCCCATTCCTTCGCCAGCCCCTGCCATCACCAATCTGCATTTTGTCCCTGAGAGTTCACCTATGCTGGCTATTTTGAAGAAATGTGATCTTTGCTCTGGCTTCTTTCACTGAGCCTGATTCTGAGATTCATCTACATTGTAGCCTGTATCAGTACTTCATTCCTCTTGTGGCCAAACAGCCTTCCTACTCCTTTTTCCTGGTCTATTCTTGAGTGGTGTCAGTTCTACAAATAAGGTTTCAGAAATTTCTGCATGATCAGACCACTTCATTTCCTTCCCACCCTTCACCCAGATATTCCTTCCAAAAGTCTCAGCTGTGTAAACCAGCAGAGATACCAGCCCTGTCTTCCCCTTCGGCCCTGACCTCAGCTTTTCCCCATTTGTGTAGCGCATGGCCATGAATTTCCTTGTTGGCTCCTCCTTGTCAGGTCCCTCATCCTCTTCCCTCTGTGGGCACGTGGCGCAGTGCCTAACGCAGGGAGGCCTCAGGACCTGTGCTCATTGGGGTCCAGTCTTAGCACTAGAACCGGCACAGAACACCAGCTCCGTGCATGACTGGCACCTGCCCATAGTTGGCCTGTAAATGCCGTGGAGAGGTTGTTCACCGGGGGTTGGCATGCATGTACTGCTGCCAGGAGGTGTCCATAAAGCCCTTTGCTGTGCGGGTTCCAGCAGAGCACTAAGCACCAGAAAGGTTTCTGGAAAGAAGCTCTAGAGAAGCACTCACAGTGATCAGTGTACATCATTAATTAGGGCCACAAGGAACCTGCAGGCACCAGTTTTGAAATCTTTATTATGAAAACAACAGTTGTAAGAGGTCATAAGATTTTGTGTGTGGAGTACATAGTAGCAAAAAGAAAAACTTACTTCTAAGTGATAGCAATTAACTTTTAAGTATACAAAGCATCTTACAACAATTTTATAGGGGAAATTTATTACTGATGCATAAATGAAAAGTTGGCAATTATCATGAGTTCAAAGGGAATGAAAATGTTTTAAGGCTAATATAAAGTTAAAACGAAACTGTTAAATGCATTAGAACTTATTTTAATTGGTTGCGCATTGATCCATGAACCAGGTGGTCATAGTTTGATTCCCAGTCAGGGCACATGCCAGGTTGCAGACTCAATCCCCAATAGAGTGTGTGCAGGAGGCAGCTGATTGGTGATTCTCTCATCATTGATGATTCTATCTCTCCCTCTTCCTTCTCTAAAATCAATAAAAACCTATTTAAAAAAAAAATAAGCATGTGTAATCACTTTAAAGAAATGATTACAAATCTACCAAAATATAACTGTTATTGTATTTATTCAGATTCTTCCAATGAACATTATTTACATTTTAAAATAAATTTTTTATAGCGCCAAAAGAAGGAGCTGGCGCTGTTGATGAAGAGGATTTCATTAAAGCCTTTGACGACGTACCTGCAGTGCAGGTGAGTGAGGATGTTTGAGTTTGATTAAAAACGAGAAGAGGCTTACTCTTCAGATTTCACTTTTCAAATATGTGATAAGGGAAGTTGCTTAACTCAGTAAATAATTTTACATATCAAGACTACAGGAGATCTGAGATCTGTAAACCTCAGATTGCAGACTAGAAAATGTTGGAGCCTTTTATAGCTGAAATGAGCAGAAGTCACAGCCCAGGATGATCTTTCAGTAAGAACTAGAAAGAAGTTGCTGCTTCTAGTAACAAGCTTGTGGGTCAGGGCACATAAAAGAGGGGGGAGGGTAGTGACTAGATGACACAAAGGAACAAAGAAGCATGCTTATTTAGGGATTTTTCTTAGAAAAAATTTGAAGGATTTTGGTGTCTGAGAAGCTATGAAGAATTCTATATAATAAAGAGGTAATATGCAAATTGACCATCATTCCAACACACAGGATGGCCATCCCCATGTAGACACAAGATGCTGCCTCAAGCTGGCCATCAGGGGAGGGCAGTTGTTGATCAGGCCTTTAGGGGAGGGCAGTTGGAGGCAACCAGGCCAGCAGGGGAGGGCAGTTAGGGGCAACAAGGTTGGCAAGGGAGGGCAGTTAGGGGTAATGGGCCAGCAGGGGAGGGAAATTGGGGGCAACCAGGCCTTTAGGGGAGGATAGTTAGGGGTGACCAAGCCAGCAGGGGCAGGCAGTTAGGGGTAATTGGGCCAACAGTGGATCAGTCAGGTTGGCAGGGGAGTGGTTAGGGGGTGATCAGGCTGGTAGGCAAAAGTGGTTAGGGGCAATCAGGCAGGCAGGCAGGCAGGCAGGCAGGCAGGCAAGTGATTAGGAGCCAGGAGTCCTGGATTGTGAGAGCGGTCTCAGGTTGGAGAGGGTGCAGGCTGGGCTGAGGGACACCCCCTCCTCTGTGCATGAATTTCGTGCACTGGGCCTCTAGTAGTTTAATAAAAGCTTATGTATGCCATCTTGATCCTTCACTTAAGTACTTAACAGATGAAGCAAAGGTATTGATAAAAGTTGGGATAAAGTCATACATTTTAACTGCTTTGAATGTCTTAGTGTTTTTTATTAATGACTGGAGCTAGTAATACTTTTCTTAGCCTACATTGACTAGCCAATGCTCTGGGTTACTATAGCATTTTATGTCTATACTAGAGGCCTGGTGCATGGATTCGTGCATTGTTGGGGCCTCTCAGTCTGGCCTGTGCCCTCTTATAATTCAGGACATCTCAGAGGATGTTTGACTGCCGGTTTTGGCCTGATCCCCACAGGCCAGGCTGGATCGGGCCCAAACAGGCAGTCTGACGTCCCCTGAGGGATGTAGTAGTGCGTACAGCTGCAGGTGGCTGGGGGGGAGCCCGAGCCTTAGCCTGGGCGGGTGCTACGCTGTGCCACTCCCACTCATCCTTGCTACGGCACTGCTGCTCCGATAATGCTGCTGTGCCACTGCCGCTTGGATAATGCTGCTCCGGAGGCAGGGGGGGCTGGTGCCACCACAGCTGCGCTCGCCAGCCATGAGCCTGGCATCTGGTGCCCATCGGTCAGCTGAGTGGTACTCCCACTGTGGGAGTGCACTGACCACAAGGGGGCAGCTCCTGTGTTGAGTGTCTGCCCTCTGGTGGTCAGTACACGTCATAGCGACTGGTTGACCAGTTGTTTGGTCATTGGTTGCTTAGGCTTTCATATATGTAGATGAATTGCTTAACTGCTGTTTGGTTTCCATATGTGTGTAAATTAGATAACAGGCATCTTAGGCTAAGTTTTATCCTTAAGTTTTTGACCTTTTTAGCATGTCTCATTCCTGGTTGATGATCCTCCTACCTGTCTTATCAGATGTGGGAGTAAATGAAAAAGTAGATTTGAAAGTGATGGACGTGAAATAGGTGTAATGCGGTGTTATATATGAAGGACTTGTGCACCACTGACCATTCTCAGCAGGTCTTGTTCTTTTTAAATGGAAAGCCATCTGTTAAGTTTACCGTAAAACTGTATTTGAGGCTGGGTTACCCTTATCTGGGCACCAGATCTCGTGGGTACATACTCACAGGGGGTGAAGCTCACTTTAGGACAACTCTGTCCACATGTTATCTCATAGGCTCTTCTGGAAAATGAAATGATTTATTTTACTAACTACTCTTGACTTCATGTAATTAATAAATAAATCTTTTCTATGTTTTACATTATCTTGTGCTTATTGTAAATTAATTTTGCTTACAGATTTATTCCAGCCGAGACCTCGAGGAATCCATAAACAAGATTAGGGAAATATTATCTGATGACAAGCATGATTGGGAGCAAAGAGTAAATGCAGTAAGCCAGTGATTTTATGTGATTACATTTTCACTAGATTCTAAACTCTTAATTATGAAATTGGGATATAGCTCTAATGATTTTAAGGAGTAAATATTTTAAGTAAAAATTACTGCATTAACATTTTACCTTTTAGTAAGTACCTCACCTCTATTTTTGAAGCATGCAAACTTACACCTTTATGTAGATCATATGTTTTTAACAAAGACCTAAATGTGGGAGGTCTGGTGATGGATGCCCTCCACTTTCATTGTCTGTTGGCCAGCGAAGCTGCATTTTAGTGTCATTTAGAGTGATCCTCCCCGCCTTTCTTCACATTGCATGCTAGAAAGTCCTGCTCTGTCTGTTTTTAAAAGTAGATTATTGAAAGCAAGTAGCTGAACACTAAAGGGATGGTGTGTCTGATCTGAGGAAAGCTGTTTTTACAATGGTTGGCTGGCAAAAAGAGAGGTGGTAAAAAAGTATCGTATTCTCTTTCAAATTCAGACCAGCTTTTAGTAATGATACAGGATACTAAAAGAGACTGTAGGATTGCTACTACCTTTGATTTATTAAATAAATGGCAGTTGGAGTGGGTGTGGGGAAGGTAAGGTTAGGAGGTAGAGCTTTTCACAAGCTAAAGTGCAGGTTTTGGTTATTTTATCATTAGGTTAGAAAGTATACAGTAAGATGTTTTCAATTTAAAATGCATTTTGTAGAATTGTATTTATCATAGATACTACATTTTAAAAATTATTTTTCTTATTTTTGAATTGTAGATTTGTTTAGTATATTAGCTAACACTTAATTGGCTGAATTCTTTTTGTAAAACTATTTCTAAATCATTTAATTTTGACATTGATTTCTCATATTTGATGGCGTCTGTTATTACGTATGTTCTGTTTTAGGAACAGTTTTGTATATCTCCTAATTTTCTCTATCCCATTAGCTAAAAAAGATTAGATCTTTACTTTTGGCTGGTGCTGCTGAATATGATAACTTCTTTCAACATTTGAGACTCTTGGATGGAGCCTTTAAACTGTCTGCTAAGGACCTGCGGTCTCAGGTAGTGCGGGAGGCTTGTATCACGTTGGGGTAAGGACTGCGAAGCTCCAGATTCTCACGTCGTAACTTCTGGGCACAGGCTCCGGGGCGGTCACGGGCTCTGGCCAATGGGTCTTCTGACGTTACTCCCGACTGGTCTCCAAGACCCATTCCAGATACTTTTAAGATACTTCTTGCCCGGTTATGTAAAGTATGACAGATTTTAAACTTTATTCTGTGATTTAGCGCTGAAGCAGTTGTTACTAATAATACAGAAAAATGAAATTTATAAACTTGTTTCTCAGCTTTTTCATTGATTTTGCTGACAGGATATAGCATGCTTATAAAAAAATTTTATTGTTTCTAGAAGAGTATTATAGCTACAAAATAAAAATTAAAGACATAAAATGTCATTTAGTAAATGTTGATTCTACCTAAACTGAATCTGGACCAGTGGTTGGAGCGGGAACTTCTGTGTTAGGAAGGATGTCAGAACATCAGCGGAGCAGCGCCATCCGATGGCATTGCGGCTGTTTAAAAGCTTTGGCTGCAGTCAGATGTTGAAGCATGACTACTTTATGTTAAAAATAAAAAGGGTGAAAGAGAAAGAGTGAGGCAGCCCTTTCCTGTTTATAATTTATTAGTGTGTGATAAATTGTCTTTTGCTATTTGAATTCTGATTTGTTGGAAATGATTTACTTATTTATTTTTAAAGGAACAGTGGGCTCCTGGCTGTTTGCCAAGTCCTCTACATGTACATTGGAAGGATTTCAGACCCTTGTCCTTTATTTCTAGATAACTTTAAATGAAGGCTTTAAAATGTTAAGAGTTTTATATGCTTCACTGTTTGCAAGAAATATAACTATAGCCCAGTATTCATTTCTTATTTTAGGCATCTGTCATCAGTTCTGGGGAATAAGTTTGACCATGGAGCTGAAGCCATTATGCCAACAATCTTTAATTTAATTCCAAATAGTGCCAAAATTATGGCTACTTCTGGTGTTGTAGCTGTTAGGTTAATCATTCGGGTAAGTCTGTCTTGGGGTCATATATGAGTAAGCAACTGGTAAATATTGGCGGTTGATAAGCAGTAGTTAGAGGCATTTTTCATGAGAGTGATTACATATAGTTGAAATCATATCATATGGACAGTATTGGCCTTTCCTCCATTAATTATAGCACATGAGCCTTTCACATTCCATCACGTGAATTATGGATGTGGTGTAGTTACTGAGGTGTTGACCATGGACTCATCAATACTTGTAAATATTGGAGCCTCTCCATGTGCTTCAGAGTTTCTACTCAGTTATTTCCATCTCCAGATTATGCTCCCATTCTTTCCTTCCTGATCCCTAGTCATTCCACGCTAGGTATTTCTGTTTGTGATTCTGATATTCAACTGTAGTTGTTATTTACTTAATTGTAGGTAGCAGAGAAACAAAATATTATCTTTAATTCAGTTTTCTAAAAATTTATGAACATTTAAATAATTATTCAAGTAATTTATATACAAATTTTCAATAAAATTCAGTTGTTCACAACGGCTTAACACTAAGGTTCTCCATATCACCACTGCCGACTCTCAATTCCTTTTCCCAGAGGCTTGGTAGTAGCTAAAATCTACCCAGAATATTGTGATTATTGTGGGTTATTTACTTTGTATTACTTTTAGTTCTTACTATTTGCACTGCCTGCTTAATATTAAACTGAAAGACATTATTGGATATTTCTATTAAAACAATATCAAAATGAATTGGTCTGCTGACCCCTTTTGAACTCTCGCAGACCTCTGTTGCTCAAACAATTTCGATTTTATTCCAACTGGTTTTAATTTTATTTTTTTAAATTATTTTTTAAAATATATTTTTATTGATTTTTTTACAGAGAGGAAGGGAGAGAGGGAGCTAGAAACGTTGATGAGAGAGAAACATCGACCAGCTGCCTCCTGCACACCCCCTACTGGGGATGTGCCCGCAACTAATGTACATGCCCTTGACCGGAATCGAACCTGGGACTTCTCAGTCCACAGACCGACGCTCTACCACTGAGCCAAACCGGTTTCAGCTGGTTGTTTTAATTTTAGACTTACTTGCATATCATGTCGGTTTTAGCTCTGTAAATGTTATGGCCTTTGGCAATCTCCAATCATACTCTTTTATTCTTTTTAAATTTAGTGAAATTATAATCTGAATATACGTATATGTATTGATACTTTAGGTAGGTTAGTAAGGAACTGGTTGTCCTAGTTTTGTTTTTATATTTTCAAGTGTTCATCTGTTTTTTGTTCTTCTCCACAGCACACACATATCCCTAGGCTAATACCGGTGATAACAAGCAACTGTACCTCCAAGTCTGTTGCAGTTAGAAGGTAAAATTTTAAACAGTTTATTTTTGCATTATTTTAAAAACAAAACAAATTCCAATAGGGAAAAGTTTGTTTGACATGTTTAATAGTATTTAAGATTGCTGAAATGAATGATATTGTAGTGAAGAATTGTGGTCTAAATAGTCAGGAAAGTAAATTTGGATAACCTTATTTGTGCATCCATCATGCAAGAGAGAGAGAGAGAATGAGTGTGTGTGTGTAGGAATGTGAGTTAATTGGGGATCGGGTGGGTGGGGGAAAGGGGGATTCCTCTGTACATCTTTTCCTGAGATAATCTCTCTACCTGTATCATTGGTGTTCCCTGTTCTTCGAAGGAAGACAGTAACTGTGTATGTGCAAGAAAAAAGTTAGTGTCAGTTATCTAATAGTAACAGGTAGGAGGAGGTATGTGTTTGCATCTTCTGATGCAAATAATAGTTCTGGCCTCATCAATTTCTGAGCCACTCCCAGATTGCTGATCTGTATTCAGTCAGAGCAAGTACCATCAGAATCATGTGTCTTAGTGCTGGGAGAAATGGGGCCCACCTGGCGTCGCTCTGCCTTTATAGAAAGGGCTGGAGGGCAGAGAGGGCATGTAACCTGTCCCTACATTCGCTCTGTAGAGCTTCTAAGACATGCATTGCACAACTTCCCTGCTTTTCAGAAGTTTATCGTTAGTTGGAGAGATTGAAAGCAGTAACACAAAGCAGTGTAAGAGTGAGTTACAACATTCAGAGAGAGCAGTGATCAAAACCAGCAGGTAGCATGCTCAAGAAGCTTCATAAGAAGTGGAAAATAGAGCTGTCTTTCTGAATGATGAGTAGGTTAAGAAGAGAGATAAGTTCTAACCTGATGTGTTTAATTAACACATTAATTAAAATTGATTAAATAATGCCAGCATTGGTAGACGTCTGTGTTTGCTGTAGGTCTAAAAAGTTGAAAACAATATCTAATTACAGGTGTATTTTTAATTAATACTTAAGACAAGAATTAGTGCTAAAGATGGCTGCTTGCACTAAGGGAGAAATCCAGTGTGTTTCCTTGGAGAAAGTTTGCTTGACAAACCCTCAAACTCCCATGTTGCCACCCTAGGAGTGAGTTGACTCTCTCGTGTGCTTTAAAGCCCCCTATGCTCCAGACACATGGCAACCCTTTCTTGTCTTTCCAGCTGCCTGGGTTGTGTCTTGGTTACCGTTGTGTCTCTAGCACTGAGCAGAGGGCAAGGGCGTGATATAGACTTACGGAGCGGTTCATTGTATGGATTGGGAAGGAAGGTTGGGTCATTCGAGAAAGATCACCTTTTGACTTGTTTCCTCGAATGGGTTCCTAAAACATTAAGATTTCTTCCTGCAAAGATGGGTGCCCTGGCCTTGCCATGCCACCCAAAGGGGAGGAGCCAGGCGTGTTTCCGGGCACAGATCAGATAAGACTTGTCACAGAAGTGAAAAGGCTGACAGAGAAAGGCCGCTGGAAGATTGAGGAGAGGAAAATGGCTGAGTAGCTAGGAAAAAAAGGATTTTAAGCACTACCTAGAACCTTATCAGGAAAATTTGTCAAACACTTCTTGTTTTTCAGGGTATTTTTTACTTTTTGTGTGTGCAAGGCATTCTGTGAAATTAATGCAAAGACCAGTTGCCTGATTCTGTAATGTACGTTGTTCTTTTGTGCGTGTTTGCGTCCGGTGTCCACGCATTATTTGAGGTAGAAGTGAGAACAATGCGCTCTGGGGGTGAGGTTGCTGGTGGAATGTTTGTATTCTGTCCCTAAGTTAGCTCTGGTTTTCCTTCTGACCACCATAGATGCTTAATTTAAAAATTTTCGTTGACTTTGTTAATTCTGATTCCATCTTTATGTCCCAAGTTTTAAGTCATACAAATTAGAAGTCACATCAGTTATAAAAAGTAGTGTTGGGCCATTTAAGAAAAAAGCTTTTATTTTCATTAACATACAAATCACTAAGTTACATATTTTTTCTTTATAATTTTCAGACGCTGTTTTGAATTTTTAGATTTACTTTTACAAGAATGGCAGACACATTCACTGGAACGGTGAGCATCTGATTTGCTGTTTTTTCCTCTGAATTGAATCCTGAGATTTAATGACTCAGTGAGTGGTCCACTCTCTGTCAGAAATGGAGGAATCTGAGCATTTGTCCTCATGACAACATCTGTTATTTCTACTGCTCTGAGGCACATCATAGCCTGGAGCAGATTCACTGAGTGAAGGGTTGGAGTGTCAGAGGTGTGGGCAGGGTGTGCGGTGACAGCCACACAGCCGCCCGCCCTTCGCTGCCGGTCCTGCAGCTGGCCTCCCGCGGCTCAGGGGTTCTGAGCAGCCAGGGTGGATCAGAAAGGCAGCGATTTCTCTTTATTCAGATTGGTATCTGGTAAGTTTCACATCGTCATAACGAAAACTGGGATTATGACAATTTTTGAAGAATAGAAGCCTGCCTCTGAATTTTTAGACATTTTTTATTTCTGAGTTAAATTTGGAGAAATAAATGCTGATTTTTGTGCCACTCATTTTAATGATATGTCGTATAATTTGTGAAGACCTTCATAGCATATTAAACTTTTCATTAGAGTGGGATTTTAATAAATTGAGTACTCCTGGGAGGCCCGTGCATGCTGCAGTGTCGGAGCTGAGGCTCCCAGAGGCACATCTTCACCTGGATATTTTATACTACTGTGCGTCTAGAGCAGTGGTTCTCAGCCTTCCTAATGCCGCGGCCCTTTAATACAGCTCCTCATGTGGTGGCCTCCAACCACAACATTATTTTCCTTGCTACTTCATAACTGTAATTTGCTACTGTTAATGAATTTTAATGTAAATATCTGTGTTTTTTGATGGTCTTAGGCGACCCTGCTAGCGGTTTCAACGTGTGTGTAACTTAGCAGGGTTCACTAAATATTGAATGAATGAAGGCGTGAGGGAAAGACTGTGAATGGGCTGGTAAAATTGCTAACTGGTCTTTGTTCTATGAAACTATTCATTCCAGCATTTCCCTTTTCTTAAAATTTTGTTAAATGTCAATGAGACAGCCGAGACCGGTTTGGCTCAATGGATAGAGCGTCGGCTTGGGGACTGAAGGATCCTGGGTTCGATTCCGGTCAAGGGCATGTACCTTGGTTGCGGGCATATCCCCAGTAGGGGGTGTGCAAGAGGCAGCTGATCGATGACTCTCTCTCATCGATGTTTCTAACTCTCTATCTCTCTCCCTCTCTGTACAAAATCAATAAAATATATTTAAAAAAAAGAAAGAAATAAAAATGTCAATGAGACAGTTTAATGATTTCTCTTACCTAGAGTAGAACATAACTGAAGAGAATACCTATTTATAAAATGGTTACATAATTTTATAAAATTGTTATGATACATAGTGGAAGTTGAAAAAAAATTCTCTTTAAATACAGAAATGTGATGCGGATAGCCTCTTTAGTATTATGATTATAAATGTCTCACTATAATTTCCATAGGAAATAGTTCTGACTATGGAAAAATGAGATTTGTTGCTTTGGTCCAAAAAAGATTGAGCTAAATAAGTATGGCCTGAAAAAAATCAGCTGTAAGTTAAAAAAAAAAAAAAAATCATGCCAGAGTATGGCCTTGCCAGGGTGCCTGGGTGGGGGCGGGGCACTGGGACAGACCCGAGCCCCGGACGCTCTGATGCGGAAGCTGCGTTGTGACTGGACTCGGCACAGAGGCTCCAGGTCCCATGTTCCCATTTTGAAGTTATGTCTCACACCTGTTTCCATCTGCGCAGCACGTATGTTAGTGATTGTTGCTTTCTGTTCTAAATGTCTAGGCACATATCAGTATTAGCCGAAACGATAAAGAAGGGAATACATGACGCCGACTCGGAAGCCAGGATAGAAGCCAGAAAGTAAGTGTGTGTTTGTATACCATCTGTTCGTGCACTCGGGTGTTCTCTGCTCCTTCCGTGAGCCTGTTAAAGCCAGGCCAGAGTCCACAGTGACCTCTTTCCCTGTGTCATGTCACAGTGAGTGTCAGGTGGTGCTTTGGGGTGTGCCTCACAGTTGGCAGGAGTGGGGGTGGGGGTGGGGGTGGGGGTGGGGGTGGGTTGGGGGGGTGTACAGTGGCTCAGTATTGGCCCAGTGGCTGCTTGCTGCTGCCCTCAGGTTTGATGCAGTTCCACTCCATTCACACGGCTGTGGCCCCAGACAGTCAGCACTCCCTGGGAGCCATCTTCCCACTGTGACCTTGACCGTGACCATTAGAAGTTTCGTGCTAACTCTCTGGGGGCACAGGAGTGCATGCATGAGCACTGCCAGCTTTGTGCCGGTGGCGGTTTTTCTGTGCTTTTGTAATTGATCAGCTCTTCTCCTTGACACTGGTTAAAACTTATTCTTGCCCTGCCGAAACCGGTTTGGCTCAGTGGATTGAGCGTCAGCCTGTGGACTGAAAGGTCCCGGGTTTGATTCCGGTCAGGGGCATGTACCTTGGTTGTGGGCACATCCCCAGTGGTGGGTGTGCAAGAGGCAGCTGATCAATGATTCTCATCAATGTTTCTAACTCTATCCTTCTCACTTCCTCTCTGTAAAAAAATCAATAAAATATATATTTTTTAAATGTTATTAAAAAGAAACTTATTCTTGCCCTAACTGATTTAGCTCAGTAGACAGAGAGTTGGCCTGCGGACTAAAGGATCCTAGGTTCGATTCCAGGCAAGGGCACATATCCAGGTTTTGGGCTCGATCCCCAGGTGTGGGGCATGCAGGAGGCAGCCAATCAATGATTCTCATCATTGATGTTTCTCTCTCCCTTCCTCTCTGAAATCAATAAAAATACATTAAAAAACAGCAACAACCCTATCTTTCTTACAAGTATGGCGTGTGGCTATTTTATTCAGCTGCACCGATACGTCCTGGTCAGTTACCGCCTGCTCTTGTTCTCTCAGCTACATTCTGGTCCTCTGGTTGCTGAGGGTGTGGAGGACCTCTCACTGACAGTGCAGGGCTCACCACCATCTGGGTGGTTCCTGCCAAAGCGCAGTAATTAGTAGCTGGTGAAAACTATTAGGAGGGTATTTGCTAATGACCTACTTATGCTATTTTTATCCTGTATTCTTCCCCTTCCCCAATTCATTCCAGTTCTTTAGTTATCATGCAGGAATGATTTTTAAATAGTTCTGAACACATTTCCATTTTTTGGTACATATTATCTAGGGCAATTTTTAAATATTTTAAATCAGTGAGTGTCAAATTACATTGATAAAAACCACCATTAGCCCTGGCAATGTTATCAAATGGTTAGAGCATCAGCCCATGTATCAAAGGGTTTCAGGTTCAATTCCTGGTCCAGGCATGTACCTGGGTTGCAGGTTCGATCCCTACCCCCAGTCTGGGTGCTTGTGGGAGGCAACTGGGTCTCTCGCATGTTTCTCTCTCTCTCCCTCCCTCCCTCCCTCTCTCTCCCTCCCTCCCTCCCTCCCTCCCTCCCTCCCTCCCTTCCTCTCTTCCTCTCTTCCTCTCTTTCTCTCTTCCTCTCTTCCTCTCTTCCTCTTCCCAAGCTCCAAAAATCAATGACAAAAGAAATTCTCCAGTGAGGATTAACAAAACAATAAAAACACAGCCATTTGTGACTCCCTCAGGTTTAGGTATAGTTCTCCATATTTTATCTCCCTCTCCCTTAAGGCTCCCCAGTGTTCTTACACGTGAGCCTCTTTAATTTCCACATTGTAACGAGACTGAGGCTCAGACGAGTTCCTGCCCAGTGTCAGTCCCCTTTGTTCACGGTGGGTCAGTCCCCTCGGTTCACGGTGGGTCAGTCCCCTTTGTTCACGGTGGGTCAGTCCCCTCGGTTCACGGTGGGTCAGTCCCCTCGGTTCACGGTGGATCAGTCCCCTCGGTTCACGGTGGGTCAGTCCCCTCGGTTCACGGTGGATCAGTCCCCTTTGTTCACGGTGGGTCAGTCCCCTTGGTTCACGGTGGGTCAGTCCCCTTGGTTCACGGTGGGTCAGTCCCCTTTGTTCACGGTGGGTCAGTCCCCTTTGTTCACGGTGGGTCAGTCCCCTCGGTTCACGGTGAGTCAGTCCCCTTGGTTCACGGTGGGTCAGTCCCCTTTGTTCACGGTGGGTCAGTCCCCTCGGTTCACGGTGGGTCAGTCCCCTTGGTTCACGGTGGGTCAGTCCCCTCGGTTCACGGTGGGTCAGTCCCCTTTGTTCATGGTGGGTCAGTTCCCTCTGTTCACGGTGGGTCAGTCCCCTCGGTTCACGGTGGGTCAGTCCCCTCGGTTCACGGTGGGTCAGTCCCCTTTGTTCACGGTGGGTCAGTTCCCTCTGTTCACGGTGGGTCAGTCCCCTCGGTTCACGGTGGGTCAGTCCCCTCGGTTCACGGTGGGTCAGTCCCCTCGGTTCACGGTGGGTCAGTCCCCTCGGTTCACGGAGGGTCAGTCCCCTTTGTTCACGGTGGGTCAGTCCCCTTTGTTCACGGTGGGTCAGTCCCCTTTGTTCACGGTGGGTCAGTCCCCTTTGTTCACGGTGGGTCAGTCCCCTTTGTTCACGGTGGGTCAGTCCCCTTTGTTCACGGTGGGTCAGTCCCCTCGGTTCACGGTGGGTCAGTCCCCTCGGTTCACGGTGGGTCAGTCCCTTTGTTCACGGAAGGTCAGTCCCCTCGGTTCACGGTGGGTCAGTCCCCTCGGTTCACGGTGGGTCAGTCCCCTCGGTTCACGGTGGGTCAGTCCCCTTTGTTCACGGTGGGTCAGTCCCCTCGGTTCACGGTGGGTCAGTCCCCTTTGTTTACGGTGGGTCAGTCCCCTCGGTTCACGGTGGGTCAGTCCCCTCGGTTCACGGTGGGTCAGTCCCCTTTGTTCACGGTGGGTCAGTCCCCTCGGTTCACGGTGGGTCAGTCCCCTCGGTTCACGGTGGGTCAGTCCCCTTTGTTTACGGTGGGTCAGTCCCCTTTGTTCACGGAGGGTCAGTCCCCTTTGTTCACGGAGGGTCAGTCCCCTTTGTTCACGGTGGGTCAGTCCCCTTTGTTCACGGAGGGTCAGTCCCCTTTGTTCACGGTGGGTCAGTCCCCTTTGTTCACGGAGGGTCAGTCCCCTTTGTTCACGGTGGGTCAGTCCCCTCGGTTCACGGTGGGTCAGTCCCCTTTGTTTACGGTGGGTCAGTCCCCTCGGTTCACGGTGGGTCAGTCCCCTCGGTTCACGGTGGGTCAGTCCCTTTGGTTCACGGTGGGTCAGTCCCCTTGGTTCACGGTGGGTCAGTCCCCTTTGTTCACGGAGGGTCAGTCCCCTTTGTTCACGGTGGGTCAGTCCCCTTTGTTCACGGAGGGTCAGTCCCCTTTGTTCACGGTGGGTCAGTCCCCTTTGTTCACGGTGGGTCAGTCCCCTTTGTTCACGGTGGGTCAGTCCCCTTTGTTCACGGAGGGTCAGTCCCCTTTGTTCACGGTGGGTCAGTCCCCTCGGTTCACGGTGGGTCAGTCCCCTCGGTTCACGGTGGGTCAGTCCCCTTTGTTCACGGTGGGTCAGTCCCCTCGGTTCACGGTGGGTCAGTCCCCTCGGTTCACGGTGGGTCAGTCCCCTTTGTTTACGGTGGGTCAGTCCCCTTTGTTCACGGAGGGTCAGTCCCCTTTGTTCACGGAGGGTCAGTCCCCTTTGTTCACGGTGGGTCAGTCCCCTTTGTTCACGGAGGGTCAGTCCCCTTTGTTTACGGTGGGTCAGTCCCCTCGGTTCACGGTGGGTCAGTCCCCTCGGTTCACGGTGGGTCAGTCCCCTTTGTTCACGGTGGGTCAGTCCCCTTGGTTCACGGTGGGTCAGTCCCCTTTGTTCACGGCGTCTTCGGTGCACGGGCTCCGGGGGCAGGGAAGCAGGCTCTGGCCCTGGAAGGTGTCCTGTAGGCCCGGATGCCGCCCTCCCAGTAACAGGAAGCTGTGTTTTCCCAGGTGTTACTGGGGGTTCCACAGCCACTTCAGCAGGGAGGCAGAGCACCTGTACCACACGCTGGAGTCCTCCTACCAGAAGGCCCTGCAGTCCCACCTGAAGAACTCGGACAGCATCGTGTCCTTGCCGCAGTCGGACCGCTCGTCTTCCAGCTCTCAGGAGAGTCTGAAGTAAGGGTGCATTCGTGTGAGATTTGTGTTTACAGTCTGCTGCTTGAAAACACCAATTCTAGCTGTGCTTGCACATGTACGAGCCGCTACAAATCCCCCTCACTTCAGGGGCATCCTGGCACGAGGCGAGGTGCCGCGGGAGTGGTAAGAAGTAAGGTGGCCATGGTCGTTGCTATTAGTTGATCTTCGTTACGTTTATGTGACGGTTCAGTGTAGAGCGGAGTGATGTAAGTGGATTATTCAGGGCCTTCTGAGAGCACGGTGTGTCTGACCCAAGGCCAGGCTGCCCCTGAGCTAAGCGTCCTGCCACCTTTCCTCTGTTCCTGCGTCTGTCCCTAGAGGGGACCTGCTCTCTGTGTTTGCCACATAGTCCAGCTTTGAATGGCAAAGCTCTCTCAGACGGAGTTTATAAGGTTGTGGGCCAGCTTGCCTGAGAAATTCTGAAAACTCCAAAATCATTCTTCATTACATAATTTCCAGTTACTGATTGTACTTGTATTAATGCAGGTCAAGTGCATATTTGAAAATAAGCAGGTGTGTACTTTATTTCCAGTCGGCCGCTCTCTGCCAAAAGAAGTTCCACTGGAAGTAGCGCCTCTAGAGGTAAGCTGAGGGGCCAGGCAGCGCGGGAGGCTGTGACTCACCTTGGTCAGGGCCACAGGGAAGCTGCCACAGCCCCAGCCCCAGCCCCAGCCCCAGCCTCTGCCTCTGCCCAGGCCCCAGCCCCAGCCCCTGTCTCGGCCACAGCCTCAGCTCCAGCCCCAGCCCCTGTCTCGGCCACAGCCCCAGCCCCAGCCCCTGTCTCGGCCACAGCCTCAGCCCCAGCCCCAGCCCCAGCCCCAGCCCCTGCCCCAGCCCCGGCCCCAGCTGGTTTGCAGTGTGCGCGCTGCTCTGTGCTCCGCCGTCCCCAGCAGAGCTCCCCTTCTCCAGGGCCCTGAGCTGAGGTCGGCTCCTTCAGGCAGAAATGAGCTCTGCCCTTGCCTCACACACGGCCCCAGCATGTGCGCCTGCCACACCCCATGCGGCTCCCCCTGTGTCACTGGGTCAGGAGCAAAGGCCGCGGTGCTCAGAGCGGCTGCAGTTCCGAGCCTGGGGCGGGCAGGAGCACCCCAAGGGGCAGGCCGCTCGGTAAGAGCACACTTTGCCACGTTGTGAAGAAACTGGTCAGATGTGAACAGTGTTGTTTCACTTCTCATACCAGAAATGTGGTCCATTTGTGGGTGGTATTGTAGTCTGTGGTTACAAGAAGACAGATATAACAGTGTGTGGAGTTGTGGTCACTTTCTTTCCTCAGCGTGGACTGGGCTCTGTCCTCAGGGACCAGGAGAAAGTGTTGGTCAGTGCTGTGTTCCAACCTTTGCTAAAACTTGATACTTGCTGTAAATACAAGCAAAATTAGTTTAATAGTAGATGTGTACAGCTCTAGTGTGGTTCTTCCTAATGTTTCTTGCGTTACCACCACAGCTTCGACCGTCAGCACTAAATCTGTGTCGACGACTGGGTCCCTGCAGCGGTCCCGGAGCGACATCGACGTGAACGCGGCGGCCAGCGCCAAGTCCAAGGCCGCCTCGGCGTCCGGCGCCGCGCCCTTCAGCTCCGCCGCGGCCTTGCCTCCGGGCTCGTACGCGTCCTTAGGTAACAGTCCCCACCACCCCCGTCTGCTCGGAGCTGGAGTCCCCTCTGCGCAGGCTCACTTAGCTCACTCCAGGAGCAGTCTGAGGAGCTGGCCGTCACAGGGCCCATGTGTGAGATGAGTGACTGACTGGCCCATGGCGGGTTAACAGCTCCCTCTGCGAGCGTCCCCTTTCCTGGCGCATCCTGTGTTAGCGACGAGCAGGTACTGGTGCCACATGGTGTGTGGCACTGAGCCCGGCCGCCTTCAGCTCCACTCCGCAGGATGGCGCCCACGTGGCTCCCTCCATGGGCCACAGCTGGCTTCTCTCCCAGCCTGACTCTGGTGGGAGCAGAGTGGGCAGGGTCTCGTGAGGAATTCACCAAAGATAGTCCCTGTACTTAGATATTTTCTAGTTTGAAAATGTAATTGAGCGGAGTGGGGAAGGTTGGGGGGGAGGTGACAGCAGGAGGGGTCCTTTGAGGAGTGGGTGGCCTTGTTAGCCAGCATCGCCATCCTGTACGTAGGGTGCTGTCCTCCCCGTCACTGTGGGAAGAGCAGCACTTACTCCTATGACAGCCCAAAGGAGTACAAGAATCACAGTGCTCCACGGAGTGAGTGTCTGATGGAGTGGGACCCAACACCTGCTCTCCATAGGCTGATGGCTTGTTTAATTGTATTTTTGTGCAAGTGAAGTCATTTGGAGCCAAAATCTGGGGGCTTAGCTGATGAGTTTGATTTTGGATTTTTTGAAAATGAATACAGTTTAAACTTTATGAAACATGGAGACTGAATTATGTGGTTTACATATTAACTCCCAAATCAGCCCTAAAGATAATGTTCTAAAAACGCTGTGTATGTGGAAGCATAGTGAGAAGACACCGAGCAGAGATCCTGGGCCTGCCACTCACCCGCTTGGTAACCCGGAGCAGCCACGGAGTCCGAGTCTTCCTGGGCCCTAAGTTAGCTGCAGTCCCAGCACCCAGCTCAGATATGTGACAGGAAGTCAGATATGTGACGGGAAGTCACAGAAAAGAGAAAAAAGCTGCAGCTGTGATAGGAACATCATCAGTTTGAAAGGCACATACGTTCTGGAACGTGCGTTAATCCGGTCTTGTCTTCTCTGCGGTGTGGACGGGTAGGTGCGTGGGTGGACATTAGGTTAGATTGGGAAGAAACCCTCCAGAGTGCTCCTTCCCTACCGTGTGACCTGACGCGGAAGCCTCTGTGACGCAGCGTTACGTGCGGTCACAGCAGGAGGGGCGTCAGCTCCCTCTCCTTTCCTGCGGGCAGTGAAGTCACTTTGTCCCGTTAGTTCAGTGTTCGAAGTGCTTATCGGTGTTTCAAGTACATGCAATCCACACCTGAGCATTGGTTCATTGCTAGAAAATGCGAGCACAGACCCCTGAGAGTCCTCAGGAGCCTGTTTCCGCTCACATTGGATATTGTGACATGGACCAGTGACTTCCCTCGCTGCTCGGAAAGCACCCTGGCCTTTTGGTCTGATGATGCAGGACGACCTTTCGGAAGCACTGATAAATTTTCAACCCAGGGTTCCCTCTTCAAATAATAAGTTTGGTGTATCCTCGTCCCTCCCCTTTTCCTGACCATCTCTAACATGCCTATGTTCAAAACGACAGGAAACAAAGCCACCCTGAAATGCAGCCTAGCCCTCCTACAGAGTTGCTGCGGTTACCGTTAGGCTGACACGTTACCTCTGTGCAGAGAGTAGCTTTAAAGCTGACGGTCCTTTTCCAAACTTCTAGAGTCCAGACACATGAGGGACGAGGTGGAGTCCGTAGGCCTTGATTCAGGTACCACGCTGTACAGCTTGGCTGCTGGCGAGTAGTTGGGTAGGCATTGCTAGAGCTAGCTTCTCTGAGCTTCTCTCGCCGCTGCCCGTAGTTGACTCTGTAGTAGTTTAGTTTTTAGCCCCGTGTCCTCCCCAACCCCTTCTGGTACCTGTTCCTTGGAAAAGGAACTCCTCGGAACATGAGGTTTGGCTAAAAGAAAAACAACAATCACCATCAGCTGAGACCGCCCGGGGTACCCTTTTTTGTGTTTTTCAAAGGCAAAAAGCACATGATTTTAACTGACTTCCAATAAGCCTCCGCTTCGCTGCCGAACTTGTTTCCCTTTCAATTTTGTTTTAAGCTGTACTTTCGCTTTTTTTAGTAGCTAATTACATTCTGCTTTTTAAGTTTTAAATGTTACTAACTGTTCCCTGTTACCCCTCCCCTTGTTTTTAATTTGCTTAAAGATGGTACTGCCACTAAAGCGGAGGGTAAGCGGTTTGTTTCTGTGACGGAGGTGTGTCTCCCTTCCACGGCCCTCTGTGCTCACAACTGTCTCCTGCCCCGTCACTGAGGTCCCTGCATGAGACTGCACGCTGCTCCCCCCTCGTCATGTCCCCCCGGGTTTCCGCCTCCCTCCCCTGCGCCCGCTCCCTGTGTGGTGGTTCTCGTGAGTGAGCCCTGTGTGCAGTGCGGCCAGCCCTGGGCACCGGGGAGGAGCGGCCGACGTGGTGTGCTGTGTCCCCAGCTGCCGTCTCGGAGCTTGTGACTCCTGAAGCACTTCCTCACCTGTTTCCTTTTGTGTCCTTCTCGTACTTTGGTGCTTTTGTGGGCCTTTGGGATTTGCTCTCCTGTTTTGAAAATAAATTTGTGTCAATCATTCAGGTTAAAGATGGTTAAAGGTTTTTACCAGGTAATTTATAGAAATTGATAAAAATGCATTTCTGTCTCCAGTGGTGTTACACCATGCCATTTTTATTTGTATCACTGAGAGTACCGTCATTCATGTGTGTTCATTCATCCACTCCCCGGGCATGAGCAAGTGCCTCCTGCGTGCTGTGTCCTCGCTACACAAGGACACAGCACGGCGACAGAGTGCACGTGTCCAGATCCACTTGGTTTGGTTCTGTGCTGTCTCCAGAAGCCTCCCTGACTGCATCAGCCTTTGGATGTTAGACCTACCTAGTCGAGTGTGTGTAGGTCTTTGACTAGCACATGCTAGACAAGATCAACTTTTACAAAGTCTCTAGAGAATCATGATAATGGTTCACACAGTTGAAATTTAGATGGTGGCTTAGACACACCAACTCTCAGGATAATGCTTTAACAATTAGGGGTGCTAGTTTACTTTCATATATTATTTAGAACTCTAAATGCTAACCTGCAAAGCACACTGGATTTATGTTAATATGTGTAATTCACAGTACTTTATACATATTAATTCAGAGAGGAAGGGAAGAGAGAGAGAAACATCAATGATGAGAGAGAATCATTGATTTGCTGCCTCCTGCATGCCCATATGGGATTGAGCCCACAAATCAGCCATGTGTCCTGGCTGGGAATCGAACCCTTGTTACCTCCTGCTTTATAGGTTGATGCTTAACCACTGAGCTACGTGGCCCAGGCAGTTCATACTTTTAATCCATATACTACTTCCTAAGATAATCATAGTCCCAAGATCAGTGTTCTTCAAATTTCTTATAGACATTACCTAAAAGAATAAAGGTCCCGTCCTTCCCCTGAAAATTCTGATTAAGCAGCAGGTGAATATGAATTTTCAACAAGCCCCCCCACTGGTGATTTGTGGAATTGGAGAAGTTTGAAATGAAAAGTTGCCAAAAATAAAAAATGGAAAAACACCTATGTTATAACGAGAACCTCATTTATGATAGGAGACTGATGAGCGTGCGATTTTCTGTTTTTAGCTGGTAGGGGTAATTATTTATTTTCCTTTCCCATAGAAACCATCTTTAAGAGTTTTTCAGCCGAGGTGGAAGGAAAGTGTGGAGAGTGGAATACAGTAATGCCAGTGAAATGGAAAGTGAAAGACACTGTGTGGGGAATTACATTTCTTTTCCAGAATAGCCTGATCGATATGCCTGTATCACACTGTTGAAATCAGTCTGTTATTTTAGCCAGCACTGGGATTTTCCCCTTTTTTAATCAGCTTTCTTTTTACTAGTCAGAGCAAGTTCAGAAATTTGCCCGTTGATGATGACTGTGCTGACTGACAAGAAGTCTCTCTGGTCCTCTTTCCAGACTGTAATATACACAGGCACTTACAGTAATACTACCAACTCCAGCGGGAGAACATGAGGGCCCTGAATTGTACAGAGTTCAGAATTAGACGGAGAGTGCTCCTCGAGGGAGCCCCTGAGCTTGGTGTCCGTGCCCCAGGCTGGGCGGCTGCTGCAGAGCCCACAGCAGAGCTTGAGCCTGAGCCTGAGTGAGGAAGGAGGGATGGATGGGGCCCTGGGAGGCCTGTACGCTTAGGCAGGTCAAAACTGTCATTTCTGTTTGTTGCAGCAGCATAGCTGGGCAGTGATGCTTAGGAAAGCTGCAGACAGTTATGAGAAAAGGCAGCAGTAAATATTACAAAGTGTCTTGTTATATGTTTCCATATCTGAAATTGTGGAATCATTATGGGCCTTTTAAAATTTTTATTCTAAAAAAAATCTGTTTGTTGTTTTTTTACCAACTATCTATAGTTCCTGAGGTAAGAAGAGAAAGGTACTATCATTATTAGGAAACAAAGATGATTTTGAATCAGTACTTGGATGATCTAAATTTAAAATTCAGACAATACATTTAAATTTTGGCAACTTCATTAATTATAGTAATTGAGATATTTATTCTTGGGAGGTTATTTATCATACACATTGAGTAGTCTTTCTAACATTTATGACTAATTAGAAAAACGTTTTTTTTTAATTTTGGACAAAAGTTTATTTCTAGGATAGCCTTCAGTGTGTTGTGTTCAGTAATTTGGAGAATTTGGAAAAGGAAGCATTATGTAGCCTATTATACTGCTTAGGAGAAAGTTTATGATAGAGGTTGAACTTATACGGCAAATAAATACACTCTGATCTAATTTTTTGTAGCTAGTATGCTTAGAAAATTTGTTTGTTTATATTTTTCCCTGAAATAAGTAACTTCAAGTGAAGAGTTACCATGTTTGAATGACCTATGTGGTAACTAATAATTTTAGGTAACTTCAGAGAACAGACGATCACATGTTAAGTATAGTCAGAGGCCGGCGTACTATTGGCGACCTCAAGGTTACACAATAAAAACTATGGCGCCTTGTCTGCTCTCCCGGGAGGAAGCTAGGACTTATTTTTACTGAGAACAAAGACATTTGGTATTATTGCACATGTGCCCGAGAAATCTGAAGTGTAAGTGGTTGGTTTTTTTTTTTTTTTTATACAATACAAAAATATGTATGTCTGTATGTAGAAGTAAAAGAGTGTTACGAGTGTTTATCTTGAAAATATGTAAGGAAAGTTACTCTTTTTGGGAGAGCATTTGTAGGTAGCAAAATTTACAACTGATCAATTATCCAAATTTTTATTCTGTCAAAAATGCTACCTGTGAGTAGCGATAGGCTTATTGTGCCCCTGAGCAATGTGTGCCAAAATGTCCCCATATGATGACAGTTGAGATTTACCTAGGAACCTTTTAATTTTTATGCCCTCTAAATTGAGAATTGGCTCAAACTTGAAACATACAAAACAAAACAAAACAAACAGAACACTCCTACTGTATCTCGCCAACCAGGGATTTTTAAAATTATCTGAAGCTAAATGGAATGTGGGAAAACCGTGCCTGCAAATTAAACCAGGTGCACGGGTTTAGTTTCCTGATTTGAGGGCTTTTGTAGAAGAATGGCAGTGTGAGTGGAAAATTTCCTCAGCAGCACTATTAAAAAGCCCCAGGCATGGGTGTCCTCTCTCTATGCCAGGGAAGTCAAAGCCTGCACTCCTCTTACAATCCTTTGTTTTCCTCTGGGTCTGCTCTTCTCTGGGTAGATGTGTTTGTCCATGTGCTTATCCCTCCCTGCAGAATGCTTTTTGTTGTACAGTTGTCTAATATCTCTTATTTCTATTTCTCCTACTTATTGTGACTTTTTTTCTTTCATATCTACTTCTGTCTGTCATAATATGAATGAATGAATGAGTGTGAATGTGTCATTAACTAGTCAGAATACAGAACTGAAGACTATTTTTACTGTTTGCTGCATTTATTGAGTAGGCTTTGTTTTTCCTAAAGAGTGTTTTATACAGACTGTAAAATATACACAGGCACTTACAGTAATACTACCAACTTAATAAAATGAAAAAACAATTTCTAGAAAAGAAATAAATATCTGAGTGCAGCATAGTAGAGGCCCTTTAAACTCTGCCCCCCAAAAGGATTCTAAGGGTGCCCCGAGGGCTTAGTTACTAACTGGAGGCCCTAGGGGAGGCAGGAAATTAGCCCTTGACTTCATCAAATGAGAATCAGAGTTGGCATGAAGCCAGCTTTGTCAGGGTGTGTAGCTCCATGGAGAAGTGGACTGGGAAAGCTTCATCGCTCTCTTGACTTGGTCCTAGGCAGAGGAGAGCATACTTTCCCCTGACTGTAACCACGCTCTCTTGTCAGGCATATCGTCTCAGTCTGCCTTCCCTGTGGCGTCTGGGAAACCCCACGCTGATGAATAAGGTGGTCTGGGTTGGTAGCCCCCAAGGGTGCCTGACAAGAACAAACATTGAACTTTTACAGAGGAAGCCACTCTCAAATCCGGTTCCTTGGGATCCCCACAGATTTAAAAGGGTGGGGCAAAAGTAGGTTTACAGTTGTGAGTTTGCAAAACAGTTTATTCTTGTATTAATAGTCATGTTATTTTTCCACATGAACAGCTTTAGACTACTTTTGCCCCACTCTGCAAATAGGAGTTCATAGTTCAAAACTGTAACTGGACAACCAAGAGGTCCGGCTGTCTTCACCACTTGAAGCCAGTTCAGCAGAGACAGGGTTGAATCATATATGAGCATTTATTCCAATAATGCCGGCGATACGAGAGCAGCAGGTCACCCACAGAAATCTGCTCTGCCCTACCATAAGTTGGCTGCTTATATTGCGTAAAAGGACCAGATTACGTGGGGAAGTAGGATTACAGGCATAGGGAAGTGGGAATGGGGTAATCATTACAGGTTAAAGCCCTGCGGGCTGCGGGGAGAGGGCAGGACTGGATTACAGGTGATAGGGGCAGGGCTTGTGAAGAGCAGGTGCCTCCAGGACTAGGTGCCACGAGGTTGTAAATTGTTTCTTAATGATAGGGCAATTCTTGGGAGGATGACAGTCTGCATTCCCATGCGAGCTCTCATATCCAGAGCGAGCAACTCTCAGTGAGTTAGGAGTGTGCTTTCTCTAAACAGAACAGAACCGCCATGGTTAACAGAGCGGGATTAATATTTCGTACTAGAGGCCCAGCGTGCAAAATTGTAGGAGACACAGAGTCCCTCCCGCTGTTGCCACGAGACCCATCAGTGCACCTCCTGGTGACCGATTGTTTGGGCATTCCGGTGTTCTGGCCACTGGCCTTTTATAATATAATTAATTGTAGCTGGTCCCTGATATGTGCTATTTCTGCCTCTAACATTTATATCTATAATGAGTTAGAGGTAGCAGAAAGAAGCATATCCTTTAATACCTGAAAGGCTCTTTTATATAATACAAAGTAGCTGTATTTAAATGTTTCAAAGAAATAAGTAACTTGCGTTTTTAGCAGTCTGCAGAATTTTTTAGTGTGATTGGTCTGGCCAATTGAGAACACATCACTAATAAAGGCAGTAAGTCAGTAAGTCACGCATCTTGAAAGCAAAAGCAGGAACCTCAGTAGGGAAGGGCCACATCTGGCTGCACCTGAGGGACATGGAGGCCTGGGCATTTGCTGTGCTGAGTGATCAGGATGTGGAGGGCAAGAAGCAACCCAAACCCACCCAAGACTACACCATCATTGATAGACAAGAAGTTCACTCAAACTGGAGCAGATAAGAGGGGGTTTTTTCATTCTTAACCTTCATACTAGGGCAGAGGAGTCCCTTCAGAATTTACATCTGCCTCTGCAGTGTGAGAAACCCAAATAGATAGATCATTTTAAAGTAGCGGTGGATTGCTGGTGTCTATAGGACTAGCAAAAGCAAACATAGATCCTCATTGGAAGAATTTAGCTGCAGTCTGGATCTGATAGTGGCTGTTAAGCCTAGGTTTTATAAACACTGATGCCCTTATCACACTTACGAGAAGGATCCTCTTATTCTCAGAAGATGCAGGCAAAGCATTAAAAAATTCAACAAACGTTTCTTTTTTTAAATATATTTTATTGATTTTTTATAGAGAGGAAGGGAGAGGGATAGAGAGTTAGAAACATCAATGAGAGAGAATCATCGATCAACTGCCTCTTGCACACACCCTACCGGGGATGTGCCCGCAACCAATGTACATGCCCTTGACCAGAATCGAACCTGGGACCCTTCAGTCCGCAGACCGACGCTCTATCCACTGAGCCAAACTGGTTTCGGCTCAATAAACGTTTTTGACAGCAATTCTTAGCAATTAGGAATAGAAGAGGGTTTTTTTCAACCTGTTGAAATACCAAACTTTTTGTGAAGTTTCAGAATTATTATTTTTTAAAATATGGCTAAAGGCAGTAGAGCCTGCTTCCATGCCTTTCTTTAGTGCTGTAGCACATGTCCTGGACAGCATGGTGAAAGCAGAGAAACGAAAGGCAGGTTTTTGAAGTGAAAAACCTGAAGTCTTATTTGTAGATGACATCCTATTTATGTAACCATAGATAATCTACATGTAAATTAATAGAATCAATAACGGTTTAACAAGGTTCCTGTTTAAGACCAAATTAAATATTAATTATGAACTTATTTGTCAATAAGTTTAAGTATAATAAATTTATGGTGCATAATATAAGGTACCTTTTAATAAGTATAAAAATTTAGTAAGATTTTTTGGGGAAAATATAAAACTTTATTGAAAGACACTGAAGAGAGTGAAATTCAGAAAATATTTGTGAGTGGGAAGATTTTTATCATAAAGCTGCTCCCCCTTCCCCCCGCCAAAATGCCACATAATGCCAGTCAATATTTTTATAGGTGTTTTGGGGTTTTTTTCTCACGCAAGGGTATGTTTTTGTTGATTTTAGAGAAAGAGACAGGGAGAGAAGCAGAAATATCAATTGGCTGCCTCCCGTATGCACTCTGACCCGGGGGTCAAACCCACAACCTTGCGGTGTATGGGATGATGCTCCAGCCAGCTGAGCCGCCCGGCCAGGACAAGGTCTTCTCATTGTATCTTCACATGCATAATGAGGAGAGCAAAGGGCCTTGGGGAAAGTGGGTTTATTTGCCCTTCCCATGAGCGAGATTTTTGTTAAAAGCTCTTCACAGCATGGTGATGTTGCATGTTATGGGCACATGGGCTGTTGGGACAGAATGGACAGCTGAGGGACAGACGCAGCCACTCATACTATAAGTATTGTATTGTAGATGTTGGAAGTGGCTTTGTAGGTCAGGAAGAAAGGGGTTGAGTAAATTGAGTTTATGTAGGTGAGTCATATGGATCTCTCCTTTACCTTCTACAGAAAAATCTGTTCCATAAGTGACCTCACCAAAAAAAGGTTGAGCAAAACATTAAGTTTTGGGAAAATATATACCCTATGGTATAATTAAAACTATTTAAAACATAAAAAATAATGCCATCTAAATTTTCAGTTAGGCAACTGAGAAAACATTATTGAAAATATTATTGAAAGGATAAAGAAATACAAGAGAATTGTGAACACTGGATTTAGGATCCTATTACCAAATGTAGAGTAAGGTAGAGGATATAGGGACATAAGCAAAGAAGATTTTTTGTTTTATAAGTTGAATGGGTATGGCTGTTTATTTAAAAAATATTTTTGTGGCAGGTATTTTACAATAAATTTAAAGTAAAAAATTAAATTCTGTCGTTTTCATGTTGATATTGCCTTGGTGACTGCCTTGATTTAGCTCGGTGATTTCCATGGGAAAGTAAAAACTCCTCACTCATAGGCCAGCAAGGCAGGCAGGCACTGGTATCCAAACTAATAGTGTGATCTTGGACAAATTAATTGTCCCCCATTTCTCTGTCCCCTCATCTGTAAACTGGATTCACTCTTAGAATGATATATGGTATAGCTCTTAATTTTACTATGCATTCTAGAATTTGTGTCTTTCCTTAAACTCCTATGAAGTCATTAATTCTAGTTTTAATTTTTTTAATGCAATGCTTTCTTTTATTGCTCCATACCTCCCTTTTTAAAAACTTTTTCAAGCCTTATGGTTTGTTTTTCTGTGTACTTTTCTGCGGGTTTTCTCAGATGATGAAGTAGAACATATATTTTTATTGATTTCAGAGAGAAAGGGAGAGAGAAACATCAATGATGAGAGAGAATCACTGATCAGCTGCCTCCCACATGCCCCCTACTGAAGATCGAGCCCATAACTTGGCCATGTTCCCTGACTTAAAATCGAATTGTGACCTCCTGGTTCGTAGGTTTACACCCAACCACACTGGCTGCACAGGTTACTTATTTATTTATTTTTGTTAATCTTCACCCAAGGATATTTTCCCATTGATTTTTAGAGAGAGTTGGAGGGGGAGAGACAGAGAGAAACATCATGTGAGATATACACATCAATTAGTTGTTTCCTGAACACGCCTCACAAGGGTGCGGGATGGATTCCACCACCCAGGCACACACCCCAGGCTGCACAGTCCAACCCAGGACGCTTTAGTCTGTGGGCCGATGCTCTGTCCACTGAGCCAAACTGGGTAGGGCAGAAATTATTTTACAAGAAGCCAATCGGGATTCAAAATGGTTTGTGTTTTCCCTATCAGATTGCTATTCTGATTGAATTATGGAAGGAGAGGCATTTTGTATCCCTTGAAAACCATAAAATTCCTGAATTTTAAAAAGTTTAACCCCTAATCATACTAGTCTGATCATCAATGATTTTGCATATCTGAATTCGGTTTTATTTAAGGTTTCATGGTTTAAAAATTAGAGTTAACAGATTGCTTTACTTGGAGTGACAAATTCTTTTCATAAATGTACTTTAAAAAAATATTTTTAAATTTGATTTCAGAGAGAAAGGGAGAGGGCGAGAGAGGAACATCAATGATGAGAGAGGATCATTGATTGGCTACCTCCCAAACCTGGCATATGCCATGACCTCCTAATTCCATGGTCAGCACTCAGCCATTGAGTCATGCCAGCTGAATTACAACATTATATAATATTATTTTTAGGTCATTCTTTTTCTAGGTACTCCCAATATTTATTCTTTCTTAAACATTTTTAAATTACAGTTTACATGCAATATTATTTTGTATTACTTTCAGGTGCTAATTTTATTTTAATCATCTTTTGTAACCTAGAAATTTATGGGCACACATGCTTTAAAATAGAAGTTTAATGCTACATATCAAAACACATTTATTCCCCAGGGTGTTGTAGTTTTTGTAGATTGCTGAATATTTTACATTTGTTCCTTTTTTCTATTGTATTTTTCTTAAGACAACAGCTAATATTTTCTGACTCTGGACATTTGACAGATTTCTAGCCAATAAAAAAAAATTTAACTGAAAATTTGATTTAAAAAATTCTTCAATAGATATCACCTTCTCATTTGAAAATATAATATGCTAAAGTAACTGAAACATAAGTACCTGATAGGTTCACGACTCATTCTCAGGAGTTCCTCACTTATTTTAAAAAATTGATTGGAGAGACAGTCAGACATTGATTGTTGTTCCAGTTATTTTTTTTGCATTCATTGGTTGTGTCTCGTATGTGCCCCAGCCAGGGATCAAACCCACAACCTTGGCATATCAAGACAACACTCTAACCAACTGAGCAACCCGGCCAGGGTCCCTTATGCATTTTCCGAATTTGTGTGTGCAGATCATAGGCTTGTGTGTGCTCGCAGGAAAGCATGTCAGGACCTGGGTGGGGAAGACCTGCTCCCCGTCGGTGGCCTGGTCAGTGCCCCTGGGTGCTGTGTGAGTTGTAGGCCGCGCTGACTGAAAACCCATGGAAACACTGTTTTTGCTGCATTCTCCAGGTCGGATTCGTACGAGAAGGCAAAACTCCGGGAGTACCACCAACGTCGCCTCCACACCTGCCGACAGTCGGGGCCGCAGTCGCGCCAAAGTGGTTTCACAGTCTCAGCGTAAGAAATCTATTTTATGTTTTCTGTTAACGAGGTTTTATTCAACAGCCATTCTCACTGACTTCAGGGGGAAAACACATCTCTGTGGCTCTAAGATACTGTGAGTAATTTGATGATTCTTTGGTAGGCTTACAAAATGGTAGTAATCCCGGGTACTTTTGTCTCCTGGCCAGGTGATTTAAAATTTTTTTATCATTCCTCATTAAACATTAAATGACTTTCTCTTCCTCTCTGCAAGTCTCTCCAGTTGAAACAACCCTGGACTGTGATGACCCATTGTTCCCTTGGTAGGCAGTCATGACACATCTAGGAGCAGGAGCTGGAGAGAGGCTGGGCAATGCGAGTCCTCTTCCCAGCGCTCATAAGTAAATCCGTTAAACGGTCCCCCCTTAGCCTTCTGTTCTAACATCGTAATCTGCTCTTGTCTCCTGCCAGCGTGGGCTCTTGCTTGCACAGCTGCCTGCCTCCATGCTTGCTTCTCTGTCTGTTGAGTCACTTAGTCTGTTAGCCTGACACATGAGAGCAGCGTAGAGGAATGAACGTATCCCTAGGATCCATCCCCGGTGTCTCTCTGTGAGCCACCTGCTCCCTCTGTGCTGTGTGTGGAGTGGAGCTGGCTGTCCGTCTCTGGGCCTGGGACCTCCCTGCTCCCTGCACATAGCACTGCAGTCCTCCTCCTGTGCAGAGAGCCCTGGCTCTGCGGCAGACCTGGGATTCTCTCCTACTGGTTAGAATGCCTTCTCAGCTGCTTTGAATTTAGGCCCTTCTCCATGTCCCTGTGACACCTATAGTCCCTATGTTAAACCATCTTATGTCTTTTCTGGAAAGAAAGAAAAATGCAAGGTTAGTTGTATTGCTGCCTCTTTTCCTACTCAACACCACACCACACCACACCACCCCACACTTCACCACCCCACCCCACAGATTGTAAGGTGTGGCCCAGAAGCTTCTCGAGCCTCAAGGATAGTACCCCAGCTCTGTTATTCTTTTGGGCCCTAGTGTTGCCTGAGCCACAAGCAGATCTAATACTCCAGTCATGGTCTCTTTTCTTTCAGTTCAATATGTTGAAATTGAGTTGAATAAAAATGTCTAACCCTTTAGCTGTGTAGCACTAGTTCCTTTAGAGAGTGAGGGCTGAACGAAATTGTATATTTCTTCCTTTATGTCTGGCGTGTATTGGCATTGACCTCGGCCTTTGCCGGGATCCCTGCCCTAGCTGGTCCTCTGCTCAGAGTGGAGAAGATGGAAGTTTCTCTGAGCGGGGTGGAGGGGGATGTCAGAGCCCTAGTTCAGCCTTACAAACACACTGAACGCTCCCTACCTTCGGGCTCCATTTTAAAAACTTCCGTTTTACTCCACCCACTGCAGGAGACAACAGCAACGAGTGATCAAGCCTGGGTCTTAAACTTAGGAATAGAAATGAAATATTTAAAAAAAAAAATTTTTTTTTAATTTTTTTATTTTTTTTATTTTTTAAAAATATTTTATTGATTTTTACAGAGAGGAAGGGAGAGTGATAGAGAGCCAGAAATGTCGATGAGAGAGAAACATCGACCAGCCACCTCCTGCACATCCCCGATGTGCCTGCAGCCAACGTACATGCCCTTGACCGGAATCGAACCCGGGACCTTTCAGTCCACAGACCGACACTCTTCCACTGAGCCAAACCGGTTTCGGCTAAAAATAATTTTGATAGGAAGAAAATATGAGATACATACAAATATAGATTATACTAGCATTCAGAGTCCTGGTTTAATAGTACGTAGATTTTATTAATATTAGATTTAGGGCTCTTTTAACAATTAGTATATTTTAACTATTTGAAGATTTAAATATTTGAGGCTTAAAATCTTAGAGGATTAATATTTACATGTTTGAGAATTTGGCATCAGGCACTCAGGTGCTCTTTTTAACTCTTCAGTGCTTATTGAGCACTTCCTGTGGTGGGCCTGTTTTAGGTGGCAGTGATGCACACAGATCAGCCACTTCCCTCGGTTGCTAGGAGCCAGAGAGCAGGTGTACTCCCAGAAGGTGGTCACTGCCTTACTCTCCGCTTCCGTACGTCGGGCACTGTGCTGGCGTATTGTGGGTTTGTAAGCGTTCCATGAACAGACCAGAAATAAATGCTAAGTAGTGTGACATATAAAACCAACATGAGTACAAAGTAGACCAGGAGGAATAAGAACTAGGAAAAGATAGTTTGTGAATAAGACCTGTGTTTGCATGCTGACCTCTGTATTGTGTTATTGTCTTTTAATCCACTTCTTGCCTGTTCTTTGGTCTGCTCTCATAATCAAGGATCCAGATCTGCTAATCCTGCTGGTGGTAAGCCATTTCTCTTCTTGTTTGTTTGTTGTTTTGTTCATTCTCTCTCACCCCATGTTTCTTGCACAATATTAATTTTTATATTATGAGCTTAATTAATCTTTCTGCATTTTTTCTGTATGTTAAAATCCAAAATTTGAAATATATTTTCTTTTTCCTTTTACATAGCTTAATGGTTTATGTGTGTGCTCAAATTTTATGAGCAAATTTAACAGATCATGAGGTGGGTTCTTCATGGTAATCTGTACTTGTGATTTTTACAATGAATTTCACTTTAAATTATAGTTAAAACATTATACAGTACTATTTTTTGTGGGTATGCACCTTAATGATTCATTGAATGGTGTGTGTGTGTGTGTGTGTGTGTGTGTGTGTGTGTGTGTATAATTTTCAGTTAAGAGTTATTTCAAAGGTTTCTACCTTTGGCTCATCCTTATTCTGGTAAATAATAACGTGCACTTTGTTTTAGAATTTTATTGCCTTTTGTACTTAAGCAGATGATCTAAGTAAATGACTGCCATTTGGGTGTGTTGATAATTTTGACCCATAAGAAATGGTTATTTAGATATCTAGTCACTTAGTCATAATAAAAGTTACTTAGCATATCATTTGTTTTTATTTTATAATTTATTGCATACTTATCAGAAATGTGATCTATATGGTTGCTACTTTTGTAGGTTTTTGAGACTTAGTATACAGATGGTTTTTGTAGTACATAAAAGGTGAAAATAATGTGCATTACGTTTGTTGTGTGTCTATGGGAAGTGTGTTTTATACAGTCTGTATAATTTTGACTACTCTGTCAGTTTCGGCAAGGTATGATATTTTTTTTAAAGGTTATTAGTCTTTCTGAGTGGTATATTAATAACTAGGACTTTTTCAATTTCTTCCTGTATTTTTACTTTTATGTTTTATATTTCAAAACTATATTATTTGGAGCATAAAGGTTCGTGATTATTATATCTTCATGGACAATTTGTTTATCAATAATATATCCTTTGTTCGTTTTATTCTATTTTGTTGTTGTAGGTATATTGTTGTTTGTTGTAAACAACATACATTTGACTTTTATTTTATTTTTTTAAATCCAATCCAAACATCTTTGGCTTTTAATAGGTGAATGTAATCTAGTCACATTTATTTTTACAATTTTTTAAAATATATTTTTATTGATTTTAGAAAGGAAGAGAGAGGGAAAGAGAGACAGAAACATCAGTGATGAGAGAGAATCATTGATCGGCTGCCTCCTGCACACCCCAACTGGGGATCGAGCCCGAAACCCAGGCATGGAATTGAACCTGGGACCCTTCACTCCACTCTATCCACTAAGCTAGGGGTGTCGAACTCAATCAGAGAAGGGGCCAAAATCTAAAATCCAGCCTAAATCGCGGGCCGAATGGTTTACTGAACAGTCATAAACTGTCATTGTGATGGAAACGCAGTGGAGTGCAGTGATGACAGCGCGGTGCGGGCCACATTGCAAGGCCTGGCGGGACGGATTTGGCCCGAGGGCCTTGTGTTTGACACATGTGCACTAAGCCAAACCGGCTGAGGCATAGCCACATTTATTATGAGTACTGATATATTTGAGCTTAGTCCTACCATCTTATTTTGTGATTTTTATTTATCATGTTTCTATTTACTTCTTCCCCTTCAAATTGTTAAATTAATAGAGTTCTCTTGAATCCACTTTCTATCACTGATGTTTAAGAAATTTTTGTTAATATTTATACTTTTCCAGCAGTTATACTTAAAAATAGCGATATGTCAACTCTCACAGAAAAAAAGAACAAAACACTAAATAAATGCCATTGAGATTATTTCTAGAAATTTTCTGTGGAACAGGGAGGCTATTTGGACTCATCCTGCTTTTTGAATCAGAAGTTTTGCAGTTATTTTTGTAGCACTGCACCAGTAGCCTTCTATGTATATTCTTTTGTGATACTTTGATATTCTTTCATGCTCCTAATGTTTAAAAAAAAAATTGGTACTAACACCAACTACAAAGCTATTTTTATAGTTGATCCAAATTAATGTATAAACTGGCTTCTGAAATACTATAATTTATTCCCTGATTACAACCATTACTCAATTTTTTTTGCTTCATTTTTAGCTGGCAGCCGGTCAAGTTCTCCGGGGAAGTTGTTGGGAAGCAGTTATGGTGGCCTTGCCGGGGGGTCCTCCAGAGGCCCGCCGGTGACACCCTCTTCCGAAAAGCGAAGCAAGATCCCCAGAAGCCAGGGATGTAGCCGGGAAACAAGTCCGAACCGAATAGGATTAGGTAAGGATTCTCCAAGACCCTGGAGCACCATCTCCAACTTGTCAGAATTTTTATTATAATCCAATAAATGTTTCTGACGTGGCAGATAGAGCTTTGTTTTTGAATTAAGGATGCCATTTTGCCCGTGCTAAAATGACATTTTGATTTGTGTTTTTCTAGAGTATGGCATGTTCAGGTTTCAGTTCTAACGTGAAAGTCTGTGGGGCTTACCATTTAGATTGATGAGGAAGAATTGTGTCGTTGTGGGTTTTCATGTTTCAGAGTCATTTTGCAAAATTTTAGAATTGGGAGAATGGGCAGGGTTTTCTACTGTACACGTAGAAGCAATGCTGCTCTTCACTTTGCTTTCACTGATTAGCACTCAGTAGCTATTAACCTAAATTTTCAAAAGCAATTTGTAGGGTCCACATTTATTTTGATTCTGATCTTCTCTTACCTAATTGGTGAAACTTACAGTAAAAAAATATATATACTTACTTTTGACATAGTATTTTTCAAACGTAAAATCCAGGACTAGATGGAAACGAAGTATGTAGTACTTGTTTTTGTGTTGTAGTATCAAGTTTCATTGTATAGAATTACTCTCAGCAGCTTGAAGACCTTTTACCTCTATTAAAATCCAATTGTACACTACTTTTTAATATAAAAAGTAGTAGTCTTTTGTAATATATTATGCAAAATGTGTGTTCAAACTGTCTTTACCTGCTTTCTAAGGGTAAAAATCTATTTATGTGAAATCAGTGCTATATTTTTTAGTCTTACGGGCTTATGTTTCTCATTCATTTGTCTCCTTAACAACCTTTACTTAAATGTTTACTGTGATGTGCAATGTGCTTTGTTAGACTTCAGGAATGGAAGTAAATGAAATAGATTGAACTTCTGATTTCAAATAGCTTGCAGTCTTCGGGGTGAAAATGTATAGAGTAGAACAAATACGATACTTGGCGCTCTGGGGTCCTTCGCTGGCTTCCCGTGGTGTGGAAGGCCTCAGAATCCCAGTACCACGAGGTCTGGCTGAGTTTCTCCTCAGTCACAGTTTTCCTTGAAAGCAAGAATTGTCCTAGAAAAGGAGTGTCTGCCCCATTTCTTCCTTAATTCCTGCTAGGAAAGGCTCCCAGAATAGGATCTACTTTGGTGAAGTGTAAGGTGGGGAGATGAGGAGAAGGTGCTGTAGGGCAGAGAGGAGCATGTGCAGCAGCAGTCAGACAAGAGGGAGCAGAGTGCATCCTGGGTAACACAAGTAATTCTTTTGGTTGCAATAAAGGAAGTTGGTTATGGTGAGGTGGGCGATGAGGGCAGAGGGACGCTTAGCATCCAGCTCATGAAGGTCCTTGAAAACTACCGAGCTAAGAGAAGACAGGGACAGATTCGGTAAGAAGTAGCATGCATAGGATTTGGTTTGACATTCCCAAAGCAGGTGAGAAGGGTTAAGCAAGCAGTGGTTAGTTAATTCCACATAATGTCAGCATAAAGTGGCATTACATAGCATGCTGTCTGAACTGAGGGTAAAAATCTATTAATGTGAAAGTTACTTGCATCCAGTAATAACAAGTTATGTGGATACAACTAGAGAAAAGCACATAACTTGGCTGGAATATCTAAATTTCAGAGTTGATACTCAACATACGTGTGTTTGGATCTGGTTTTAATTGTGAAATGCATTTAATTTCAAATCGGTGTGAGGATTTAAGCTGTCTTTTTTCCCATAGTTAATTAAGTTCAAAGGATGTTTTGGCAATCCAGATTGGTCTTACTTGTAAATTGGGGGTGGGGGAGATTTTACTTTATTTATTAAGGATGCCATTTTTACCTTCTTGAAATTGGAAAATAAATCAACTTTAGTCACCTAACATAACTTTAGGACCTGATATTCCATGGTCTTAACCAGTGTTTTTCAACCTTTTTTGGGCAAAGGCACACTTGTTTCATGAAAAAAATCACGAGGCACACCACCATTAGAAAATGTTAAAAAATTTAACTCTGTGCCTATATTGACTATATATAAAGTAATTCTCTTGAATAGGAATCAAATAAACACAAAGAAAGTATTTTATAATTACTTTATTATGAAATATTAAGTAAACAAAATAGTGAAAAATTATAAAATTCTTGTCTTGTCTGCACCTACGGCACACCAGGCAACATCTCGCGGCACACTAGTGTGCCGCGGAACAGCGGTTGAAAAACGCTGGTCTTAACTATGAAGTCTGTGTTACGGATAGTTGAAAAGACCACATTTAATAAGTTTTTAAAAGAAGTACTATGAAACATCATCCATCAGTAAGAACTAAATAGGAGCCCACTTCCGAATAGTTTTTATTTAAAACATTATTTTGAAGCAAATTATTTCCTTGATACTCATTATGGGATTAGTTAGTTATATGTCAAGCTTTGAGGTCATACATATAATTCTGAATAAAATAGATATTTCTTTTAAATGTCTGCACATTGGGAGAATAAGAACATACACACAGAAATAAAGATCCATATATGAATAAAATGTACCTTCCCATTTCTCCCTATGATCTCTGAGATTCCAGTTCATAGGACGTCAGGTATATTAGCATTTTTTCAATAATAGATTGTATATTTCTGTGATCTTTTAGCATATACTGTATATATGCCTGTGTATCTAAGTATTTTGTTCATTGCATAGCAACTTTGAATATAAATATTCAAAATAAGAGGAATCATCTTTTAAGAATATTTTATACAATTCCCAGACTAATTAGTAATTTTAAGTATAGTTAAGCTAGGTTTAGATTTTGCATTGAGAATTGCTTCTAGTTATCTACAACTTATGTTTGGTTCAGGTATACTATTTTTTTTGCTTGAAATAATATTTCTTAAGAAAATATTCTTTTCTCATCTATGATAAAAATGATACCCAAGCTCTTTTTCAGAAATCAGCTACAGTCCTCCACTCTCCCAAGTTCTTTTTCATTAGCATTTACTTAAGCAAAATAGGATGCAATTCCACTAAAATAGCACAGAAACCAAATAAAACCCTGCGACCCTGTTTTTTCATGGCAATTTATTCCTTTATAAGTTATTCAACCAAAAAAGAAGAATATACTGTTTGTGAATTTTTGTGAATTATTTAATTTTCATCTTTTATTCTATTTTTTATTAATAATGAAGTCATATAATTATAAATAGCTGACATTCATAGCAATTCTATTTTGGAAGTTTTCTTTTTCTTTTCTTTTTTTTTCTTTTTTTTTTTCTTCTCCTGCTCATCTATTAAAAAGGCTAAAAGAAAGATGTGAGTTTTTGCATTTTACATTCTGTGGGTATATGTTTAGAATACTTTTACATTTTCTGCTTTAAAATAGTTTGAAAGAATTAAAAATTAGTAATTAACTTCCAGCAGTTATATTAGACCACTATGTGCAAGACTAAAATATGACAATATCTAGGCTAGGGAGATAGTTTATGTCCTAATTTCTGGTATTTTTCATTATCCTCTTGCACTTCTTAAGTTCTGGTAGAATTCTTCCTTAAAGGCAAAGGTCAGGATTACCCTTAAAACACTATAAAGGTGGAATAAAGGGTCTCTCAGAAATGAAAACCAATCAAATGAAAACCAATCTTAAGGCTTTCCAGCAATTCATGGAAGCACAGGACTCTGTACGAACTACGTATGAACAGCGCTTTAGAAAGTTCACATAGCAAGTATGTTTATCATTTCTTCCCCCTTAGCCTTCTCCTCCCTGTTCTCACAGGGAATGTCCCCTCCGGGCACTCAGTACAGAGGTAGGTTGATTTGGCATGTTGTTTTGGTTTTTACCACCTAATTAATTAGTCCTTGTAAAATGGTTTATTTACAAACTTATTTTAAATCCTCCCAATAGATTGGTCTATGGAAGAGGTATTATAAATGTTTTAAATTATCCAACATTTAAACTGTTGATATCATCTCAAGAGGTACTTTAATGAGGTTTGGAGAAACCAAATGAGAAGATCTTTACAAAATTGTAAATGGGTTCTTCCCTGTGTTACTTCTAGCCATATGTTAAAGGAGCCAGGCAACATGAATGGTGAATGAACGTTCTCATGGTGAAGCACTAGGAGGCTAAACCTTAGTAAGAATTATGTGTATTGTTTCAGGTCATATCTATCCCTTTTCACATTCTTGATTGTCTTCACACAGCAGGGAGAGCAGACTTCCCTTTGCTGTAGCATGTATGCTAATTTAAGGGAGGGAGTGAGAGCTGGGTAAAAAAAACTTCTGAAGTAATTGGGCAAGAACTAGAAGAAAACGCCGAGCTAAGCATGACATGTTAAAAACTGTTTTTACTACTTTGACTGAGTTTTGGAGCAGGCAGTGCAGCAGACAGATGTTCATGCTTGCCTTTCAGCTGGGAGCCAGAAGTGTTACCACGTGTGCCTCGCCTCACAGCACCATGTCTTTAAATGCCGACTTTCTCCCTGGCCGTCTGGAGGAGACTGGCCGGGCCGTGGTGAGCGAGGCACTGCGAGGTCGCTGCAGGAGTTGGATGTGGTGTTGATCCTCGGAGCACAGGAAGTCCTGCTTTGTAGGTTCTGTGCAACTTGTCCTATGTTGGCGGGTCAGCAGATACTCCTAGTGTTTTTTTTAAGAGTTTAGCACCTGCTGCTTTTAGGAATTACTAGAGCATTCCAGATGCGGCTCTGTTTTGACTGTTGCTTAGGTTGCATTCCTGTGCTTGATCTTTCTTTGCTTGCCTGTGCAGACCTGAGCCATTGGACACCACCTACTCAGCAGCATTCAGGTCTAGTTGAGACCACAGCTGAGAAAGACCACAGCTGGAAGTTGGTTGCTTTTCCGCCTTGTAGTCTTCTTTATCCGGGCTTCACAATTCTGTTTTGTGAGATATTCTTGTTGTGGTTTGCCGTACAATAAACACACCTTTGCTCTAAAATAAGTAGGTTATGCTCATTTATGCACTGATTTGAAAACAGCCATGTTTTTACATCAGCAGACCAAGTTTATTTTTTCCAGAATTTCTAAAGAAGCTATTTCTACCCAGTCCGGAAGAATGGACCCCCTCAGGATGGAGATATTTGTTGTCCCCGTCCGCCGTTACTTTGGGGTACACGCCCGCAGTATGCCAGAGTGTTTACAGATATTTTTCCAGTACTATATTTCTGTTTTCTCAAAATAAAATGAAAAAGTAAGGGCATAATTTTACAGCCAAGTTATATTAGAAACCTTAGGCTATTTATGTGATAGTATTTTCAGTGTTTTATAATGTGAGTATAATAAAATTATCTATAGACAATCATAAAGCAATTGGCCATTTTCAGGTCAGTGGAGGGATCTTACAGAACGAAGATTGGGGTGATCAGCCTAGGCACTGTGAGACGGTGTAAGGCTGGGCAAGTGAAGGTGCTGAGGAAGGACCACAGCAGAGTTTGATCCCCACAGAAGAAGTGGGAATTAAAGTTGGAACCAGGAAAAAGGGACGGCGTCCCAGCACCTCCTCTCTGCGGGTCTCGATGGTGAGATGTGTTGGGACTGTCTGCACAGTGGCGCCAGTGCACAGGCTCTCCAGCTGCCAGTCAGGTGACTTCTCTTTGTCAGAAAGGCCGGCTGGGAGAAGTGGACTCCTAATTAGTTAATTTTATGCATTGCAGTGACCAGGACCCTTATTGTGTTTTTCCATCTAAATTAAGAACCCAGTGCATACGGAAATGGCTTTACCCTCCAGGGGAGAAAAGTTTGCCAGAGCCATGAAAACAGATCACTTCTAAAAGACTGAGCTTTTATTTTCTGAGGCCGGTTTGCTCTTTGGAAGCTTTCTTTCCATTTTCACACTGAGGTGTTCCTTTACCTTCACACCAAATGCACAGCTCTCTGCGCATCGAGTGTAGTTAGCTTTTGTCCTGACCTCCTGCTGCTGGCATTGCCGGCGTAGCAGGGGCAGGTGCTCAGGCGTCAGGACAATGTCGTGATTAAGTTAATAGAATGTGACTGCCATTTGTGAGTTTTTCTGTCTTCATTAAACTTGTTCACCTTCTCTGAAACCCCTCATGCTGCACACTAGCACGGAGCAGCCGTATCCCTCGACCCAGCATGAGTCAGGGGTGCAGCCGCGATACCAGCCGTGAGAGCAGCCGGGATACAAGCCCTGCTCGGGGCTTCCCTCCACTGGGTGAGTACACGGAGGCGCTGGCTCTGGAGCGGCCTGTCCCTGCTCCGAACGCTGTCCCGTCACCGCCGGGGGAATGACCGCTTTCCCTCCTGCTGGCCCGGCACCCTCTTCTTCCTTCCCTCTTCCTTCGCCACCCTTCGTTGTCCCCCTCTGCATGCTTAAACTTGGGGCCTTTCCAGCTTTTCAGCATTAGAGGTAAAACATCACTTCGGTCTGTGCTGTTGTTATGGCCACTTGAGCCGGGCAAGCTCATCCGTGTGCTCATGTCTAACATAAGATGAAGCTTAGCCCAAGTTCATTGCTGCTTAAAAGTAGAGCTAATGCAGAGTTTATTCTTACTCACTGAATTTCTACAATTTGTGTTTAATTTTGCCAGAGATTAGGCCATATGTGGTTTAATTCAAAGAAGGGAGAAAATATAAAAACATGACCATGTTTAGGACAGTGAATGTGCTCAGTTTCAGGGTGATGACATTAATTTAAAAAGCAGCATGAATGAAGATGTTAGCCATGCTTTTGTTAACCGAGTCATTTCAAAGCTTTCATCCAAGCAATCTGAAAATAGCATTTAGATAAATTGCTCGGGTATATAGCACAATGCTAAACTTTCTGTTTCTTGTTCATTAGATAGTTCATTCTTCCTGGGCTCAAGCGACGGTTTAATTTCTGTGACCTGATGCCCCAGGAGAAAAAAATTTACAGCATTTGGTCCTGGGGGTGTAAGCACCGTGCTCAGGCCGCTGGCCGCCCATGGGGCTCTTCCCGCCCCAGCCCACCTCAGCTTCTTAGGGCCAGAATTTGTGTTTTAACCGTTTCTAGGCTTCAGGAAAAACAAGGGGGAAAGTGTATCTATTAAAGGATATCTTATTTACCTTTTCTTTTTAGTTTTAATAGTTCTGCTTTTCTCTAATATGGACGTATAAATTACTCTCTCATGTAGTGCAAATTATTAATCCCCAAAGTTGACTCTCAACAACACATAAAGGAAATGTGTGTATTCTGCAGTAACTGTGTCTCAGTCCTTTGTCAGTGAAGTGCATGTTTTCCTTTTGATAAAGGAAATCCCTTGTAACAAAGGGCCTGAGGCCCAGTGTCACATGGAACAGGGACGGCAAGGGTCTGTTATTTACTTTCGAAGTAACCGATCTTTTAAATATAAAAAAATGTCAAAAGCGTAAGGTCTTAGTGGTTGTTTTAGTGCCTTCTAATGTTATACACTGCTTCCCAATACCCCCCTCCCCCACTCAGTATCAATAATCAAAGTCTAGATATATTCCCCTATGACCATTGTCCTGTTGAAGTCTGAGGAAGAGGTTAGCAGACACAGGAGCCCTGCTGATGGCCCTGGTGACCTGGTGAGGGGCCTGGAGAGGAATGCTGCCTGCGGTCAGCAGTGGGGGGCAGTGAGCAGGGGGGGGCAGTGAGCAGGGGGGGGTGAGCAGGGGGGGGGGCGGTGAGCGGGGGCGGGGGGCGGTTGCCTGGTGCGGCCAGCCCTTCCCCAGCAGTCACAGCGACAGATCAGGTTTCCCAACCAGTCAAGGGCGGCAGTGGTGGTTTTTTCTGAGTGAACTGGTGATTTTTCCTTTTAAGTTAAGCATCTATTTCTATGCATCCTGCTTACTATTTGACCTTCTAGAACAGCGGACCATGGTGGTCCATGAGGTCTGAAAGGTTGGCGACTGTTGCTCTAGAAAACCTGTTACATAGGCGAACAAGTCCATCTGTTCATTGGCCACTTTGTCTCTTAGAGGCAATTCAGTCTGTATTCCATCCACATCCTGGCATTTTGTTCTTGTCCATGGAATCAGTCTGTATAAGCACCTTGTGGTCTGTGGACCAGGCAAGTTGTGCTGTGCTTTTGAGGTCCCATCCACCCCGAGGAGCTGAGGGAGCTGGTCCGTCCTCACTTCCTTTGGCAGAGGTGACAGCCGCCGGGCTGAGGGCAGGGCTGAGGGCATGCGGCTCCACCGAGGCCCGCGATGTGGGGGCCGCTGTCCCTCCCCATGGGCTCGGCGTGTGTCTCAGCGGTGGTCAGGCCAGTACCATCTTTTCAGATAAATTCTATACCATGCCCTCTGCTTCCCTCCATGGTTAAATTTGTTTATAAAACTTTAGTTACACAGGAACAGCAGCTCTCACGTGTGCCTGGCACCATTCTGAGCATAATCCCTTGTGGTCCCTGGGATGGCTGTTACTCTCTGTCATGGATGGCAAAACAGGCTCCAATGAGCACGGTCTCAGTCACACAGCTGTGCAGTGGTCTGGGTTTGAATCCAGGTCTGATTTCAGAGCTTGGCTGTTACCATGCCGATTTGAAAGCAGCAGATGTCTTTCACTCATTCTCTGAAATGTATTCAATGCTGTGGGTGAGGCCTCCGCAGGCTTAGGCAAAGGAAAGAGCCAGCGAAGGCTCTGAGTGGTGGCTTCCAGACTTGGGGCTAGGACCTGGGGATGCACGGAGAAGTCCCAGAAGGCTGCTGTCCCCGGGCACCGCCTACGCCTGCAGAGAATGTGAAGGGTTCTTTCTCTCACCCACGTAAACATTATCCCCACCCCCTTTATAAAGAAGCGTTTGTGTGAGGGCCCCTTTGTGTCAACCCACTTGGCCAGTTTTCACTTCCCAGAAGGTAATTACGTGACTATATATTGGCTTTGTTTGCATTTTTATGACAAGATTGTTTGGGCCATTTTAATGGCATGAGTATGTATTTATATGGTTATAATGACAAGATTGAAGTGAAATGAAGGGCTCTAGCACTTGTAAGTAAGGCTTTGACGTAAATGGTTTCACCTCGGATCACCTCGGATTCCACTGTCCGGTATTTACTGAGATTGTGACAAAGGATTCGTTACATGACAGATCTACTATAAAAAATTTATTGAAATAGAACCAAAGGACACTTTATAAGAAACCTTTATATCATGTTTTCCTTAAAAGCTCCTTTTAGTTTAAACTACCAAGTGATTCTGATCAACCTGTATAATGAAATGATTATTTTGCTTCAGTCTGAAAAAACATTTTGTCATCTTCCTTATTTGAGTAAAGGGATTATTTTATAATATCTGTTTTAGAGATTGCTGATTTATTTTTGTGCTTCTTAAAGAATGGGGGATTTTTAAATTTTCTTTTTATAAGACGATAAAAATGTGTCCTTATTGACAAAGTACGTAGCCTTTGCTGTTTAATACCACATATACCACAAATATGTCCATCTCTTCAAGTAATGTGATCTTGAGTGATGAACGGCACTGGAGATGTTTAGATATTTGATGACAGCGAATGTCAACATGCACAGAACACTGCCCTCCAGTGTGTGTGAAAAGGAGCGCTGCTCAGTATTACTGTTAAACGGGGCTTCTGGGGTGCAGTCTCCACATATTGGATGGCACCCTGGTAAAAAAATTCATGTCTGAATCAAGTCTATATTTCATAATTAATTGTAAAAGTCATTGTCTCCAAGGACGTAGTTTAGCATGCATTTCCTCCGATTGGTGACTTAATATGCTTATTATAAGTACTTGCTAATGAAACAATATTAATGTCTAAATTGGAATTCACTCCTCACTGTTAACCACTGTTCTGTGCCTGGCTTGTGTGTAGTGCTGTATATATGAGCTCTTAATTCTCTCAACTCCCAAGAGGTAGGTACCGCTAACAGCACCATTTTACAGTGAAGAAACTGAGACACAGATGTTAAGTGTTTAACATCTTACACATCAAACCAGGACTTGCCCCAGTTGCATTACAGAGCCAGTGCTCATACTGTGGCACTGCAAATGCCTCTCCCGGAAGGCCATTTAAACTTAAAACTAAATTTCAATAATTAAAAACCAAATGCATTAGTCAGGATACTTATGCAACAGAACAAACTTTGACTGGGGAGAATGGAAGTGCATTGTAATTTCATTGTTTGTGCTCAGATGACATTTTGAATTCTCTTTTGTTTTCGGTGCATGGTTACATGTGCATCACATACTGAGAGACATCTTGTGGGCCGAGTGAGTCCATCCCACTGTTCGACTCAGACTCAGACGGTGCTGGTGACTCCTGATGTTCTTCATGTGCATATTTCATAATGGCTGATAGAGGCTTCATGGAGTAGAGACCCACCGGAGTCTGAATTCATTGATGCATAAGGAATGCCTTAAGAGGGCCTCCGAGTGCCTGTGTGTTTAAGAGCTGCCTGGGAGCCAGCAGCCGTGGAATCCAGGGATTGGCCCTTGCTATCCATTCATATGTAGCACCATTTGTTTTCATGAGACAGCGTGGCCCGTGGGGCAGTCGCTGCATTTCCTTTGGACTGTGGCATTCTGTCTGGTACCTCTGTGTTAACCCTGTGGGTGTCACCGTTCCTTTTACCCGCAGCCTCTCGCCGGCATTCCAGGTCCACTAGCGCTCTCTCCACTGCTGACTCTGTCGGGCAGTCAGGTGAACAAGTGCTAACTGCATGCCTCGGCTTCCCCATCTCATTTACATCCGTTTCCATCAGTGTTGGTTAGCACTTGGCATGTATGCACTTCATTCCCCCTCCCCCAATGTGCTTTACTTTTTTTAAGTTGTTGAATGTTTATGGTTCTGTTAATAGGCTGTAGATGCTTTATAGCTTGTTTGACAACATTATTTCTCCAGTGTTCATATTTATGTTAAAATGAAACAAAGCAAAAAGTCGGGGGCACTTTTCACCCTCTTTTTGCTCTCTCCCCCAGGAAAGCAACCCAAACCTTAGGTCTCAGAAGGGTCCTTGTGGGGAATGGAGTATAAATATTATCCAGTAGAACCATCTCCCAATCTTTACTCCCAATAAAGTGATGATTGTTGTTAGTGTCAAGTTCTAATTTGGTTAGAAAATTAGAACTTTAGTTACCAAAGTATGTCATACCAAAGTAAGTCACACATAAAATTACAGGTATAAAAATAAATGAGTTGTCCTAACACTTTTATGGAAAAACAAGATCATGATTCATATAACAATCAGGCCAGTGGTAGCTTTTGCAGCCTTTGATCCCCAAGCTTTTTCCATCTCAGCCCCTCTTTCCAAAAATTCACTAGTTAGCCATTGGGGCAAACGTAAGCATATAATAATATATCAGTTTGCCAGATTTAACTGGTATAATTTTCATATGCTAGCACCCTGACTACAGTATTGAGTAAAGACTCAGTCTTATTAAGTCACAGATGATAACCATGACCAATTCACTGAGTTAGGTATTTTCTGTGTTCCTCCTCTAAATGAAGCCAAGTATGCATTTTTAAAATATGTGCTCAGATTAGCACATTCCCCTGAAGGTTATGGGCCAGATTGAGGGAACAGCCATCTGTGTCCATTACTGAGAAAAGAAGCTGCTTACTAGTATCAGAGCAGTGAGAATGCAGAACAGAGTTTGCTCTGGTTGAAAGAAAAGGCTTACAGCTCTGCTTAGATCCAAACATTTCCTCTTAAGATTTGGAATTCAGTGATCTCTGATACATTTAGAATGAGCTGTGGTCACTGTGTGACAAAGCTGTATACATTTGGGAAGCAAGAATAATTAATTGCATTATTCTTATGGCTTTAATTTTGTGTCTGAAAAATCAGTATTATCCCTGGAGCAAGACTTGCTGGCATGAGATTCAATTTCTTACTTTATTTTATGTAGACTTTGTTTTAAGTTCATGCTGGTAATTTTTAAATGGCTTTTAACTGAATTACTTTCATTCTGTTATTCATAAATCCTTTACTATCTACCCTTTTTTAATGAGGGAAAAATGAACAAAGATCATTCATGAAACTGCAAATTAAATCTCAAATTTATACTCATTTCATATTTCAACTGGTAATTTATATCTATATAAGTATGTAGATATAATTGTGTTGTGGTTTCTCTTTAGTTTACATGGCACATTAAGTTGCCTTAAATGATGGCATTCAGTATGATCAGCAAGTACATTAAAAAAGGGGATAGTATAACATACAATTTTTGTTTCTTTATAAAAATTCATGACTGTATAACTTTTTTGATAAGCATTGTTTACATTTTTTTTCTTTCTGTGGCGATGGAAGATGTTTTGAAACTGACATTTTAAAAGCGTTAAATAACACTTCACTTTTAAAGTTCACCAGCTTTGTAGGTGATGTTTGTTAAATATCTAAAATATTATTTGTAAGATTTTATATATCACTTTATAGGAAAGATCAATTTATTTAAAATAAATAGTAGTTTTCCTTTTATTGTAGATACTTCATATGGCTAGTAACAGATTTTCCTTGTCCAGTATACGTTAATAAAAAGAAAGCATTTTTTATCTTAACATTTCTTCCAAAGCTTTTTTTTTTAATCTTAGCATTTTAAATAAGAAACTAGTATGATATACCATGAAGAATAATTTACATGGACCTTCTATTATAGTTTAAATCTCAATATTTCTTAAGGAAGGCTGGTCAACTGTGATGTAAAGGACTTTGAAAAGCTAGTTTTCATTGTCCATGATCATTAGCAAGCTTAGAATAGTTGTTTGAACTGTAAAATTTGTTTTAAATCTTTTGGATTCTATCCATTTTGTCCACAAAAATAAAGACTATTATTTAAAAATTCTTTGAGGGACTCAGGAAAAATCTACACAATATTATATATATAATTTTTTACAGAGAGGAAGGGAGAGGGAGAGAGAGTTAGAAACGTTGATTCGAGAGAAACATTGACCAGCTGCCTCTTGCACACCCCCTACCGGGGATGTGCCCACAACCAATGTACATGCCCTTGACCGGAATCGAACCTGGGACCTTTCAGTCTGCAGACCGACGCTCTACCACTGAGCCAAACCGGTTTCGGCTACAATATCATCTTAATTATTAATATTTTGCAGTTAAAATGCTAGCTTTTATGGTGGTTATTAAAGAATTTTAATAAATATATTTAAATATCCTTTGATGATACAGGAATTATGATGAACATATACCTAAAATTAATTTGAGTTTAATTAATAATAATTAAACAGCAGTGACATTGATGAAAATTTGCAGTGAGCAACTGAATACATTTGTTTTAAATTTTGACTATTGCACATTGCATTGAACTCATTTACCTGCTGCCTCGTAACCTTGAAGTGTCCTAATTGGTTTGACCAAACCTCAGGGCCTCTTGACTCTAGAGCAAGCATGTCAAACTCAAAGGCTAACATGGGCCAAATAAACAAGGTTTAAGTTTATGTGAGCCACAAAGAAAATAACAACACAAAGCTTCAATTTTCATAGAAACAAAGATTTATTTCAGTAGAGACATGCTGAATACAAAGGGCTGAAATAAATAATTGTTAACATAAAATAATAAACCATTTTAGTAAACATTAATACTTTTTCTTGAATATTAACTTACTAGACACTGAATAACTGCACAAATTAATAACGGTAACACAAATCTATCTATTTGTTCTCCGAAAGTGAAATATTTCCTATTGTCCACACCAAACAAATCAGTATAAGTCTAATGACGTGGCAATCAGCTTCTAAAATATTCGCTGCTGGTATTAGTGGAGAGAAATGGTGTGCCTGTGCGTAAGGCATGTAGGGTGCATAAGGGAAATGAATGCAACACGATTATAGTAATCAGCCATTAGCAAATGTTGTAGTTCATTATTAATAATTATATATAGCAGGATATTGTAAAAGTTAAATTACAAAATTTTTATTAAAACGTTGCTTAGCATTATATTGGCTAGGCCGCAAAAATATTCTTTGTAGGCCGCCAGTTTGACATGCTTGCTCTAGAGGGAATGCTAAACATTAAGAGATTCAACCCATAGCTCTGCTCCCTTCTAAAATAAGTTGCTCTCTCCTATATCTCCGCACCTTTCAAGAATAAAGTATCATTAAAGAACCATTTCAGTTGTCAAGCTGCTGTGTGGCACGATGGTACTAGGTGTGAACAGTCTACCCTCTGCCACTGGCAAGCAAGTGTAGTTGAAACTGCAAGTCCAATGTAGTTAAATCGGCCGGGCATTTCTCAGTGCCTCTATTCTGTAGATGGAAAGAGGCAGGAATCCTTGCAAAAAATTTGAGAAAATGTGAATTAAAGTGACATACCTTTTGCTTTTGTCTTTTAAACAGACCGGTTCGGGCTTGGCCAGGCAGGAAGAATACCTGGTTCTGTGAATGCCATGCGTGTGCTAAGCACAAGTACAGATCTTGAAGCTGCTGTTGCTGACGCTTTGGTAAGAGTCACAGTGCGTGTCCGTCTCTCTGACTTACTCACCCGAATTATTCTCTGTCTTGACAGAAAAGTGCCTCCAAATCAGGTTCCCGAACCATCCTTGACACTCTTTAAGTTGGGTAAATTTATGTTCTGGTTTTTTCTCAAACCTTTATCTCTGTACATAAGTGAGAGTTGGCCTTACAGAAATTACGAGCATCAAGTATCGAGGAAGTTGTGATGACATCGGGATTCTCTAATGTCATTGGGTGTCTTTTTTCTCCTTTTTTCAGCATCTCCTTTTTCCCATTCTGTTGCTTCTATTGCTTTACAAGCTTTGATGGCATAACCTAAAAAAATCATTATACTAGATCATAGAGTTTGTGGTTTGAAAAATCTGTGTTTATTCCATTACCTCACTAGTTGTTCCATATCTTTTTGCTTTTTTGTTTGTTTGTTTTAAAAAATGAGTTTGTAAGTCATTATCTCTGGAAACTTTCCCCAAATTTAAGATGAACCTTTGAGGCTATGAAACACGGGTGGAGTATTTTTTGCATCCTTATAATGTGCTATCTTAAAAAGTATATAAAGTGCCGAGAGGCCTTACACTTATGGTTATAGCAAAGGGGTCAATAGAATCTGCTAGAGGTCAGATTGCATTCTAAAGGTAGTTTCAGCGAGCAGGAGTCCAGCCTCGGGTGTTTTGGTCTGTTCGCTCAGCGCTACACTGGGCACTCTTAGAGCTGTCTGACCCCTGGCTGTGCCTGTGCTGCTGGAAGATTCTTTTCCTCTAAGGAAGCATCCGACTTTCAGACCCTGAAGTTTAAATCAGCCATGTTTTGTGTGATGAAAACTTATGGTCTGTGGCTACAAGTGATTCTGACTTTCTCTTTCCTCCCCCTCCCACCCCTTCTCTCCCTCCCTCCCTCCCTCTCCTCTCCCTCTCCCCATCTTCTCCCCCTCCTCTCCTTCTCCCCCTCTTCTCCCTCTCTTCCCTCCCCCTCCCTCTCTCCCCCCTCCCTCTCTCTCGTTAATTCTTGCTCAGTCAGACTTTTTGACCAGCACAGTGAGCAGGTGGTTTGCTGCTCTCAAAGCTTCCCTTTCAGCAGGGCTGCCTGGCTGCTCGGTCAGGAGCCTTCTCTGCAGCGGCCGGTCTGGCACCTGCAGGAGTGGAGGGCGATTTCTCTGACCGGGCCTTTCACTTAAGAGTCAGGAGCTGGAACAGAATTCTGTGACTCTGTTTTCCCTTTCAAGTTGCAACGTTTAGATTCTGTCTCTTTTATTCAGAGACCCTAGGCAGTGGAGGTCAGAGGTTGGGAAATGATAGACGTGCCAAATCCTTAGTTAAATGGGACTTCCAGTGAAGGGGCGGGGCTGCGGAGGGACTGCACCAAGTTCCCGGAGGCGGAGTCTGAACCTGGGCTCTGTTTGACCTGGGCTTTTCTCGGAGCTCTGGATCCATTGACATCCACACTGCCCTCGTTACCTTCTGTTTGAGCTGCTTGGTTTCTCCCATGGTCCTGCGTCAGAAGAGGAAGCGCAGAATGGCCCCCAGCTCTTGCCTCACAGGATAGAAGCCCGGGCAGACAGGATGGGCCACAGCGACAGACGCAGAATCCTGGTGGCTTTGCTTGATGTGGGAGAGCGTTAGCAGAGAATCACAGCATGCACTGGCACGTCTTGTGAGAAGTCCAGGAGGGTCAGGAAATGCCATGTGAAAGCATTCTTTATTACTCACTGATCTCACTTGATATAAATCGCTCGCTACTCTGTATTTTTGGTTTGCTAAGATATGTTTTGCTGTGCACTTTTGTTGCAAGAATGATCCCCACATATGCTTCTGACATAATTCTCTATGCTTTTTCCCCATCCTTCAATATTTTCCTGCCTACAGCTGTTAGGAGACTCCAGGAGCAAGGTACCAGTGCTTTAACTTTTGTTTTACAACTCCATTTTTTCTGTTGCAAGTATATTTCCTTTAGGAGTTAGTGAGAGCAACAAAAGCGATAGTGCAATATAGAAATTCTGGTCAGAATTGTGATATTGTAGAATTGAGTGCCACTTTTATTGGGCAACTCTGTTTGTTTTAGTATTTATTTTAAATGTAAAACTGAGCCTTCTCCCAGTAGTGCTTCATTTTATCGTAAACCCCATTTTAACTACTCTTATGTCGATATTTTGTGAGTAGATATATTCAGTATTTTTCTTACTTGAGGGATCTAGTATCTGTATAGGTGAGGCACCACACTTTTGAGAATGAGAGGGGTTGTAATTATGCCGGGAGAGTAGGCCTAGGGCCGCACTGCCCTGAGCAGTTTGGGAGGCTCTAAAAGCCACCTTATTAGGAAACTACATCTGTACAGTTTAAGCAGACAACTGTTTTTCTCTTAAATTGTATTTCATAAATTTTATCAATTTCACTTACCTGTTGCTATATTATTTATGGGTTTAATTTGTATTCAGGGTAAGAGAAATGCTAATCTACAGGAAGCCTGTTTGTGGAGTAAAACTTTGTCCTTAAAAAAAGTGGCTCAGGTCATTTAGGAATCCTTGTCCACCGCTCACTCTGCCTCTGTCATTTCTGTTTGAGACTTTACGGAAGGAAGAGTCTTCAAACAAATTTACCCATAGAGTAGGGGTGTCGAACTCAATCAGAGAAGGGGCCAAAATCTAAAATCCAGCCTAAATCGCGGGCCGAATGGTTTACTGAACAGTCATAAACTGTCATTGTGATGGAAACGCAGCAGAGTGCAGTGATGACAGCGCGGTGCGGGCCACATTGCAAGGCCTGGCGGGACGGATTTGGCCCGCGGGCCTTGTGTTTGACACATGTGCCATAGACCAAGCTCAAGATCTATTACTTTTGATTGGGAAGAGGCTGTGGGTGCACAGCTTGCATTGTGTCAGGTGGCTAAGCCAGGTTATTTAACATAAAATTCCATTTATTTATTTGTTATTATTTTATGTTTTTATTTCAGAGAGAGGGAGGAAGATGGAGAGAGATAGAAACATCAGTGACGAGTGAGAACCATTGATCAGCTGCCTCCTGCAGTGGGCATCTAGCTGTAACCTGGGCATGTGCCCTGACCGGGATCGGACCTCCTGGTTCATGGGTCGATGCTCATCCTTAAGCCAATCCAGCCGGGCAGCGTGTAATTCCATGTAATCCTTAGAAGAAGCCTGTGAGGGTAATTATTATCTCAAAGACGGGAAACCAGAGCAGAGAGGGCCAGGGGCTTCCTGAGGTCACACAGCCCGCCGGTGATGGCAGCAGGATTATAACCCAAGTCTGTCTGACAGAAGTCCTCCCAGCACACTCGAGACCGCACTCTTTCTCTCTGCTCCAGGTGCTCTGCTTCCTACTTTCTGTCTCCCAGAAACTGCCTCCTGCTTTACTCCCTGAGCCACAGACACAGGCAGGCGGTCACCGCATCTGTGTGCGCGTCTTCTGACAGGCAGCTCTTTGTTGGTGGCGGGCTTGTTTGGGATGACTCACGGTCATCTCATCTTTCCCCTTCTTTCTCCATCGCCCTCCCGCGTCGGCCCTGGCAGAAGAAGCCCGTGAGGCGGCGATATGAGCCCTATGGGATGTATTCTGACGACGATGCCAACAGCGACGCCTCAAGTGTTTGCTCTGAGCGCTCGTATGGCTCCAGGAACGGCGGCATTCCCCATTACCTGCGGCAGACCGAGGACGTGGCGGAAGTCCTCAACCACTGCGCCAGCTCCAACTGGTCCGAACGGAAAGAAGGGCTCCTGGGCCTGCAGAACTTACTGAAGAGCCAGAGGACACTGAGGTGAGGCCGGGGCCGGTGCGGCCTGCAGTCCGCATCAGGGGTGTGTGGGTGCCTGCGTCTGTGGAGCCCCTGCAGAGTTCCAGCACCAAAGCTCCGAGGTGGCCAAGACCCAGGCTTTCCCTTCCAGAGACTGAAACATCTGGCACATCCTCTGTAGTTTATTAGATTTATTCCCTTATGGCTCACATTTGGCTGGTAGCTATTATTTGAGAAATCTTTGTGCGGGTAGCAATTTAGGTGAAAAACAAAACTGGAAACTGTCATTCATAGCTGATGGGGAAAGAAAATGCACAGCTGCTTTGGAAAAAGGAAAGAAAATAAAACTGCAGGTTGGTGTGGTTCATTACACTTTAGGGTTGTGGGTAAGATGACAGCAGTCTCAGTCTAAAAAATTTTTAATACACATGCATATATGTAGCTTATAAATACTAAAGTGATACAGAATCAGTTTACTAAATTGGAATACTAATAACAATATTTGTAATATTTTTTCTTTTTTCTTTATATTCCTGTATTTCATAAATTTTCTAACATGAGCAGGTATTATACACATACAAAAAAATAGGTCTTTATATCATATTTTATCAAATCTAAGGCACCATAGGCAAACCATTATTTTATAGCCCTTTAAGAAGAAATGCTGCTTATTAAACCTGATGTTAATATGTCATTGATTATAAGATGAATCTCATAATTACAGAGATGTTACAGTGTGAAAAAGTGAGCAACTTAGAATCCATGACATACAGTGTATTTTACCCTTTAGATAATTTTTTAAAGATAAGTTATGGCACCGGATACTTTCGTAGTCCTGGATGGGTTCTGCAAAGTTAAGTGAGCACTGACCCGGGAATTCCTACGCAGTGTGGCTCCCACGTCAGCCGGACTCTACCCTGCTGGGCCCCCCCCACCCCCCCAAATTCTATTTTGTTCATGAAGATGTCCTGAGAGCTTCTCCTGTCATATGCCTTCTGAAAGTCAGGTAGCTTCTGACCTCTAGTGATCCGTCAAAAAAACAAAGTGAGGATTGTTGGTTGTGATTGTTGCTTCAAGAATCTGGTTAATTCTGCAGGTCTCAGTTTCTTGCATCTTAGTGTTCACCAAGGAGGCATTGAGTAAGTCTCTAGAAACCTCTTGATAAGCTTTGGTCTTATCTAGATTGTGTCGTGTATGAAGGGGATCACTTGGGCATGATTTGGGGAAAACATGTCCCTTCTAATCAAGCCTTGAAGTAAAATAGGACTTAGTAGTGTAGAAAAGGCTAAGAAAAGGCATGAGGCTATAAAATGAAATGCGGTTGCTATGTCTTAGGCACAGTGAAGGAAGGAGGTGTCATCTCCTCATCCTCACACAGCCAGGTGCCCTTACCCCGTGTGACTGACAGCGCGTGCTTTCTCTGGCAGAACCGAGATGAACACTCAGGTCTGTGTGCCCCAGTACATGCTCTTCCAGGCTGTCCCATTGCCTCCACCTGGCAGGTGGCAAACAGACCGGGAATGAAATGAACGGGATTGATCTCATGGCTCTGTCACTTCCATTCCTGTGAATTTAAGCACTCTCTGAGATTTAGTTCTTTCATTTTAAAATAAAAACAAAACTATTACAGTTTTATATTCCTGTTTGATTTCATCATGAGTTAAATAATAAAGTTTTTGTGTGAAAAAATGTTTTATAAAAATTATATAAAGCTGACATAGTTGACTGAAATAAAAGGATTTTTAAACCAAAGCTGTAATTAATTTTAATGTTGACTTATTAAAGGGAATTTATTTCCGCTTTATTATTTTTTTTAGTCGAGTAGAATTGAAAAGATTGTGTGAGATCTTCACACGAATGTTTGCTGACCCGCATAGCAAGGTAAGTCTGGGAATCGGGCCTCGCTTACCTTCCCGCATGTCTGTGTGCGCTGTGTCAGGTACTTGTGGAGATTGAGAGAGAATTCCCCGTAGTGAAGTTAAGACCTTACAGATTAGCCCTGGTTTGTGGCTCAGCTGGCGGGACCATCGTCCTGTGCACCAAAGGTCACAGGTTTGACTCCAGGTCAGGGCACATACCTAGGTTTCAGGTTCTATCGCCAGTCCATCCATGTTTCTCTCTTTCCCCCTCTCCCTCCCTTTTTTCCTCTCCCTCTCTCTTCCTTCCACTAAACATATCCTTGGGTGATGATTAAAAAACACACAAAAAAGACCTCACAGATTAACACTAATTTCAGCAATAGCTTATTTCACATCTTTTAAAATTGGAATTCTTGGGAGCTTCAAATGTCTATGAAACTTAGTTATATATAAAGTGCATTTCAATATGAGTTATGGAGACAATCAATTGTCTTTCAGCAGATATTTTTGAGTGGCTCCTATTGGCCAACAGTGGGCTAGGTGCTAGAATGTTACATTGTATTATATAATATAGTGACTTTTAAAAAAAAAAGTTACACTAGTGAAGAAAAATAATCAAGTATATAATAATTTTTTTGCATCCCAGGTAGAATATTTCGATATAAGACAAAAAGAGCAAAGTGGAAGCATTTATATATTAGATTTATTAGAGAACCAGGCTGAGTTATTAGGATTTGCCAGCCCTAGGAACTTGCTGAATGGTGGCCACTTAGCTGGTGTGTATCCCCTCCCTATCCTCCCGGGAGCCCAGGGGAGCACTGAGCCTGAGGCATCTGCCTAGGGAGCACTCCACAAGGAGGGACCAGCCCCTCAGGAGTGGGGCTGAGAGGGGCCCTTTATAAATGCACGTGGAGGCCGGGTTTACATAATGGGCATTGTTTGGGAGGAGGCCTGTAGAGGTGATTAGATGCTTTTAGAGAGAAAAAACAAAACAAAACAAAAAAAACGGATGATGCTATTGGGAAAGTTAAAGAGTGGATAAAGGACAGAAACTAAAGAATAGATATTGAGAAAACCTTAATCACCATAAGAAAATCGTAAATGCTTTACATGCAGGACTTAACTATGTTATACTTCAGTTTTCCTAGTAAAACTGGTCTGTCCTAAGTTTTTCTGGAAGAATGAAGCCGTGATGGTCAGAAAGAAGCCTGTTTTCGTGATGTCTCCTTTCCCGAGCCTTTCCTCGTCGTAGGAATTGCCCTTAAGCTGTCACCTCTCTGTTCCATCATTCAGCATTCCTGGCGCCCACTCTGGGCAAGGGGTGCAGGAAGCAGCATGTGACCTCTGTCTTTTGAGATGCTCACATGGTTTAAAATCCCTGCTATGACCCTGACCCTCACAGCAAGGTTAACATTAGCTATTAATAAGATCCAAGAATGGTTGAGTTTGAGGGCCACGTAGTATAATTATCAAGATTTCTTCTCTAAGATAACGTTAAAAACACTAAGATTCGAATCATAAGCATAAGATTTATAGGACTCATAGCATAAAAGATTAGATGGTTTGGGACATTGACGAAATTTCTGTTACCTGTCACCTCTAGATTGCTGATTCAGAAGCAGAATGTGAGGATAAAGAAGGAAATTTGTTTCCATCAGAAGGCTCTTGGACAGTGAGTTTGGAGGTCTCAGTCTAGTTACTGTTTGCTAGCTGCCTTTGAGCTAAGCTAGGAGCCCCACAGCTGGGCTCATTGACTTTCGTCTGAGCCACCTCACACCCTGATGGTTAATAGTTGCTGCGCTGTTTGGTATATGACGTTTGGGTTGTCCCCATAGAGCGATGCTCATAACCAAGGAGAGGGAGACAGGTGCCACTGACCTCTCTGAAATATCCAGGGATAGTCCACCTGACTGTCTCACCGTAGACAGCAATAATGAGTATATAGCAGCACGATAATCATGTGAGGTTTTAAGCCATAACCTTTTATGAAGCTTTTTAAGGCTTTTGCAATATCTTTTTATAAAGATATTACTTGACAATACCTGAATTTTGGTATGCATTAAAATAGATGACAGGAATGAAAAAAATACACAAGTTTTTCCCCCTCATCCTGTAACTACTTTTTTTTCTTTTTGTATAGGTGTCACATGGTAATCTTTATTAAAAAATTTTTTCAGTTATACTTAGCATACAACATTACATTAGTTTAACTTATATAACCTAGTGATTGACATTTATGTAACTTACCGAGTGATCACCTGAGTAAGTCTAGTACCCACCCAATACCATAGTTATTACAGTATTATTGACTATACTAGAGGCCCCGTGCACAAAATTTGTGCCTGGTCTGCACCCTCTCCAATCTGGGACCCCTTGGGATTGGGCCTAAACCGGCAGTTGGACATCCCTCTCTGAATCTGAGACTGCTGGCTCCTAATCCCTTACCTGCCTGCCTGATTGCCCCTAACTGCCTCTGCCTGCAGTCCTGATGCCCCAACTGCTCCCTTGCCAGCCTGATCGCCCCCTAACTGCCCTCCCCTGCCGGCCTGATCGCCCCCTAACTGCCCTCCCGTGCTAGCCTGATTGCCCCTACCCACTTATGCCTTGGCCCCCGCCACCATGGCTTTGTCTGGAAAGACGTCCAGAAAATGTCTGGTCTAATTAGCATATTACCCTTTTATTGGTATAGATTCCTATGATGTACTTTAATCTCCATGACTGTTTTTATAGTTGTCAATTTGTACATTTTAATCCCTTTACCTTTTTCACCCATCTCCCTAATACCCTCCCATCTGGCAACCCATTGATTTGTTCTCTGAATCTATGAGTTTGTTTCTGTTTTTTTTTGTTGTTGTTGTTGTTGTTGTTTGTTTTTTAGATTCCACATATAAGTGAAATCATATAGTATTTGTCTTTGACTTAGTTCATTCAGTGTAATACCCTCTAGGGCCATCCATGTTGTACTACCTCTTCTATTGTCTGTTGATAGAGACTTACTTTGTCTCCATATCTTTCTCTTATAAATAATGCTGCAATGAACCTAGGGATGCATATGTCTTTCCCAGTTCGTGTTTTGGATGAAAACCCAGAAGCAGGTTTGCTGAGTCATATGGTAGTTCTGTTTTTAATTTTTTGAGGAATCTCCATGGTGTTTTCCATGGCGGCTGTGCCAGTTTGCCATCCCGAGAACAGTGCACAAGGGTTTCCTTTTCTCCGTGGCCTCATCAAAGCTTGTTGTTGATTTATTGATGATAACCATTCTGACGTGTGAGGTGATATATTATTGTGGTTTTAATTTGCATTTCTCTGTTGATTAGTTACGTTGAGCATCTTCATATGTTCGTTGCCCATCTTTATGTCCTCTTTGGAAAAATACCTGTTCAAGTCCTCTGCCCATTTCTTAATTTCTTTGGTATTAGACTGTATGAGTTTCTTATATATATGTTGGATATTAACTCCTTATCTGGCATATCATGATGAATATCTTCACCTATTCAGTAGATTGCTAATTTGTTTTGTTCATGATTTCTTCCCTCTGGAAAAACTTTTTAATTAGATGAAGTCCTATTTATTTATTTATTTATTTATTTATTTTTTCCTCTTGTTACCCTTCCCCGAGGACATAGCCACCCCCCCCCCCCCAAAAAAAATATATATATATGCACACATACACACATACATACATAGAGTGATGTCATAGAGTTTACTGCCTATGTTTTTTTGTGGGAGCTTAATGATTTTTGGTCTTAAATTTAATTCTTTAATCAGTTTTGAGTTTATTCTTGTGTATGGTGTAGGTTGGTGATCTAGTTTCATTTTTTTTTGCAAGTGTCCGTCCAGTTTTTCCATTTATTGAAGGGACTGTCTTTACTCCATTGTAAATTCTTGCCTCCTCTGTCATATATATTAATTGATCATGTATTCATGGCTTTATTTCTGGATTCTCTCTTCCATTCCATTGATTTATGTTTTTTATGTCAGTGTCATGTTATTTTGATCACTGTAGCCTGGTAGTATAGTTTGATACCAGATAGTTTGAAATCTCCATCTTTGTAATTGGCTATTGGGGGCTGTTACAGTTCCATATAAATTTTAGGACTATTTGTTCTAATTTCATTGGTATTTTGATAGAGGTTGCATTGAATTTATAGATTGGTTTAGAAAGTATGGACATTTTGATGATGTTACTTATTCCTGTCCATGAGCATAGTATGTTTCCATTTATTTGTATCTTCCATTTTCTTTGGTACCTTATGATTTTTCAGAACATGGGTCTTTTACCTTTGGCTTAAATTTATTTCTGTATGTTTTATTATTTTTTATGCAATCAGAAATGGGGTTATTTTCTTAATTTCTCTCATAGTTCATTTTTTGTTTATAAAAATGTAATCAATTTATGAATATTAATTTTGTATCCTGCTACTTTATTGAATTCATAGTTTTATGGTGAAATCTCTGTGTATAGTATCATGTTATCTGAAAATAATTATTTTCCAATTTGGTTGCCTTATTTCTTTTCCTTGTCTGATTGTTGTGGCTAGGGCTTCCATTACTATGTTGAAGAAATCATATGGTATTTGTTTTTCTGTGATTAAAAGTAAGCATCCTTGCCTTGTTCCTGATTTTAAAAAAAATGCTTTTAGCTTTTCACCATTGAGTTTGATGTTAGCTGTGGGTTTGTCATTTATGGCCTTTATTATATTGAAGTTTGTTCCCTCCCTTCCCACTTTACTAAGAGTTATTATAAATGGATGTTGCATTTTGTCAAATGCCTTTTCTGCATCTATTGATATGATTTTTATTCATTTTATTTAGTGTATCAGGTTAATTGATTGTGAGTATTGAACCAACCTTGCATCCTAGGAATAAATCCCACTTGATCTTTTGATTGTATTGATGAATTTGGTTTGCTTATATCTTGTTGAGAATGTTCATCAGGGAAATTGGCTTATAAAATTTTCTTTTTGTAGTGTTTTTATCTGGTTTTGTTAACATGGATATGCTAGCCTCATAAAGTGAGCTTGCGATCCTTCCATTCTCTTAAAAGTTTTTTAAATAATTTGGGAAGGATAGCTATTAATTTACCTGCAAAGCCATCTGGTGCAGGGCTTTGTTTGTTGGGTGCTAGGGCTGACCAGCAGACCCTGAGTGATGGAAGATGACTCTGACACACGTTTCTGGGAAAGAGAGGGCTAAAGGACTGCTTGGCTTGAGAAACCAAGCAGCCTCATTGGCCTGCCTCCTAAGGCTTTTATTGTAACAACAGCTTGACCTAAAATGAACTCTTCATTAGATATCATTATGACAAAAAAATATGCTTGTTATGATTTCAGTCTTTTAAATTTTATTGATACTTATTTTGTGGCCTAATATTTCATCTGTACTGGGAAATCATCCTTTTGTGCACTTGAATAAAATGTGTACTCTCTTGCTTTTGGGTGAAATGTCCTAAAAATATGTATTATTAGATAATCTGATGGATTGTGTTATTTAAGTCAGTCCATTGATATCAATGGGTGTTAAAAGTCCCCTATTGATCACTCCCATTAGTTTTATCAGTCTTTGCTTTACATACGTAGGTGCTCAGCACCTATGTTGGGTACGTAAATGTTAAAAAGTTATATCCTCCTATTGAATTGGTTTCTTTATCATTATGAAATGTGCTTTTTTTTTGTCTCTTGTTCCAACTTTTAAACTTTGTCTTTAAACTTTGCCATTTTAATTATGATATCTTCATATGGGCCTCTTTTGGCTGATCTTGTTTTGGACTTTCTGCACTTTCTGGCCTTTTATAACTACCTTATTTTTGCCAGGTTAGTGGAGTTTTCAGTCATTATTTCTTCAAATAGATTTTCCATCTCTTGCTCTCTCTCTCTTCTCCTTTTGGCACTCTCATAATGTGAATGTTGATATGCTTGATATTGTCCAAGGGGTCCCTTCAACCAGCAGTCACCAACCTTTCATACCTCATGGACCACCAGTGGTCTGCGGAATACCGGTTGGCGACCAGTGCCTTCAACTATGCTATTTTATTTTATTTTATTTTATTTTATTTTATTTTATTTTATTGATTTTTTACAGAGAGGAAGAGAGAGGGATAGAGAGTTAGAAATATCGATGAGAGAGAGTCATCGATCAGCTGCCTCTTGCACACCCCCCACAGGGGATGTGCCCGCAACCAAGGTACATGCCCCTGACCAGAATCGAACTTGGGACCCTTCAGTCCACAAGCGAACGCTCTATCCACTGAGCCAGACCGGTTTTGGCCCAACTATTCTCATTTATTTATTTATTTATTGCTGTTCTAATGGGTTGTTTTCCACAACCTTTTCTTCCATGTTGCTGATTCAGTTCTCTGGTTTTTCTAATCTGCTGTTGATTCATGTAATGTACTTTTCATTTCAGTTATGGTATTCTTTATTTCTGACTTTTTAAAAAATTTTTTATCTATTTTTTTATGTTTCCTATCTCATTGTTGAAGTTCACACTGATATTATCTATTCTTTTTGTAAGTTCATGGAGCATCCTTATTAGCAGTGTTTTGAACTCAATCTGGTACATTGCTGGCCTTCATTTCATTTAATTATTTTTCTAGAGTTTTGTTCAGTTCTTTCATTTGGAACATGTTTCTTTGTCTCCTGATTTTGGCTGCCTCCCTCTGTGTGTTTGTATGTATTAGGTAGAGTTGTTCCATCTCCCAGTCTTGACAGAGTGGTCTTAAGTAGTAGGTGTCCTTTCAGGTCTTGTTGTGCAGACTTCCTGGTCACCTGAGCAGGGTGCTCCCTTGTGTGGGTTTTGTGTATCATTTCCTCTTACAGTTTAGCTTTGATGATTGTTGGCACATTAGTGTGTGAGATTGACCCTCAGGATAACTGGCTATGAGGACTGGCCATGACTACAGTGGGCCAGCTGTTGTGCAGTGGTTGACCCCGCAGAGCAGTATTTGCTTTGCAGGATTCTGTTGCTCTCTGAGTCTTCTCTTTGTGTGTGTTGTTTATGGAGGTGGTTCAGTGGTGCTCTGATATGGTCTGAAGCTGGCCACCAGGTGTGTTGGTTCTTGGGACTCTTAGGAATGCTCTGGAGCAGGCCCATGTCAGCTTCTACCTATTAGGAGCTAAAAATTGACCTGTAGTTGGTAGCCTCCTGTGGTGGGGTTGGGGCTCCCTAGAAGGAGTCTGGAGAATGCTGAGACCAACTGCTGCTTGTTTGGTGTTTGTGGATGTTTGAGAGACCTTAGAAAATTCCACAGTGCATGCCCATTTCAGCTGCTTGTGTGGAATAGCTGCTGAAAGGGGTTTGGGCCAGGGTCATAACTTGGGTGGGGCAGTGTTTCAGGGAAGCATCAGAGTGCAGTGAAGAAGTTCAGACTTGGCACCTGACTGCATCTGCCACTTGGGTGGAGTGAGGATCAGCAAAGGGACAGGGTCCATAGGAGAGCTATCCCACGTGTCCAGGGGAGAGCTGTCCCAACTGCTGCTCTCACACTGCAGCTCCGAGTTAGTGAGTCCTGTGGCACCTTCATTCTGGCAGTCTCTTGACTTCCTGAGTGCTGGTTTTCACCGCCAGATGTAAGGGACTTCCCTGCAGGCTCTGGTGCCCTGGGCTGGGGAACTCGATGTGGAGCTGAGACCTTTCTCTTCTTCGGGGGTCCTACATGGCCTCCTTATTCCTCCCAGTTCTTAACCTTCACTCAGGGGTGTTGGACAAGCCTATTCTGAGTCTCTACCCCTCTATCAATCTCACTGGCTTCTTCCTTATATTCTTCATTATAGGACTTCTGATCAGCTAGTCTTCAGATGGTTTTCAATGATGGTTGCTTTATAATTTAGTTGTAGTTTTGATGTTGCCATGAAGGAGGCAAGCACAGTATCTACCTACTCTTTCTTCTTGATGGAAAGTCTTCCCATCATAGCATTTTTTTAATGATAGATAATGAAAAGTAATAGTATAGGATTATGATGGTTTAAATGTTTTTTGAAGAAAGAAAAACACCACCCTGGCCAGAATGGCTCTGTGGTTAAAGCACCATCCAGCAGACTGAAGGGTCATGAGTTCGATTCTGTAAAGGCATATTTTTGTAGGCTTTATCGCTGGCCCCAGTTGGGGCATGTTCGAAAAGCAACCAATTGATGCGTGTGTCACACATGCCCCTCCCTTACACTCCCTCTAGGAATCAATGGAAAACATATCCTTGGGTGAGGATTAACCAAAAAGAAAGAAAGAAAGATAACTCTAGATTAACCTAATGCTTAAAGATAAATAAATCAACAAACAAATGCTTTTCAGCAAAGTTATTTCTCTCTGTACTGGATTTTAAAGGCATATTGAGGGAGTAGAGTGTGTTATCAACTCTTAGCCATTTCGGGTCTTTGAGTAAACTGCATGGACATTGTATTAATTCACTCTGGACTAACATGGCATTTGTTTTGTTGCATGGCCTCGTTTGCGGTGGAATTCACATCAGAGAGTAAGTTCCAGTTCTTTTTCCCTAATTTTCTTTAATACATTTGTCTTCTGTGGTCTGATCAATTGTTAACAGTGTTAAGCGAGCTTGTAAGAGACTGGGCCAAGCCAGTGTGGGCATTTTTAATGGTTTGGGGACTTTGGAGGGAATTCTGAATTAAATATGTGAAATGTTCTGTTTTTATTTGTGTCTAGGTTTTCAGTATGTTTTTGGAGACTCTTGTTGATTTTATAATAATTCATAAGGATGATTTGCAAGACTGGCTTTTTGTTCTTCTCACACAATTACTTAAGAAAATGGGGGCAGATCTACTTGGATCTGTACAAGCGAAAGTTCAGAAAGCTCTAGATGTCACAAGGTAAGTGTTTAGGAAGTAGACCATTTTCCCTGTTTTTGAGATGTAGTTGCATAGAACATTGTGTAAGTTTAAAGTGTACAGTGTGATGATTTTGTTTTATGTATATATTACCACATAATTTTCATCTTTTTGTTGTGGTGGTGGTGAGAACATCTCAGCTCTGTTGTCTTTAGGACCTTTCAGGTGTATAATACAGTATTGTTAACTATAATTACCACACTGTACATTAGATCCCAGAACTTGCTTATGTTATAACTGTAAATTTGTACCCTTTGACCAACATCTCATTTCCTCCTCCTCCTAACCACTGACAACCACCATTCTATGCTCTGTGTCTGGTTCAGCTTGTTCCCTTTTAGATTCCACATATAAGCCAAAATTAGGGAACATCCCTATACATCAGCTTAGCAATGGACTTATAAAGCATTGACTACAAGGGCGAGGCTGAGCCAGGTGATATTACATGAGTGAAGTAGGTAAGAGGGGAGGATTATGGATAATGTGAAGAAGTGTGGTCAGTGGTGGCCGGGTTGGAACCTGGGCCCATGTGGATTAATGCAACACATTTAAGAATTTTTTTTTAGAAAAAGAAAAGGGATGCAGGTTCAAAACTACAAAAATTACAGGACAGACGTGAAATTTAAATGAAATGCTACAAGAAAAATCTAAAGTGCATGGCATATATTAGATCTTGTGAAAGCCAAATAAAACTTTGTGAACCAGACTTGACCTATAGGTCACTTGCTAAATTTAAGGGAATTTATGAATGTCAAGATTCATTTCAGATTTTGGGGGATGGCTGGAATATTATGATTGCATTTCCATCCTTTGATGATTAAGAAAAACAATTATTCCCTTCTGTTAACTTTTCTGGATGTCTCTTTAAGAATTCTGTTCTCATATTTGGTCTGTCTCTAAGGCATGTTTATCATTCCTGGTCTCAGCAGCTGAGATGTGTAGCTGCTTAAGGTTATCTGGGATCAGTGTGTCCAGGGGCTCAGTGTTTGCTGAGAGCTCTTCCTCAGGTAATAGACCTGATTGCAAGCAAATCTGCCTCAGCTTCCTGTCCTTCGGCTGTGCCAACAACCGAGCACATTTCCTGGTTAAACATCAGTTTATGCTGCAGAAGAAAGGAGAGACATTTTGTGTGTCGTTTGTTGACCTTGTTTCTTTAATTTATAGCCATGTGCTATGGTAGAAAAGGGTGTGCTGTTGGGTCAAACTTACTTCTTATTAATAATTATAATGCTACCGATACTAGTACCTAGTATGTGTCATGCACTGTACATTTTTTTATATTCATTTAAATGTCACATCTATCCTGTGATTTTCATGATTTTGAACCTGAATTGCCCCCACCCTTTTTTTTTTTTTTTTTTTACTATACTTCTGTAGATTGAGAAAAATCTCTAAGAGTCCCAAGACAGCAATGCAATTGCTCAACCTCAATTGTAATAGATGTTTGCATTGCGGTATCTTTCCATTATGCATCTTTACACTGAGATTAGTAATGGCAGCATTTTAAGAGGGGGAGAGCATTGACTTTCCTAGGCAAGAGCCTTCTGTGTCACTCAGTTAGACCAGAGGTGTGAGATGACTAAAGGAAAGGGAGTGGTACCAGGTAAGAAAGAGCAGGAGGGGCCTGCAGGGGCCCCGGTTTCTATATGGGCTCTGTAGTTACATGTGGGGGTATTTTGCTGATTGCTCCTCAGGCGCTGTTCTCATGATTTTGCCAAATAGAGATTATAAGCAATCACCAGAGGAGGACAGTACAGTTAGCTTAAGTGAGGTCAGCTTTAAACTGCCTGATCAGGGAGTAAAACTAAGATTTGGAAATTGGCAGTATTTTCCGATGAGCAGTATTTAAAAAGATAGCTGGAGAGAAGATGAGCAGACCCCCTAGAAGGCAAGTACAAATCTCTTCCTTATAAGTTTACTAGAGACTCGGTGCACAAAATTCGTGTATGGGTAAGGGGGGGTGTCCCCTCAGCCCAGCCTGCACCCTCTCCAATCCAGGACCCCTTGGGGGATGTCTGACTGCTGGTTTAGGCCTGATCCCAGTCAGACACAATCTGGGACCACTAGCCCCTAACTGCCTCCCCTGGCAGCCTGATCACCCCTAACCGCCTCTGTCTGCCAGCCTGGTTGCCCCTTACTCCCCCCTCCACCTGCTGACCTATCACCCCTCACTACCCCCCACTATCCCCGCTGGCCTGGTCACCCCAACTGCCACCCTCCCCGCCAGCCTGGCCGCCCCTAACTGTCCCTTCTGCCAGCTGAGTCATCCCCAACTGCCCCTCTGCCAGCTTGGTTGCTCCCAACTCCTTCCCTTCCCCCACCGGCTTGGTCACCCCCAACTTCCCGCCAGCCTAGTTGCCCCATGCAGCCTCTGTTCAGTCATTTGGTCATCCCTCACTAACCCCCCCTGCTGGCCTGGTTGCCCCCCGCAGCCTGCTGTTCGGTCATCCATCAGATTGTTTTGGTCAGGACGGCCCCTGGCTTTTTTGTATTAGGATTGCTTAGTATGAATTTTTAAACTAGCATACTCAAAGTAAGTTTAGTAAGTGTTTTGAGATGTTTAATATGGTTGACTTTTTAAAAATATTTTCTGAAATGCATATTACTTTAGTATTTAATATAAAATGAAAAATGTTTAAAAATGTGAACAAACTTGCATTTACTTATGTTAATCTACAATAGTTTATGTTTTTGTTTTTATATGATTTTATATTATTTTTTGTTACAAATTTTTCTTAAAGGACAAGCACTTTTTTTTTTTTTTTTAAACCCAGGGACTCATTTCCATTTGATCAACAATTTAACATTTTGATGAGATTCATTGTGGATCAAACTCAAACTCCTAACCTCAAGGTTGGTAATTATTTGTCCTTACAATTCAGCCACTATATGTCGAATCAGTTTCCTTGTATTTGCTGGTTACGCATACACCTGCTGAGAATGTTCCTGTCCACCTCTTTGTGTACTTGCTTTTATTTCTTTTGGTTAAGTACCCCGTAGAGAAATTGCTGATTTATTGGGTAGGCATATGTCTAACTTTACTTTAAATTGTTAAGATGGTTGTATTATATTCCTACCAGCAATTTTATGAGAATCGTAGTTCCACATCCTTGCCAACATTTGGGTGTTATTATATTATTACTCTCACAATATTTAAACTAGAAAATTCTAATTTGTTGAGATACATGTTTCATATTGGAACTTTTAAAAATATTAGCATTCTAATATGATTAACTTGTTACATATTGTTGTAAAATCATACCTGTAATAACAAGACTAAATTGGAGGCAAGATATGTATGTGTTCATTTGAATTAAGTCATGTACATCACCTGTTCTTTATCATTGGGGTTTAGGCTAGGCCCAATCAGTAGCAACTCTTTTCTCCTGAGGTCAGAGCCAGCCGGGACATCAGTGGAGTAGTTAGGGCGGAGTGTCAGCCTGGTTACTGAACATGCTGCCTTGCAACACCCAGCCTAGGCTGTCTAAAAAGCAAAACTAGCTTCCGCCTTGTGCTTGCCATCCCGGCTCCTGGCAGCGCTCGAAATCCCTCTAGACAAGGGCTCCGCCCTCTGCATGTCCTGCAGGAAGGCGGGGAGCCGGCAGCGAGGCAGGGAGTGGGGCAGGCCTTCCCTGCGGCACACCACTCTGGAACTGAGGAGCATTAGGCTGCATGCACTCCCGTACCACACTCCCCTCAGTCACCCACGCTTCCTCACCTGATGGGTGCCGGCTCCATGTGGAACCACAAACCCCAGAAGGTGCTGTTGCCTCAGGAGGGTTTACTTTTCTCTGATGATCAGTTAGGAGTTCTACTCAGACTTATAAAGTGTACTTAATGTTCGTAATGATGGTCTTTCAGGTCAAAGTGGCAATCCTGAAGTACATTGAGTCTCTCGCCAGGCAGATGGATCCAACTGACTTTATAAACTCCAGTGAGACCAGGCTTGCTGTTTCTAGAATTATAACCTGGACAACAGAACCAAAGAGTTCCGACGTGAGAAAGGTACGTTTGATGCGCTGCAGCCAGCCTTACTGACCGGCTGTCCTGCTGTCGGAGAAAGAGCCTTATCCTGAGACGGGCAGACACCCCCAGACTCAGGCAGACTCTGCACTCCTCTGGGAAAGCCTAGGCTTGTCTCTGCTCCTTCTCTCTCCAGCTCTCCCTTGTTCCAGTTTGTGAATGTTAAAGATCTGAAATCTTGTATGAGGCGTTCATGGTTTTCTTAGGCATCTATTTATCTTTTTATTGTGTAAGCAGTTTAGTGTCTCTTACAAGGAATTGGTTTCCCTTAAGTTAGTTTTATGTCATGTACTTTGAAGATAGACTTAGGTCTAAGGCTACCTGGCCATATGGGCCTAATAGGAAAGTGCGGTTGAAAGTTTGCTAAGAGATAATGAATTCTTGAATTTAAAAAGAGCACAAACTTTCCTATCCTCTATCACTTTTAGAACACACAGCTCGAACTTCACACATTTATTATCTCGTAGCTTTGCGGCTCAGGGTGTGTGTCCTCTGGGTCCTCTGCTTGAGTCCTTATCAGGTTGAAGTCAAGGTGTGGTCTGGGTCTGCCATCTCTTCTAGGCCACAGTCCTCTTCCAGCTCCCTGGTTCTTGGCCAGGTCCAGTTCCTTCCAGATCCAGTGTAGGACTGACGGGCCTGCTTTTTTGCTGACTGTCAACAGGGGGTGTTCTCAGCTTGTAGAGGCTATTTGCCATCTCCTGTCACCTGATTGTCCCCACAACGTGGCAATAGGATTCTTTAAAGCCAGCAGGAGAGTTATTTGAAGAAATAATGTCCCAAATTTGATGAAAACAATCTACATAGCTAAGCAGCCCAGGAAACTCCAAGTGGGATTTAAAAAGAGCACTACACCTAGATACATCACAGTAAAACCATTGGAAGGTGAAGACAGAGAATCTTAAAGCAGCTCAGCATCCCCCATGATCCTCAGTGTGACCCACAGCTGGTTCATCTGCACCCACAGAGTCCCTTCTGTGCTAACAGCTCGGGCGATGTTCCGTCTTAGTCATGAGTGCCCTTCTCTGCAGACGGGGACTGTGCAGGCTTGTGCAGCAGGAGCCAGAACCATGAGCCTTTCAGTGTTTTGCCTACCAAGTAGGTTGGCAGGAATCTTCCATAGTTACCTGGTTAAATGGGGAGCTTCTTAAATTAACTGCCAATCGTGATAAGGTTCAACTTAGCAGATGCCCCTTCGCTTTCTGGGAGCCATCTGCAAAGGCTTCCGTTGTGCATGCAAAGCACCAGTGAGTATGCGCTGCGACCCAGCTCAGCTAGGTGTTTTCCGCCCCATCACTACGTGCCCACACATCAGGGCACTGCAGAGTAAGACTTCCCAAAGCCCCTTTATATGAATGCTCTGTTTTCAAGTACCATCATTCTACATTATATTAATGCTAGAGGTCCGATGCACAAAATCTGTGCAAGAGTAGGCCTTCCTTCCCCCGGCTGCCAGCACCTGCTTCCCTCTGGCCCCAGGACCTGGGCTTCCATCCAGCTGCCAGCAGGCACCCAGGACCCGGGCTTCCCTCGCAGCCCTGGCTTTGTCCGGAAGGACATCCGGTCTAATTAGCAAATTATGCTTTTATTATTATAGATTATTATAGATAGATACTGTTGTAGGTGACGCAGCTACCTTACCCAAAGCATTGGAGATGTATTTGAAAGACTGTCTACATGAATGTAGCAGCTAAATAAAAAATACTTAGAAATTGTGATTATTTATTACTCTGCTCTAAGATCTAAAATTGTCATTATTATTTTAAAGCTATAAAATATAAAATGGGTTTTTTATTGTTGTTGTTAATCCTCACTCAAGGATATTTTTATTTTTTTCATTGATTTTTTTAAAGAGAGAGCAAGGGAGGGAAGGGGAAAGGGAATAAGAGAGGAAGAAAGAAAAACATTGATGTGATAGAGACATATTGATTGGCTGCCTCCTGCCCATACCCTAACTGGGGCTGGGGATCAGACCTGCAACCAAGGTACATATTGCCCTTGACCCAGAATCGAACCTGAGACCCTTTGGTGCACCTGACACTCTAACCACTGAGAAAACTGGCCTGAGTTAAAACAAGTTATTTTTATCTGGGTGATTTAATACACTAAAGACACTCTTGCCTGTTTCTTTTAAATAGATGTATGTTTTGCCTCTTTCAGTTGCAGAGTTATTAAAGGGTATATCAAGTGCTAGGGAAATCTTAGTGACTTAAAAACACTTTATACCCTAACCCGTTTGGCTCAGTAGATAGAGCATTTGCTTGTGAACCAAAGGGTCCTAGGTTCAATTCAGGTTAAGGGTGTGTATTTTGGTTGCAGGCTTCTCCCCAGCCCAGGCCCTGGTCAAGGCATGTGCAGGAGGCAACCAATCAATGTGTTTCTCTCACATTGATGTTTCTCTCTTTCCCTCTCTCTTCCACTCTCTCTAAAATCAATGAAAAAATATCCTTGGGTGAAGATTTTTAAAATCCTATCTGATAAAAGTGTAATATGCAAATTGACTATACCTTGGCTACACCCACAAGCCACACCCACCAGCCATTCAGGAGCGATTATGCAAATCAACCCAACCAAAATGGCTTTGGCCATGGCCCCAGCAGGAGGTTTGGGTTTCCCTGCAATGGAGGAAGCCAAATTTCCACACACCCTGGCGGCCCCAGGCCTCCACTCAAGGCTACAAAGTTTCAATTATAGAAGATAAATATATTCCAACAAAAATGGTGGCAGCCACAGAGCCGGAGCGAGCAGGAGGTTTGAGTTGCCCCTGGAGATGGAGGAAGCCAAGTTTCACAGCCCTGGCCTGTCTTGGCCTCAATCAAGGCTACAAAATTTCAATTATAGAAGATAAAGAAATCCCAGTAAAAAATGTCTGGGGCCACAGAGCACCTCCCGTTGACTTCTGCCTAGGCCACTCTTCTTTCTGTAATCCTCATCTGAGGATTTTTTTCTATTGGTTTTTAGAGAGTGTGGAAGTGGGGGAGAGAAACATTGCTCTAAGAGAGGGTCGATTGGTTGCCTCCTGCATGCGCCCTTCCTGGGGCAGGGGATCCAACCTGCAACCCAGTTATGTGCCCTTGACTGGGAATCCAACCTGTAACCCTTCAGTGCGCAGGCCGACACTGCACCCACGGAGCCACCAGGCCAGGGCTGCCTCTGAGATTGAGCAAGTAATTTAACCTCTGAATCCCTTTTACTTATTTGTAAAATGAGAACAAGAACACTTGCTTCAGACGTTATTGGGAGGAAAGAAACAGCTGAGGGTGCCTCCTTTGCTACTGCTTGAGGATTGTTTTGGTTTTGTTGCTGATAGTGGAACAAATTGAGAACCAATTTTTTTTCTGGCATTAGGAAGATTTCTCTTCACTTAAAGGAGTGTGGTAATGACAGTAGAATTTTGAACAATATGTTTATATCTTAGGATTCAGAATCCCTTTGCTTATCATATGTGATTCTCTAACGTCTATCGATAGCAGCTACTTTGTCAGAAGAAATAACAGATTAGCCCCAGATGATGTGAGAAATGAGGGAAATGAAGATGGCAAAGAAAAGAGGCTGTTCCTGGGACAGGAAAAGCATATAAATAGCCTTCAAAAGTTGAAATTTCAAAAATTGAAAAAGCGTTAAATTTCCAATTATAGATAGGCAGTGTGGCCTACTGAAAGCTAAGGATCTTACCATTGACTCCTATCTCGGCCGAGCTGTGACTGCCCCTTTCCGGCCTCACTTTGACCTCTGGCTTCTGCTTCCACAAGAAGACTGCTCCTTCCAGGAAGGATCTTGGTTGTCAAGGGCCTAGCAAACCATCGATCCAGGGTTAAAACTGGGAGATGCTACTGTTACTCTTCTTCTTAATCTCAGCGTAGGATCCTGTGTGGGTCGTGTTCTAAAAGGAGCCGCATGCTTTTCCAGCTCCGCTAACCGTGCTTTGTTTCAGCACTGCTGCTTCTCTGACGAACTCCCGCCTTTCATGTTGTAGTCCCCGCTGCAGCGTAGTCGTGTAGGTGAGGATTTCCCCACTAGGTCAGCTTCCACCTGCTCTGGGCGAGGAGAAGGAAACTTGGAAGAAACTTGTAAACAGGTAGATTTAAAACTGCACTTATTTGAAAAGATAGTTTGCTGTTTGCACTTCAGAATATTAATACTGATTACCCTTGTGGAGACACTGAGAGGATTTTGAAGAAACCTAAAATTAATATAATTCTATGTGAGTGTGTGTGAAGCTGCGTAAACGTTTGTGTTTTGCTATGTTTTTATGATTAACTCCCTGTCCAAAGAAATAGCCACATCCAGTGCAGACCTCTACCCTATTTTCATGGACCAGTAAAGGACGGCTTCTAAGTATGAAATGCCTGAAGGTTTTCAAATACCTTCTCTTCGTGATTTTCTAAAGAAAATTTTTAAAGTCTGAAGGGAATAGTAATAGTTGCTTAATCAGCAAACTCCCCTTCCTCCCCAGTTTTCCGTTTCCCCTGAAGCGTTTGCCAGAGCTCCATGACTCCCTGTCCGGAGGGTTATTTTCTGCTGTGAAATGCACAGCTGATAACCTTGGGACTCTGACACAGTAGCAGTGACATTGGAAGAATCCTTCAACCTTACCCCCCCACCAAATTCTGTGTAGGGGCATGAATGGTAATCATTGCTTTTTACAGTTGTTATTTAATCTTTAAAATAAATAAATTGTCCTAGCGTCGTTCATTAGGAAAAGTCAGCGGCCCTCTGGAGGTTTTGTGTGGCTATTTAGTGCCTTTTGCGGAAGGCACGAGTTCAAAGGTGGGACAAGAACCTGCTCCTCTTGATTCCTTACTGAACGTGAGCTTTTTCCGGTGGTCTCTCCAACTCATCCCATATTGGGAATTATTTCTTTAGTGGGAGGATATTGATGGTAATGACAAATACAGCTGTTTTCTCTTGGATTCTAGTATTCTAGCTTCTCACTGACACAGAGGGTTGTAGATAAAATATCTTAGGACCATATACTTTGATTCCTTTTGAAACTTTGATTTAAAGTATTTTTTAAATTTCACTTTTTATCCATTTATGGAGCTTTAATCTCATTAGAAAAATATTGCATTTTGAAAATATCTTTAACCCAAGGCATAACTTTTGAGAACTGTATAAAATCAAATTCACTTTATATTTTGGAAAATGTAAAAATGAATTGTATTTATTTATATGTGTAAATCACACACATATACCATCTGTCCATTGAGTTATGTTTTCAAAATTCCCTATCTTTCTATTTTATTTCTTAAAGAAATTCAACTTTTGTATTATTGAGAGATAGCTCATTAGTGGGTCACAGTAAAATCTGCTGTACTTCCCCCCACATGACAGAAAAGTTACTAATGTTAAGTAGCCGTGAATCAGCCCAGTTTCTAGGCCCATCATCTTGCAGCCTGCAGAGCCCTGGAAGATCCCACTCCTTTTGTAGTTTACTTCATGCAAAGCCTCAAGTAAGTGTGTGGCATTGGATATCATGTCACTCTGGGAAGCATATACTATTTCCATTTTATAATTTTCAAATGTCGTTTTCAGTCAGCCAAAAAGTAATTGCCTAAACTTTCTTAATTGAATTTGGTCAGCATTGATTTCCTCCCCTGCTAAATTAAGTCCGCTTCTTCCTTTCTCTTTGAAGTGCAGTTTTTCTGCATGCACCTTTTCTAACATCTAATACAACGTGTTTTAAATGCACAGGTTCCTTTGCATGTTTTTTTGGAATTTGCTTTACACAAACATTGAAATCATGTTACTAGTATATTAAATGGGTGGTGGAATGGATTCCTCCAGGTAATGATTTATTAAGAATGATACACAATAATGAAATAGAGAATTGTGTATTTTAGTACAATTATAATACCACTGTCATGAAAGCACCTGGCCTGTTGTGATTTAATTGGAATGGAAAGGTTACTAACGCCTGTGTTTGGAGGTCAAGAGAGAAGTAAGATACTTTTGCCAAATGCTATGTGTAGTGAATCATTATAGATATGTTTGACATATTGAAAAGTAATTTTTGATTATTCTGTAAAGAACATCCTACTGATGTTTTAACATTCATAATTAATTTTTATGTTTGGTTAAACACATTTGGGTCTTAGGATTTTCTTTTCTTTCCCCAGGCATAAATATCAATTTTGTCTTTACCAAAAATTAATTTTCACATTGTAAAAGCATTGAAATAGTTAGTGATGCTTATTTCCAAAGAATTTCCCTGTGGGGTAATATTATATGTTATGGGGATATTACTGAGATCCTAAAAATTACAGTCTTTGGAAAAATAAAATTACGTTTTTGGTCAAAAGATTTTCATAATGTGCTTTCCTTTCTTTTGACTCTTAGCAATTTGTAAGAAATGCCAGTTAGTACTTAGTAAAATGTTCTTGGCGTAGTTTTTCTAAGTCAAACCTCTGTAACCAGTCCTTAGGCGTTGTGTTAAGCTCTGAGCGCCAGCTCTGCACTAGCAGAGCGCTTGGCTGCCTCTGCCTCGGCTGATTGCGTCCCCTGCCTTGCCCTGTAGTGACTACAAGCAGGCCTGCAGCACGTTGTCCCATTAGTAAGCAAAGGTAGAACATTTTCTGAAAGGCAAAGTAATACATTTTTAATTTGTATCATGCGATTCGGCTTTGCTTCTCAAAGACTGTCTCTTCCCTGAATTCAGAGGTGTGAGAGTAGGAGTTTTTCAGATGCATTTAGCTGGCTTTTTCTAGTATTTCTCAGTCACCAGGAGTGGGGTTGAGGAAGGCGGACTCTCAAGGTAACCTGGGAGCTTGTTTAGAAGCGTGTTGTATGTATTCAGCACCTTCAGCCCTGGTGCTCCATGGAGCAGGGAAGCTTTCGGGGTGTATTATGAATGTGCTACACAGGTCCGAGGCCAGGGCGTTAGATGCACCCAGGACTTACTCTCCAGGTTGAAGTGAGACTATTTATAGTTGGTGATACAATTTTTTCCAGGAACATTTTATTTTTGTTTTTTATAGCAAAGATGTTCTTTTATTATTTATTTTATTCATACATAAATGTTTTCTTTTAAAAACAATTTTCATGAATATTTTGACCAAGATACGTTGTTGGACTCTCCATCAGTTAATTCTGTCTTCTGTTCCTAGGCCGCACAGATTGTGCTAATATCGCTGTTTGAATTGAACACTCCTGAATTTACTATGCTACTTGGTGCCTTGCCCAAAACATTCCAGGATGGTGCCACCAAACTCCTGCATAACCACCTCAAGAATTCCAGTAACACCAGTGTGGTGAGTGCTTCGGCCACGTTGGTGTTGGTGCCTTTGTGGGCTGGCCATGGCCTTTGTATGTCCCTCGTCTACAGCTTGCTCTAACAGCCAGCTTGCTTCCTCTCTTTTAATAGACTGGGTGTCTCAAGAGTGGGAGACCAGTTTTAATCCTGCCTTATTCCCAATGAATGAATTAAGGAACCTGGCATTTAACTATGGCCATGTTCACTCCGCTCTGTTTGCTAAATGGTTAGAGTGTCAGCCTGCGGACCAAGGGGTTGGGCTTCAATTCTGGGTCACAGGCTCAATCCCTGGCCCAGTCGGGGCGCAGGCAGGAGGCAACCAACTGATTGTGTCGCTTACATCAATGTCCTCCCCTCCCCTCTCCTCCCCTCTCCTCCCCTCCCCTCTCCTCCCCTCCCCTCTCCTCCCCTCTCCTCCCTTCTCCCCTCTCCCCCTCTTACTCCCTCCCCTCCTTTCTCTCTAAAAAATAAAGTCAATGTAAAATATATCCTTGGGTGAGGATATTTTTAAAAAAGTAAATGTAGCCATTCCTTTTTCTCTCTTTTTTTGAAATATTTTTTTTATTTATTTTTTATTTTTAGAGAGGGGAATGTAGGGAGGGAGGGATTGATAGAGAAAGAGAGACATTGATGTGAGAGCGAACATTGATCGGCTGCCTCCTGCACATCTCCTACTGGGAGTTGAGCCTGAAACCCAGACATGTGCCCTGACCGGGAATCACACGGCCCCCTTTCAGTGCACAGGATGATGTTTGACCAGCTAAGCCACTCTGGCTGGGACAATATGGCCATTTCCTTAAGTTAGGTTATTCAGTCACTTACCTGCTTTTTTATGCTGTAGAGATGTAAATGCTCTATTGTGTCTGTTACTCTAGCACAGCTGGCATCAGTTATTCAGTTTCAGGAATGCCTATATGAAAGTCATCCATTTTTTGTTTAATAAGCACTGAAATTTGGCCCCAAGGATTCAGAAAAAGAATCTTCCTGATTGTACAAATTTTGCGCATGTGGGTGAAAAGGCCAAGGGTAAAGTGGGCCGTGTCCTGGATTTAGCTCTGGAGTAATGATGCTTATTCTGCCTCCACCCCAGGGCTCCCCGAGCAACACAATTGGCCGGACTCCCTCCCGACACAACAGCAGCAGGACCAGCCCCCTGACCTCACCCACCAACTGTTCCCATGGCGGCCTGTCTCCAAGGTAATGAGATTCGACAGACGTGAAGACACTGAAGTGTAGCTTATTTTTATATTTTTTACCAAGCTTAATGCCAAAAGTGTATGGGTGTCAGGAGATCATGGATCCCAGTCCTCAGCCAAATCTTAACTGAATAATCTTGGGCAATATGTACAGTGAAGCGTGTGGTTTGTACTGAATGTTCTCTGAGATTCTTCTACTCTGAGCACTGTCCCTTAAAGGTTTGGAAGCTAAGAAGTTACATTTAGCACTGCTACACATAGAAATCGTTAGAAACTCATCGCCAGGCTCTGAGGGGTGGGGGCATTGGAAAAGGGTGTTTGGTCATCTCCGCAAGCCCGTCAGAGCCCGCCCACACAGAGTCAGTAGTTTTGCAGCCCAGTGCCCGCTCAAGCACAGCTGCTGTCATTCTGGGCTCGTGTTTGCAGCAGAACGCTCTCTGGGGGAGAGAGTAAGAACCCGAGAACTGAACTTGGAGCAGCATTTCAGACTCACTGAACGTTGGCCTACGGAGTCCGATGCCATGGCTGAGAGGAGAAGATGCTCTGCCTCAGGACCTGTAGTGAACGCTGCTCCTCCCGGCCAGGGGCGCAGCAGTCCGCAGGTGGCTCTGGGGACTGGCGTGTGCGGGAGGCCCCAGGGCCTCCCTCAGAGCAGTGACTCTAGGCCGGGCTCTGTAGGTGAGAGCTGGAGCCTGGCCTGCCAGCGCCGCACATGCTTCTACAAGAAGTCTGGGATCACTGACAGCGAGCATTAAGGGGCTGTGTCTTAAGTGTTTCTGACATCAAGATCTTAAAATTATAAGAAAATAGTGCAAGTATGCCATTTTCCCTTTAAGGATTGCCTTTCTAGTAGGAAGAGAATCAAAACATAAGTGCCTTTAAATTTTTATTTTTAAATAATCAAGAGTCTCCCATACTCCTCTGTTCTTACCAGTGAATTTCTCTTCAGTTCCTCAGGTTATCGTATAAATATTTTGGGACATATCAAATTTGTATTTTTTTTTTTTTTTTTTTTTTTTTTTTTTGTGAAGCCAAGTGCTCTGTACGCTTATAGTCACAGTACCCCCCTGTTCATATTGCCTTAGGTTATTCATCTCAAGGCCCTCCCAGCACCATAAGTAGGTTGAAGTCTGATGTTATGACTCCAAATCAGGGCTGTTGTCATGAATCAGCAGCAAGCCATTCTACTTAGACATTGAGACCAGAAACTCATGAGAATGTGTCTGACTTTCAGGTGTGGCTCAGGCTCGGCAGCCACTTGTTTTTAATGCTAACATCTCTGTATGTGTCACAGTGTGTGATGGCCTCGGGTCAGTGCTAACCGCTAAGGCACAGAGTTCTCTGGCTATAAAGTGTTGCTTCTGGAAATTATACTTTGCAACATCAATGAGAAATCTGTTCTTTCATAATACACAGATCATACTTCTTGTGTTTTAATTATTTCATTATCAGGGTGGCACACTCTCTGAGTAATAAGCAAAAGGTAAAACTCAAATTAAGTATTTTATTAATTGTGCTAATAGTCTAAGTAAAAGATTGTTGGGAGCTGCTAGAGTAATTTGTTAGATCTAAGAATTGTCCAAGTATTAATCTCATAGATCCCTAAATTATTAAAAATTTTATTTTTTCCAGATAATCATTCATTTTTAATTGGCTTAACTTGAATGTTTACTGCTAGGGTTACAGGTTGGTAGAAGAAATGAAGAGATTTATTTTGTATATTAAAACATCCAAGTGTGGCCTAAATAGTTTTTTGGTTAAAAAATTCTTCTTTAGGGAATTAGTTATATAGTTTTTTTTCGTTTTTTTTCTTTCTTACATATATTTTTATTGATTTCAGAGAGGAAGGGGGGGGAGAGGGAAACATCATGATGGGGGAGAATCCTCACGCCCCGCCCTGGAGATCGAGTCTGAGTCCCAGGCCTGTGCCCCGATCGCTCCCTCCTGGTTCACAGGGAAACACGACCCGAGCCCCGATCGTTCCCTCCTGGTTCACAGGGAAACACAACCCCTGAGCCCCGATCGTTCCCTCCTGGTTCACAGGGTAACACGACCCGAGCCCCGATCGTTCCCTCCGGGTTCACAGGGTAACACGACCCGAGCCCCGATCGTTCCCTCCGGGTTCACAGGGTAACACGACCCGAGCCCCGATCGCTCCCTCCGGGTTCACAGGGAAACACAACCCCTGAGCCCCGATCGCTCCCTCCGGGTTCACAGGGTAACACGACCCGAGCCCCGATCGCTCCCTCCGGGTTCACAGGGAAACACGACCCGAGCCCCGATCGTTCCCTCCGGGTTCACAGGGTAACACGACCTGAGCCCCGATCGTTCCCTCCGGGTTCACAGGGTAACACGACCCCTGAGCCCCGCCGGCTGGGTCTTCCCTTCTGTTTTTAAAAGCATGTGCCCTAGTCCGTGCTTAACTAGCCAGATGGGCTTAGCCACGTTTGTATCATTTGGAGAAATGATTTTCTCAACTAAAACCACCCCAACTAGGAAAAACGGCCTCACAGCATCACCACTGGCAATATTCAAATAGGTGATGTGCTTTCTACCGGGAAAATTCTGAGCGGAAGGAACTCTTCTCGCTGGGAGAGTGGCCGGCCGCCCACGCCCGAGGGCCGGTCCGCACGGGCTCTGAAGCGCCGCCCCTTGGCCTGCGCGCCCCGTGACAGTGGCTTCCACGCTGAGGGGAGAAGTCGGCGTGGGAGTTTTCAATCTAATGTTGACTGTCAAAATGAATTATTATCTTTTTCTCCAAAAATTCTGCCCTTGAACATGGTGGCAATAAGGAAGTATTCTAAAAAGATGGGGTGGAGGAGATCTAATTTGGTAGTTGTTTTTTTGATCACTAGTGAAATCGCTTTTATTAAGCTAACAGTATTAGATAAACCATAGCAAAATGACTGAACTTTTATGGGACATTCGTCACTTATTTCTGTGTGAGGGAGGAATGACTGCTTATTCCCAACTAGTGACCAGACACTCCTGGGCATTTGGAGAGGAGAGTTCTGGCTGCAGTTTCCACCATCGAACACCTGGGCCCAGTGTGCTTCATGGGGAATGCAAACAGTTGCAAGGACTTTAGAAATCCATTGCCTTGAAGATAAAGTGTGTGGCAGTCCTCACTCGGTGCTTGGCAGACATGCCGTAGAGCCGAGGGCACTGCCGCGGTGACCTCTGCGCCCTGGCACTGCCAGGCCGCCCCGTGGGTTTCCATTCACCACCAGAGGGCCAACACTGTCGGCAGAATCACAGCGGGTCACCGGGAGCCCGGCCGGCGGAGAGGGAGCGGAGCTCCGGCCTGACCCAGTGTGCCAACAGAGGCAGTTCTTGGCCCTTCAGTGGCACAGGGACTCACATCTCCACACCTCACTGGTCGTAGGAAATGGGCCATGGCCGTCCTCAGGTGGAGAGAGCTCTGTGCTCCTGCTCGCAGCACTGCGGGGAGCTGCGTGGGCGTGTGTGCAGGAGGCTGTCGCCTCCCCGCCTCCTGTCTCCTGTCCAGCCGGGCTGCCCAGGCCCTGCTTCTCTGGAATTGCAGCAGTTCTAAGAAGTCCCGGCTGGGCGCCTGGCGAGCCCAGACCACTCAGTGCCCGTGCGAGGGAAGAGCAGGACTTGTTCGCAGGTGACTGTAGCCTTCGCACTAGGTGACGGGAGCGGAGGGCGTGGATCCGGATGCCCCTCCCTGAGCTGGCTAGCTGAGAGTCGGCACCCTAGCCTTCCGGTGGTGACGTTACTGTTTCGGGAGGAAGTGGTCCATGTGGCAGCCTCGGAATTCCCGTCTGATTAGGCCCCAGCCTCTGGCCAGAAGGGCACGTTCTCTGAGTCTTCCTGCTATAGTTCCTGGTCCCATTTGAATTAAGGCCTGTGGTTCCTTCTTTGGTTCTTTCTAAAACAATTGATTACATCATCTGAAATGGACAACCCATGTATTTTTTAAGCCTATAATGTCCTTCCCATGTAGGCATGTGCGCACACACTTCACTCGGAATCTCCTGTGAGTTAAAAATGTAAATGCATGACCGAGGGGGAAAGGATTACAGTCTTATCAAGGACCAAATTGTAACAAAAATAAAAAAGTCTTCTTTGTCTCTGTGTGGTGAAGTATTAACTTGGCTCCAGTGAATTTTGATAGAATTTTGTCAAAGAGCAGACTCTAAGACACTTAGAATGTAGCTTCTCCTCCTCCTCCCTTCCCCTTCGCCTGTTTTGTTCCTCTCTCTGACTTTCCTCTTCTGATCACTGCAGTTGGTCATGGGATTGGAGTGCCAATGGGCTATCGAAGCACCCCCCTCCCTTTTCTCAGCCCAACTCCATGCCCACCGCTCCCTCCCACAAGGCTCTCAGGCGCTCTCCCTCTCCCAGGTAACAAGCTACCTGTACACTCTGAGGTGTCACAATATTATTCCTCCCCACGGTGGTCTCAGTCTCTGAAGCCTCTCAGCGGCCTCCAGGCGGCCCTGCTCTGGCTCAGGCCTGCAGGAGGAGAGCCTTGGTGAGAAGCGAGAGCAGGTGCGTGACCTTGCCGGACCGCGTGAGTACGGTCCTCCCGTCACAGGGCAGGGGGCCCTGTCGTCAGCATCTCCTGTGGCGAGCCCAGCCCATGCGGTGCTCAGCCCAGGAGGCGCCCAGGCAGTGCGGGAAGTCAGGCAGGCACAGAGTTTCCTTAGCTTTCCTCTCAGGGCACAAGGCATTCCACCAGGAGCAAGCCGGGCCTGCTCTGCCCAAATGCCACCTCAGCTCTCAGGCCCTCTGGCCAGAGTGTGGAATGACAACCTGCAGAATGTCCGCTCAGTTGGTGACAGTCTCAGGACCCAGACCCAGAAAGGAAGCCGAGAAGGGAAGGGCGTTTAGCTGCATCTCAGTGAAGGACCCCGGTCTCTTGCAGGAGGGCTGTTGGTACCCTCACCAGCCCCTGCCTCAATGTACAGTGCCGCTGAGTCTGGGGGAGGGCAGGGGCCTGCTTCACATGGTAAATCCGTGGCACAGAGCAGGGCCCGTGTTCCTGCAGAAAGCGGCAGGTCTCTTCGGTGCTTTGTGTGAGGTTCCGAGGCCAAAGAACCCGTCCCTGAAGGCTGCGGTCCGCTGAAGGCTGCGGTCCGCTGAAGGCTGCGGTCCGCTGAAGGCTGCGGTCCGCTGAAGGCTGCGGTCGGCAGGGCAGCGCTGCCCGGTGCAGTGCTTTGTCCGATGGGCTTGTGCCCTCCGCTCGGGCGGCGAGCGTGAACTCACTTCTGAGGCTGCAGAGAAGATGACAGCGAGGCTGTGCATGGCAGACAGCGAGTGTTTTAACGTCTGTCTTCTGAAACATGCAGTGTAAAGCCACTTGTGACATGGAGCAGACCCTGCAGTTACTGTGGGTGGACACAGTTAGCCAGGGCACTCCGAGGGAGGTGTCCCTGCTGTCCTCAGTGTTAGTAAGGCTTGTCACTACACTTTTTCTTTTTTTAAAATTAATCAGACCTCAAGTTATAAGACCAGTTTAATGTCTCCCGCTAAACTGTGCCCTAACGGGCACCAGGCTTCACCCAGCCAGTCTCCCAGCCAGTTGCCATGCCCTCCAATGATGCCTTGTTCCCAGAATCCTCTTTCGCTCGTGGCACAGTAATGCAGCTGATGTTTAACAAACGCCTGCATCTTATGCACCCAATGGGGGAGAGGTGACGAGCTTTCACATTTAGAAAACCTATTGCTCACATAAAACTAAGAGGAAATCTAAGTTTGTCTCTCTGCTCTATATCAAAACCCTATTTATTTCATAACAAGGAACAATTGTCCTTTTTCTATGCCCTTGTCTCTTTTCCCTACAAAATAACAAAGAACATCTAAGGAGACAAATTTCTCGTCTCCGGCTTCTCTTTCCTTGGCGACCTGACCTCGTGAGCCTCCCACCAGGACCCGCACCTTCGCAGCCCGGCCCAGAGCTCTGCTGGGCTCAGTGTTGGTGCGTGGCTGACGCGAGGTCGGTGACTGCTGGCCAGCGGAGCCACTCTTGCTGGTCTAAAGGCTCCTGAGCCAAACTTTCTGGGCTCTCGTCACAGGTTTACAGGGACCGGGCCTGGCCTTGGCCTAAGGGTCATTCCCGAACGGTCTCTGAGCTGAAGGGCGCCTTGCGGTGCCCTCAGCGTGTGGCCGGTTGGGGCCACAGTGTCCACAGCCCCTGCTGACGGCATTCATGGAGTTTCCTTTTCAGTTTCCTTTTTCTATGTGACATGAGGGCTCAGGGGTGTTGATCTGAAAAAAGACAAATCAAGCCAAAGCATAAAATAGCCAAGAAAGTAGCCCTGCTTCCTGTTGGAGGGAAACCAGGATCTCTCACCTGGAGCTCACAGTTTTCGCTTCGTACCAAGGAGCTGCTTCGACCTCCAGCGGCGAGTCTGAAGGAGCGGTGGGCTCCGCAGTGGGTCTGCCCGGCTTTAGTAACTGACAGGAGGAGGAGCATAGCCGGCAGAATCCTTTACATCCTGTCTTAAAAAGAGACTGCTATAATGCTAAAGTTATGTGAACTGAAATGAAATATTTTAAGGTGGGTCAGTTGAAGAAAAATAAGATGAATTATGTGAAAGTTATCATCTGAAGCGACATATGGAAAATAATATTGTGACATCCCTTTAAAAGCTGAACATCATCATATTTCCTCCTGTCCTCCTCCTGTCCATCCATCATTCTTTCTTTTCTTTATTTTTGGTGTGTGTGTGTGTGCATGGGCTTTGTTATTAGATTTTATTGTTTCGATTCAAAGTATTTTAAGACATCTTTTCACATCTTATATACATTTTTTTATTCAGTCTTCATATATTAAAAACAGTGTACTGGCCAGATGTATAAATGCTTTTGCTCATACAGAAGCTGGGATTGTGGTGGTGTGAGGTTATGGAGAGATAATGTTGGAAATTTAGAAGGACTGGAAATCTTGAATTCTGTTCGTTTTTATCCCACCTCCTGTCAGTGTACACATGGAATTTTAGCTGTAGGTTCAGGCTCATTCCTTTTTGTTTGACACCAGAGCCAATCTTTGAGTTGATGTGCATGTTTGTGAATTGGCCAAGTACAGTTAGGGTGTGTATTTTCTTTCATCAGAAAAGAAAAGTGCATTCTGTCTGGGCCGGTTCTGCAATTTTCGGCAGCTAGCTTCCATCTCTAAGAGTGAACTCGGCCTTACGCTGCAGCAGAACCTGACTAGCCTAGAAAATACCTGCATCGTTGCACCCTCAGGCAGCCTGACTCCTCCAAGTGAGAACTGTCCAAATCTCGTCTTGCTCGCCTGCCCAAGCTTTAAAAAAATAAAAATAGTCAGAGGAGGGGCTTAGGAAATGAATCTGTTTTTAAGTGATAGAGACTTACCTCTTGTGAGAATGTGCCATCCTTTGGAAGGGCTCCTGCCAGTGGGTGCTTAATTCATTATTTCTCTTAGAGCAGTGGTTGGCAAACTGCGGCTCGACAGCTGCGGTTTGCCCTCGGTTGACTAATGTGTTTGCTGACCACGGGGATAGGGGCTTAATCACAAGGAACAACAACAGCCTGTGATTATTGGAATTGAGAGTCTAGGTTAGTGGCGACAAACTCATTAGTCAACAGAGCGACGAACCTCGGCTGGAGAGCTGCATGTGGCTCTTGAGCCGCAGTTTACCGACCACTGTCTTAGAGGAACAGAAAGATTGCCGTCCTTAGTAATGGTGAAAGCCTCCTTATGTACATATACAGCCATGTACATATACCTCCACGTTGCTCGGACTTCTTGCAGCCACATAGACCACGTGACTGATTTGTCCCGGGTGACATCTAAACTAAGTTATAGTTTGGACTTGTCTTTGTTGAATGTTCCTTCCCGTTTTGCTTTCTTTATATTCTTGTATTTTTCCGTGCTTTTTAAATATATTCTTAGTGAGGGGCAGTTGATGGTTTTTGTTCTTGGGATTTTCGATTTCAGTGCACTTTTCAGACGCCTAAGGCCACTTGCTGATACGTTGTATTACACCAAAGGCTGGTTTGGATTTTTGCTTCATTTCATTTTAGTTATGCTAAATTTTTTAAAAAGGACATCAGTTGGCAATCACTTTTCTTTAAGGGAAGGATATTTTTGTTTTGTTTTTAAGATGGTTTTAAACATGCATCTAGAAACTGACTCATCTTTATAAGATCAGTTCTTATTATAAAACTCCAAAATAAGCATCTACAAGGATTTGCTGTTCCCCAAAAGTTCCTGGGTTAGATGGCTGAGTTAGACTCTCAGGAGCACAGTAATAAGGTGGAGCTGACTTCAAGTTATTGGGTTGGTATTTTAGTTTTAGTTTTGAAATACATTTTTATTGATTTCGGAGAGGGAGAGGGAGAGAGAAACATCAGTGATGAGAAAGAATCATTGATCGGCTGCCTCCTGCACACCCCCTACTGGGGATTGACCACACAACCCAGGTATGTGCCCTGACTGGGAATTGAACCCTGATCTGGTTCATAAGTCAGTGCTCAACCACTGAGCTACACCAGCTGGGCGGTAACACAGGATTTTATGTACAAGTTTCTGATACTGGTGTGCATAACCCAGCTTTGTGAAGTCATTTGCTTTGCTCCTCTGAAATCTGTTTGTAATCTAGCTTTACTTTGAAGTGCCCATTCCTCTTTTAAGTTTGTACATTTGAGACCAGTAACAACCAGTCTACTTTCTTCCATGCTCAAGATACGCAGGTTATTTTCCACTTCATTACCTCGTGCATTCAGTCACCAGTCATCACTCTTTGAGTTCTTGCATCCTCGTGGTTGGTTCTGATTGCGCGCGATGCAGAGTGTTAGGACCAGGCTTGCCAGGGGAGGTGTGTACTGTCTGACAGTGGTGCTGTAATAAAAGGTGTCTTCTTTTCATTCCGCCTGAATCACCGCAAGAAACAAAACTTACCTCACTCAGTAAATTATTACAAGAAATGTACTCACACATCTCAATTCTATGCATATACCTCAATTTAAGAAAGAAAATATTTTGATCTTTAGCTTGCTGGACTATGATACAGAGAACCTGAACTCGGAAGAAATCTATAGTTCTTTGCGTGGAGTTACAGAAGCCATTGAAAAGTTTAGTTTTCGAAGCCAAGAGGATCTGAATGAGCCAATTAAACGAGATGGCAAGAAGGACTGTGATATCGTAAGTATCCCCGAACTAATAGAGAACTGTATATCGATTAAGTGATGATTAATGATTCTTCTGAACACTGACCACTGTCATTACATTGCTTCCTCGTTATTTTTAGCGTGTGATAGAAAGGGTTATTTCTAGAGGCCCAAGGCAATTTTGAGTCACCCTTGCTGTGTTTGTGAAAATTTTCAAATCCTTTTTTTCTCAGTTTGCTTTTGTGTGTGCTGGTCATATTTGTGTTCCTGTGATGTGATAAATTGTGAGCCTGCACCAGATACCAGCATGGCTGAGAGGGAGCTCTAATCTCTTGCGGAGGCAGGCACATAAGCAGGAGACTGTGGCACATGCGGTAGGTGGTCGGGCACAGCACGAAGACCTACCAGGACCAGTGTTGGCGCCCAGGGAGGATCTGCAAGCGATGAAGCATGAGAGCCAAGTAGGAGGCTGCAGTCAGAGCAGGGGTGCGAAGGTGGAGAGCTGGGAGCGGTTCCCCCTGAGTGGAGGGAGGGAGCACGCTGTGTTTGGGGGAGGTCTGGAGAAGTGGCTGCAGAGGTGGCTCGGGCAGGCTCATCCCAGGGGGGTTCCACCGTGTTTTGACTTCGCTGGGGACACTGGAGAGTCCGTGAAGGATTTTATCCCAGGACTCCCTCCCAAGAGTTTCCTATAACTCCATTCACCACACGCTCTGGGCCTCTGGCATGGTCACATGAAGTTTTAGGAAGATTGCTGTCACTCAGAGAATTATTCCAAAGCATTTGGGTTCAGTAGGGAAAAAGCAAAAATAGAAGAGTTACAGGTCTGACTAAGACTCATGTGTAGGGGCTGGTGCAATTCTATGAGAAAATTTCATAGCAGGAGGGAAAATGTGTATGATAACCCTTTAATACATGTGACTTGCAAAACCTGTGTGGTATCCAAGCAGACATATCCATTAGGCCTCTGGGGATGGCCGTCGGAAGTTCAGGCCATCGAAATAGGCTGGAGACAGACTTGAGGGGCATTGATTGACTAGTTGCTCCCTGGGCACCAAAGAAAAGCAAATGAAATCAGGCAGGTAAAGGGTAAAGGCAAAATCCGAAGGAGCACCAACACTAAGGAAGAAGCTGGAAGAAAAGCTGGAGAGGATGGGAGGCCAGGAGCATGTGGAGCATGGAGTTACGGGGAACTCTCGGGAAGAAGTTCCGGCCAAGAGTTCAAACTACATGTGCTCGGGATCCCATCAGGCAGACCTGGAAGGAAGGGCCCCATTGGATTTTTAATTTACTATATACGTTCAAATTCTGTGTTAACCCAGAACACGTAAAACACATGCTCATTCACCAGTGTCTTGACATAGAGCCAAGACCTTCTCTTTGAGAAGGGGCTCACTGTTTACTTTCTTATTCTTCTTAAGTGAATTTACACTTAGTCACAGTCCACACTGTACAGGTTTCGTTCCTCCCAGGAGCCCATGGGACTTTGTGAGCGTGGTTTGAGCAGGGTTGACAGTGAGGACAGGTTACAGTGAGTGGAAGAGTGAACCAATTGGAGAGAGAAGAGGGCGTTCAGGTGTTCCCCATGGGAGAGGCCTGACCTGTGTGAGTTCCAACGGGCCAGAGAGAGAAGGATGCTCCCTGTGCGGGGGAAGGCCCACTGGTGGCCGCGGGCCCCTGAGGACATGGAGGGATGCGATCTGGGCCCTGCCGAGGGGCTGGCCTTGGCCAGGAAGGAGGGGCAGGAAGACGGAGGGTTCCTCCCGACAGCTCCCACTCTGTGCCATCAGTGAGGCCTGGCACTGGGCTGCTGGGAGGGTCTGGGAAAGGTTTCCAAGCAGCTGGGGGTCGGGTAGGGCTCTGCCTGGTGAGCAGGCACCCTGCAGGAACAGGGGCCTCTGGGAGGAGGCGAGTGCCTGGGTATCACTCGTCTCAGCTGTAAATGTAACAGATAGAATCACCATCTCTAGAGATAAAGAACTTGAACGTGTACTGTGCATTTTCTATTCCTTTATGTGTATTTATACATTGTGTTTCGGGGAGGGAGGTGTGCAGAGTATTTTTAAAATAAAAGGGACATCTGCCCTAGCTAGTTTGGCTCAGAGGATAGAGCATTGGCCTGTGGGCTGGAGGGTCCCAGGTTTGGTTTCGGTCAAGGGCACATGCCCGGGTTTTGGGCTCCATTCCCAGTGGGAGGAGTGCAAGAGGCAGCTAACCAATGATTCTCTCTCATCATTGATGCTTTTCTCTCTCTCTCTCTCCCTTCCTCTCTGAAATCAATAAAAATATATTAAAAAAAATAAACTAAAATAGAAGTGGCATCAAAGTGTGCATCCTATTTCACTGAGGACACGAGTGCTGTCCTGCAGTGCTCCTCTCAGTGAGTGTGGTGGCTGGGTGCTAATCCACATGGAGGCGCAATAGTCCTGTCCACAGTGCCCTGCTTTTTGGAACATTTAAGTGTTTTCAACTTTTTAGAGCATAAAAAGACTGTGCTGGGAGTTGGAAGGAATGAGGCGTGGTAGTGGAAGCAGAGAGCTGGGCCAGGAGCCGCAGCATTGCCCAGGGCGGGAGGAGCAGAGGCTGGAGAGGAAGCGGTGAGGCCAGAGGAGAACTGAGCCAGCCTGCAGAGACAGGGCTGTCCGCTGCAGGAGGGGCCTCGGAGCATGCGAAGAGGCAGTGACAGCGAGGAGTGAGGTTCACCACTCAACCCCATGGCCGCTGGTGACCAGGCTTTTAACTACGAAGCTGAGGTAGACCTGATACTGTGTTGAAGGTGGGATTGGGAGCCAGTCCGCCTCTTCGTAAGCTTGACCAGTGACCCTTCTGAGGAGGCAGCCACTCACTTGTACAGCACTTACCACCAGAAAGGCTGAGGGACATGTGGCGGCATGGCAGTCACCATCATTGTGGAACTTAGTGAAGTAACACTTAGTAAAAGGACTTCAATTTCATAGCCTTTAATGATCTAGCTTATAACAAGCTCAGCAAAAAGAAAAATGATAAGTTTTTACACAAAGTATTTTATTTTCATATTATTTATAATGGCCAAAACCAAAAACTAAAAAATCAGTAGAAGGGGAATAGTTGAGTAAATCTTATTATAATTAAAGGCTAATATGCAAATCAACTGAACAGCAGAACAACTGGTCTCTGTGACACGCACTGACCACAGGGGACAGATGATCGACGCAGGAGCTGCCCCCTGTGTCAGTGAACTCCCACAGGGGGAGCACCACTCAGCCGGAAGCTGGGCTCATGGCTGGGGAGCGCAGCAGTGCTGGAAGGAGCCTCTCCTGTCCCTGAGGCAGCACTGAAGATCCCTCAAAGGGGTCCCAGACTGCGAGAGGGTGCAGGCTGGGCTGAGGGACACCCCCCTCCGTAGTGCATGAGTGCGTGCACCGGGCCTCTAGTTATGGCTATAGAAACTATTTATGTGGGACATGCTTACTCTACGAGGAAAGCAAAGTACAGTGCGTCCCAAAAATGTATACATCCTTTAACAGTGGGTAGCTCAATTTTGAAAATGAAATTATTTTAATAAACACCTCCTTTATACAATTGTTAGTTATTAACAGTGTGTGTACATTTTTGGGACACCCTGTATATGGCAGTATGTGCACTGTGATTCTCATGCTAAAGCATGCATGTAGACAAGGACAGGGATAAAAAGCAAAGTTTAAAAAGTAAGATTTTTTTTGTTTTTAAATGTGATTAGAATTAGGATAGTTGAGCTTTGTTTTTTGAGTGTCTTTGTTCTTTAAAACTCTCCCTTTCTGTCTCCATGAATGTGACGTTTGGTGCCTCACATAAGTGGGAGCACACAATATCTATTTGTCTTTGTCTGGCTTATCTCAGCACAGTATTTTCAAGTTGCATTGGTATTGCAACATGTGTCAGCATCACATTCCTTTTTTAGGGCTAGTCTTCCACTGCACACACAACACATTTAAAAATCCATTTATCCCTTTATAAATGATTTTTCATTATAAAAATGTTCTGTTTTTAGAAGAGAGTTACAAAGAGAAGAAAGTTAAAATCATCCATGAATTATCTTCCCTGAGAGAAAACCCCTGTTAAATCATTTTGTTCATATCCACGCATGTATTTCACAATAATATCAGTAAGCAATCTTTTTTTGGGATGGGTATTTATCAAATACGTTCCAGCAATTTCACTAGGTATATGTCCACAAAAGTAGAAAGAAGGGACTTGAACACATATTTCTGAACCAGTGTTCATGGAAGCCAAAGGATGGAGAACCCAGTTTCTTTCTATCAACAGATAAATGGATTTTCCAATGTGATGCCTGTGCAGTGGAAGACTAGCCCTGAAAAAGGAATGTGATGCTGACACATGTTGCAATACCAATGCAACTTGAAAAGACTGTGCTGAGTGAGATTAGCCAGACACAGACAAATAGATATTGTGTGCTCCCACTTACGTGAGGCACCTAGCGTCACACTTGTGGAGGCAGAAGGTGGAATAGAGGTCACCAGGCTAGGAGGGCGGGAGTTAGAACATGATGGATACAGTTTTGGTTAGGAAAGATGAAAAGGTTTTGCTCAAAATCTCACATGGTGGATAATGGTTACACAACACTGTGAATGGGTGTAATGTCGCTGAATTGTACACGTAGGGTGAAAATGATGTCTCCATATCATACCACAATTTAGGAAAAGCACGTGCATCAGCACAAGGGGTCCGGCTCTGAGGCCGTCTTCACTCGCCGTAGTCACATGTCTGGGTGCGGAGGAGACAGGCCGCTGTTCCCCGCCAGCCGAGCCCTCTCCTGTCCCAGGGCCGCCCGCAGAGGGGCTCAGAGAGGGAAGGACTCAGCGTGTGGCAGGGACAGAGGCCCAGGGGCTTCGTTGTTGAAGACAAGACTCACAATCTACTAGAAAAAGGATTTTTTTGAAAACAGTAAAAGACCTGTTCTTTTTGTTTAATCCTCACCGAAGATATTTTTCCATTGATTTTTAGAGAGTGGACAACACAGGGAAAGACAGAAATACTGATGTGAGAGAAACATCGACCGGTTGCCTCCTGCACTCACCCTGACCAGGGCCTGGGCTGGGGAGGAGCCTGTTACCGAGATACATGCCTTTGACTGAATCGAACCCAGGACCCTTAGGTCCACAGGCAGACTCTCTATCCACTGAGCCAAACTGGCGAGGGCAAAAGACCTGTTCTTTGGCCCAGCATAACAGACTGACTGAGTCAGAAACATGCCAAGGAAGAGCGGCCTGTAGGGGACCATATGCAAACCCTGAGCCATGGTTTGGCTCCCCGCCTTGGGCCGTATGCCGCGCACCCCCTGGCTGCGGTAGTTGGGGCTCTGCTCTGGTGTCAGCTGCGGTGAGGAGCCTCTGGCTGCAGTGCTGTCGGGTTTCTGAGGACGGGGTGGGGTGCGGCCTTCATTCTCAGGGGACGTTCCAGAATTTCATGTTATAAATCTCTCAAAAAATGTTTGCGTAAAGCGAACCCCACGTTCAAAGAAAAACCGATTTTACGTGTAATTTAATGATAGAATAGATGACAATATGAGCATATTCAGTCCCCTTTAAGGCAGTTTATGAAGTAGGTATTACAAATTAAAATTCTAACAGCGGTTGTTTTGTTAGAGGCCAGATTTCAAGTGAGAGGCCCCTGGCTGTCCTGAGCTTCTGGCGATGTAAGGAACGTTGTGTAAGAGCCCAGGAAGGCTGACGGTGTTCTGTGCGCAGGTGTCCCGGGACGGCGGGGTCGCGTCCCCGGCCACCGAGGGCCGGGGCGGCAGCGACGCGGTGGAAGGCGGCCGGACGGCGCTGGACAACAAGACGTCCCTGCTCAACACGCAGCCGCCGCGCGCCTTCCCGGGGCCGCGGGCCCGCGACTACAACCTGTACCCCTACGCCGACACCATCAGCGCCTACGACAAGACCGCCCTCAAGGAGGCCGTGTTCGACGACGACATGGAGCAGCTCCGAGACGGTTGGTCTCCTTTGTGTGGTTGTGCCTCGTCCCGAAGCTTCTCCGGGGGCTCCCCTCCTGCCTGAGCGCGCTGGGCTGTGGCTCTACGGGACATGGGCACGCTGGTCAGGCTGGTTAGTCCTGCCATAGCTGCCGTGTGCTTGGGCGTGGAGAGCACACAGTGAACGGGAGGGCACACAGGCCTGCCCTCCAGAGGCCCCGGCGACCTCAGGCTGCAGCTGTGATGGCTGCAGCGAGGGAGGCTCAGGGGCATCACTCAGACCCAGGGCCCCAGGAGTTGGGGGAGGAGTTAGTGAGTGGAGCGCAAAGGCTCGGCAGTCCTGGCTCTGGGCTCTGCGTGTTGCCCGTGGAGCTGTGGGAATTGGGTCCGAAGCACCACTGGGAGCACCCATGCTTTATACACGGCACCCGGTGGACACAGTGCTTTACACACGGCACCCGGTGGGCACAGCGCTTTACACGCAGCACCCGGTGGGCACGGCGCTTTACACACGGCACCCAGTGGGGATTTGGCAGTTTCCGTTGTACAGATTAAGGGGCTGGGTTCAGAAAGGTTAAGTTACTTGCCAAGTGTAGCATGTTCACTACGGAATAGAGCTGGTCTGGCTTTTTCTGGCTCTGTTAAGACCGTCTCCTTTACTGAGTAACAAGTGAGTAAGTATTTTTCGGTGTGATGGTATTTTATTTGGAACTTAATTTGTTTTCCACCTCATTGTCATGTTGACACATTTTGGTTTATTTCAGCTTAGCAGTCATTTTATCTGTCTGCATGAGCTACAGCCGACCCAACTTAGTAGTCAGTTTTTAAAAAGCACACATATCTTTTAAAAAAAAACCATATATATATCCTTTTTATGGGCCTGGCAGGGGCGGTGCTGATGTGAAGTCCCGCCGGTGTGAAAGCAGGCGCCCAGCCGGTGAAAGCATAGTCCTGGCTGCTCAGAGTCGCTGCTGGTGCCGCAGTGCGCTCCCCAAGCTCTGCTCCCTGGCGGAGGCGGGTCCGTGTTGTCGGACTTGCCCTTTCTGGAGCACTGCCTGTGGCCTTTCGTAGCTCATAGGCTGGGGCATCATTTCACTTACACTGTGGGTCTTGTTGAAGATGGAATAGAGATTAGGATGTTGGTTGTTAATTATTCAGCAACTGGATAATAAAAGACTTGGAGGAAAAAGTGGGCAGAGCAAGGGGAAATAATAGAGTTCTTTCACATTTCATACTTTCTTCTGTTTGTTCCCCAATTTTGGAATCTAAAGGAATGTGCACGTGCAAATTAAGTAGGTCCTGCCCTAGCTGGTTTGGCTCAGTGGATAGAGTGTCAGCCTGAGGACTGAAGGGTCCTGGGTTCGATTCCACTCAAGGGCAAATGCCTAGGTTGTGGTTCCGATCCCCGGTGGGGGGTGTGCAGGAGGCAGCTGATCAATCATTGATGTTTCTCTCTCTCCTTCTCCCTTCCTCTCTGAAATCAATAAAAATATATCTTTAAAAAAAGTAATTCCTGATGATTTGTTTGGCTCATTTCGTCACCCTTTCTATTTAAAGTGAATTCAGAGTGGCGGTCTCTTAAAAGAACATGCAGAGAAAGGATATGCTCTTCTGCAATAAGGTCCAAGTCCTTGCCAGGCATTTCCCTAAGAGGTGTTGGCGAGCTTTACTGTGGACCTTGGCTGGTGTTGGTCTCCTGTGCTAGTTCCTGACCACCAGACATTCCGAGGGGGTGTTGATCGGATGGAGGAAAGCTCAGGTGGAGGGGATGCGAGGAAGGGTGTCCCATGGCAGGCGACTCAGGACTGCCGCAGCGGAGGTGGAGTTAGGAGGGGCTTTGTGGGAGCTTCTCCTTATCTGAACCGACGAAAGCAATAGTTTCTCCTCTTTGTCTGATTTGGAAGGGGGGAAAGATGGTAAGGCAGGATGGAGACTTTGAGTATTGGTGTTCAATACCTATTCTCCCACCTCTGTTTATTTGGGTTTTTAAAATATATATTGATTGATTTCAGAAAGGAAGAGAGAGAGAGAGAAACATCAGGGACGCACACTGCCCACTGGGGATCGAACCCACAACCTGGGGATGTGCCCTGACCAGGAGTCAAACTGTGACCTCCTGGCTCATAGGTCAGCGCTCAACCACTGAGCCACACTAGCTGGACCCACCTCTGTTGTGACCGTTGGTTTGGTGGAATGACCTGCTCCGGGTGTAGAGTGAGGCTCGGGCGCAGGTCAGATGGAGGGGAGATGGGAAGAGACCGAGGGCAGAGGAGGCGGCTGCGTCGCCGAGGCAGCACGTGCAGCCGGCGTCCCTCGTGCAGTAACGTCTGTGTTGTCTCACCAGTGCCCATTGACCATTCGGACTTGGTGGCAGACCTTCTGAAAGAGCTGTCCAACCACAACGAGCGTGTGGAGGAGCGGAAGGGCGCCCTGCTGGAGCTGCTCAAGGTCACCCGGGAGGACAGCCTGGGCGTCTGGGAGGAGCACTTCAAGACCATCCTGCTCCTGCTCCTGGAGACTCTTGGAGACAAAGACGTGAGGGCTGCTCTTCTGCTTTCCTTTCGGGGGGCGGGGGCTGCTCTTGTGGGGAGGCTCAGCCCCCTTTGCTGCTGGGCTCACGGCTTACAGCACAGCCTGTCCGAATTGGCCTCGGAGCCCCAGGTAGCAAGCCCGCCTCGTGTACCTGCACGTGTGTTTGTGATTGGCCATCTAGTCAACGCGGGGACTTGTTCCCGCATAAGGTCACTTTGCACAGTTTCTTAGAACTCTGTTAGCTTAAAATATTGTTTGCAACAATGAGCTTTTTTTTCTTGTAAGTTTTATTTTTGTTTCATGTTTAATTGCAAAACAGAGAAGTTCCTTTTAAAGACCCTATGAAATGCTGCATTCCGGCACATTCTGTCTCGGTTCACCCGTGCTTGCATCAGGGTCGCGCTGTTAGGAACCGGGGCTGTTAGCATCGTCTTTTGTTTTCTATTGTTATTTTTGAAGTAAAGGCCCTCTTCATACTGTGTGGTCTGGATGTGACACACTAGGCATTCGCTGAACAATCCTAAAGGCGGGAAGAATCCAGTCCTGCCTTGCCCCGGGCAGCTGGCCCGCCCAGAGACAGGAGCACATGTAGGGATTGCCAAGCCGAGTCCCTCCACGCGGGGCTCCGTGTCCGCAGCAGAAACAGAAATCGCCTGAACGTGGGGAGAGTGCCCCGGGCAGGACCGGGCGGGAATCCGACCCAGCCCTGGTAAAGGTCATGCCCAGGGTCATGCCGGTGGTGACGGGAGTGGGAGACCGGTGAGCAGCAGGCTGGAATGTCACGCTGACTTGGATCCTTCTGCTGCTGAGGATTAGTGGTTTGGTCTAGAACAGGGCCAAGTGAGGCTGGCAGAGTGGTGATGAAAGATCTGTATCAACTCTTCTTAAAACAAAGCGTTGGTTTCTGAAGCCCTTCTCCTGGGCTGGGCTTTGAGGTCAGGATAGAGTGATACCATGTGGAGGCAGCAGAAGCGGGGGGTGAATTGCACAGGTGAGTGACAAAGAATCAGGATGTACTTTTTGGCTGTGTTTGGTGTAAACTCCACTCTCTGTTATTGAGATTAGGAGTCTGTTTGGAATGGCTTTCCTCCAGACACATGTCCTCAAGCACCTCGAGGCCAGTACAGCCCCCTCCCCGTGGCCTCATCACGCAGCAGGTTGGGAGAATGACAGGTCTCAGCTGCCCTTGAGAGCTCCCCGTCTTACAGGCCCCGCATCCCGTCCGGGCGGTTTATCTGTCCTCCGGTCTTTGACCAGGTGGTTTGCATCCCTGAGCCTCAGGAAGTCTCCCGCCCCCCAGAGCTCCATTGTCCTCATTTGGCTCATTGAGGAAACCTTCATCTGGTCCCCTTAGGTGCGGGCAGGGTGCTGGCTCTCCCAGAGCCCGGCAGGTCAGCAGTGTGACCGTGTCCAGGCGTTTGTGAGCACTCGGTGCCCCCAACCCGGTGGACGGGTGTGTGAGTGGGTGCAGGCTGCTGACGTCTTTCTTTCCTCCTCTTTCCCAGCATTCCATTCGAGCGCTGGCACTGAGAGTTTTAAGGGAGATTCTGAGAAATCAGCCAGCAAGATTCAAAAACTACGCCGAGCTGACGATCATGAAGACTCTGGAGGCCCACAAAGACTCCCACAAGGAGGTGAGCCGCCCGAGCCGGGAACAAGCCGGGAACGCGGAAACTAGTCCGGGCGCCGGGGGCTGTGGGAGAGAGGACTGTCAGACTCCGCACGGCCTCCAAACAGGAGGCCGAGCTGCTCCAAGGGGTGAGCCCGGGGCTGCGTGGTGGCTGTGGGCAGTGCCGTGCCAGGGCCGGTGCCACGTGGTGGGTTCCTGACTCCCTTTCCATGTGCACAGAGAGCTCAGCCTGATCCTGGGTTCCCACGTCAGTGGTTCCCATTGGTTTGGTCCTAAGGAAGGGACTTCGGTTTCCTCCTGGCGTTGGGCATCACGCCGGGTAATGTTGGAGAGCGAGATTAGCTCCGAAGATGTGGCATCCTAGGGCAAGTGCGACAATCCTCGCTCCAGAACCCCGGAGAACTTACTTCCCCTCTGAGCCTCAGTTTCCTCTGTGTAAACAGATGGGCACCACCAAGTTTCTCGTGGGAATTCAGTGAGACGACCAGTGACAGTTCCTGGCTGGTGCTTGGTGCCAGTAGATACTGCGCTGTGTGGGTCTCCCTGCCCTTGGTCCCCTGGCAGGCTCCTCTGTGGCTGCGTCCACTAACTCCTGGACATTTGCCAGGCTGGCAGACATTGCCTGCGGGTGCTGGCACCTCAGGTGTCTGCACTGCAGCTCATGTACTGCAGACGGGCACGCAGTAAGTCCTCGTCCACTTGCTTACCGAGTTGTTCCAGCACTGGGTTATCCGTCCTTTGAGTATCTAAGGTCTACAGAGGGTGGAGCATCCTAAGTAAAAATGACTTCAATAACACCATTCCAGTGAAAGCCAGTGTGGAAAGCAAACCAGATATTTACAGCTTTAGGAACCTTAATTCTGCAGACGATGGGTTTGACCCCTCAGTGACAGAGATAACCACTTGCTCATTTCAGTCTCTTGGCTCACTTGTGACTGATCATGAGCGTACTGTGGATTAAAGGAATTACAATTAGAGTAATCCTTATCTTAAAAAAGCACCAGACCCTAACTCATGGTTTTCCTCTGCTCAGCAGTTACAACCCAGACAGTGACCTATCTGACCTCCTTACATCCCCACCCTGATTGCAGGCTCAGCAAGGGTGGGGTCCGCCACTCACCATCCAGTAGTCCTAGCAGGACAGCTACATGAGTGAGGCATGTGTGTGTTTGTTTGTTTCTGTGTTTTTTCCAGAAAAATGATTTTAAATATAATGTTACATGCGATATATTGTACATTAATATTTCAAGAAAAAAGATTTTAAATATAATATTACCAAAACTGTACTAACATATTATAGTATAATATCACAAAAGTTGTAGGAAATATTAAAAATCTCCAAATAACAGGATTACTTCTATTATATTCTAAAATACTATTTTTCCTATTTTGCTCATCAGTTTATGTTGTTCATTATATTCCACAAATGAGTGAGATCATGTGATATTTATCTTTCTCCAACTGGCTTATTTCGCTTAGCATCATGCTCTCCAGTTCTATCCATGCTGTTGCAAATGGTAAGAATTCCTTCTTTTTTATTGCAGCGTACGTAGTATTCCATTCTGTAGATGTACCATAGTTTTTTAATCTACTCATCTGCTGATGGGCACTTAGGCTGTTTCCAAATCTTAGCTATTGTAAATTGTGCTGCTACGAACATAGGGGTGCATATATCTTTTCTGATTGGTGTTTCTAGTTTCTTGGGATATATTCCTAGAAGTGGGATTACTGGGTCAAATGGGAGCTCCATTTTTAATTTTTTGAGGAAACTCCATACTATTCTCCACAGTGGCTGCACTAGTCTGCATTCCCACCAGCAGTGCACAAGGGTTCCTTTTTCTCCACAACCTCACCAGCACTTGTTATTTGTTGATTTGTTGATGATAGCCATTCTGACAGGTTGAGATGGTACCGCATTGCTGTTTTGATTTGCATCTCTCGGATAATTAGTGACTTTGAGCATGTTTTCATATGTTTCTTGGCCTATTGTAGGTCCTCTTTCAAAAAGTATCTATTGAGGTTCTTTGCCCATTTTTTTTTTATTGGATTGTTTATCTTCCTTTTGTTAAGTTGTATGAGTTCCCTGTAAACGTTGGAGATTAAAACCTTATCGGAAATAACATAGCAGTGGGCTTTTTTGTTCTGTTGATGGTTTCTTTTGCTGTGTTGAAGCTTTTTAATTTGATGTAGTCCCATTTGTTTATTTTCGCCTTAGTTTCCATTGTCTTAGGAGCTGCATTGATGACAATATTCCTAGGACATATGTCTGATATTTTGCTGCCTATGGCTTCTAAGATTTTTATGGTTTCCCTTCTTATATTTAAGTCCTTCAGCCATTTTGAGTTTATTCTTGTGTATGGTATAAGTTGGTGGTCTAGTTTCATTTTTGTGTGTGTTATCTGTACAATTTTCCCTACACCATTTATTGAAGAGACTGTCTTGACTCCATTATATGCACTTATCTCCTTTTTCAAATATTGAGCGTAACAGCTTGGGTCAACTTCTGGATTCTCTGTTCTGTTCCATTAGTCTATATGTCTTTTCTTGTATAATACCAGTACCAGTACCAGGCAGTTTTGACAAGAGTGGCTTTGTAATATAGTTTGCTATCTGGTATTGTGATCCCTCCAACTTTGTTTTTCTTTCAGGATTGCATCTATGTTCATCAGACATATTGGCTTGTAATTCTCTTTCTTTGTAGTGTCTTTATTTGGTTTGGAATTAAGATAATGCCAGCCTCATAAAGAGTTTGGAAGTGTTTCTTCCTCTTGGATTTTCTGAAACAGTTTGAGGAGTATAGGTATTAGTTCTTCTTTGAATGTTTGGTACAACTCCCTGTGAAGCTCTCCAAACCTGGGCTTTTGTCTGGTGGGAGTTTTTGATTACTGCTTCTATTTCATCAGTTGTTATTGGCCTATTCAGGTTTTTTGATTCTTCCTGATTCAGTTTTGGGAGTCGTAAGTTTCTGGGAATTTGTCTGTTTCATCCACATTGTCCAGCTTATTGAGATATAGTTGTTCATAGTATGTTTTATAATCCTTTATTTCTGTGGTTACTCCTCCACTTCCGTTTCTGATTTTATTTTTTTGGCTCTTCTTGTTTCTTGATGAATCTGGTTAATGGTTTATCAATTTAGTTTATACTTTCAAAGAACCAGCTCTTGGTTTTATTGAATTTTTTTTTGGTATTGTTTTTTTAGTCTATGTTATTTATTTCTGCTCAAATCTTTATTATTTCCTTCCTTCTGCTTACCCTGGGCTTTTCTTGTTGTTTCTAGTTCTTTAAGTTGTAGGGTTAAATAGTTTATTGCTGATATTTCTTGTTTTTGAGATATACCTGTAGTGCTAGGAATTTCCCTCTTGGAACTGCTTTTGCTGTGTCCCAGAGATTTGGAGTTGTGTATTCATTTTCATTTGTTTCCAGAATTTTTTGTTTTCTTTATCTCAATAATATCCCATTCATTGTTTAATAACATGTGTTTAAACACATGCCTCCATGTGTTTGAATATTTTGGGGTGTTTTTACTGTAGTTGATTTCTAATTTCATTCACCGTGATCTAAGAAAACGCTTGATATGATTTCAATGTTCTTGAACTTGTAGAGACTTTTTTGTGTCCTAACATGTGTATCTTTGTGAATGACCCATGTGCACTTGAGAAGAAAGTATATTCTGTGTTGGGATGAAATCTTCTATAATTGTCAATTAAATCCAGCTGATCTAGAGTGTCCTTTAGAGTCACTATTTCTTTGTTAATTTTTTTGTCTGGAAGACCTATCCAGTGAAGTCATTAGGTTGTTAAAGTCCCTTACTATGACTGTATTGTTGTCCACCTCTCCATTGAAGTCCTCTAGAAGATTTTTTATATATTTAGGTGCTCCTATGTTGGGCGCATATATGTTTACCAGGGTTACATTTTCTTGTTGGACCAATCCCTTTAGTATTATGTAGTAACCTTTGTTATCTCTTGTGATGGCCTTCATTTTACTACTACATATTGCTGCTCCAGCTTTTTTTTTTTTTTTTCCATTTGCATAGAAATTTTTTTTCCATCCCTTCACTCTTATCCTGTGTGAGTCTTTTGTTTTGAGGTGGGTCTCTTGTAGACAGCATATAGTTCGGGTCATGTTTTTGTATCCATTCTGCTACCCTGTGCCTTTTGATTAGAGCATTTAGTCCATTTACATTTAGGGTTATTATTGATAAGTACTTACTTATTGCCATTTTAATTCTGTATGCCTAGTTTCCTCTCTCCATTTCTTCTCATTATAGCAATTTCTTTAAGCGTTTCTTGTAATTTCTTTAGCCTTTTTTTTTCTTTTTTGTTGGTTGGTTGGTTGTGTTTTTGTTTGTTTGTTTGTTTGTTTGTCCAGGAAGCTCTTTATTTGACTGTCTATTTTCAGTGGTAGCCTTGCTGGATATTGTACCTTGGTCTCAAATTACATCCAGCAATATATTAATAATATATATTATTACCTTGAGTACTTAATGCCATTCCCTTCTGGGCTGTAGAGTTTTGATGAGAAACCAGGTGTCAGTATTATGGGAACTCCTTTGAAGGTAACAGTTTTGTTTTCTCTTGCTGCTTTTAAAATTCTCTCTTTGTCTTTAAGTTTTGGCATTTTAATTATGATGTGTTGGCGTGAGCCTGTTTGGGTTCTTGTTTGGGGTTCTCTGTGTCTCCTGAACTTGTGTGACTTTTTTCTTTACCAGGTTAGGGAAATTTTCTTCCATTATTTCTTCAAACACCTTCTCTATGCCTTTCTCTCTTTCTGCCTCTTCTGGCACTCCTGTGATTCTAATACTGTTATGTTTCACGTTGTCCCACAGCTCCCTTAATCTGTCCTCCTACTTTCTAATTGTTTTTTTCTTTTTAGTTTTCTGATTGAGTGATAGTTTCAACTCTGACTTCTAATTAACTGATTCAATTCTCAGCTTCCCCTAATCTGCTGTGTATTCTTTCTGGTTAATAATGGTGGATTTTGTAACGAAAGAAAACATGACAA